TTAGCGAGCCAGCGTCTTACGCGTTGATCCACCGCGGCTCCCATTATTATACAGACTGAAACAAGAAAAATATTTGAATTAAAACGTAGTACTCTTTTCACTAGAGCGTAAGTAAATAATTTAGAGTGATTAAATGATTTGAATAATCCTATTATCATCTCCAAACTATATGAAATTATTTTTAGAAGTTATGACTATTACTGTCTACTTTAAGACGTCATGCTTAAATATGGATTTCATTCAAGGTATACATAACCTTGGCCGACAACAAATAATGACGCAACATTCCATTATTTAATGACTGAAAAAATTACACACTTAATCAGGGTTGTATAGATACTTTCTCTATCTGTTCTATTTGGGGCTTAAGGCTATATACATAGGTTTAAACAAAATTCCAATCAAGGAGTAATCTTTAGCATTAATTTGGAATTGTTATGAGATGTCATTTTATAACTTATACAGGAAGCAACCATTTCGCTTAGATTCTTGATGCCCTCCTTGGTTTACAAGAATTTTAACTTTCTTGGCATGTATCTGAGTCCAGATACGTTCGGATATGTTTCGATACGATCAAAACGATTGCTACGACTGACCTCAAAAAATGATCAGACTTGATAGGATCACCAGGAGAACCACACGATTTAAACCACGATTTCAATCGTAGCGCGAATCGTGATAGTTTATAACAAGGCTGCGTTGGCCTTTCTAAAACTCAACTCGGGTAACTTTTCCTTTCATTAAGATATGAATAAAAATGTGTTAATTAAAGAATAGCAAATGACCTTTTCCCAGATAGGGACAAAGATATTAATTTTTAAAAATACCCTGCTTCGCTCGGCGTACAAGAATGCTGCTTCTTGATTTTACAGTTTGCTCGAAACATGGAGGTCAATCAAATATTTATAACTCGCACGCCATCTATAAACAAGTTAAAAAGTCTGAGTATCCCATTTTTCTCTGAATTGGGCACTTCACAGCATCATTTCCCGAATTGTGAAAGTTGATGAAATTTCCATCGAAACGTTTCCTTGATATAAAATAAGATAAGATAAGATAAGATTTTATTGTATCACATTTCATTGTATCATGTTAAAAGTAAAAAGATATCGAAAACATTATTTCAAAATGTATACATGTTGAGAAATGAAAAGAAATTGTGAATTTTGCCGTGATATGATAGTTATACGTTTATAAGTTACAGTTAAAATTTATAGAAATCCTCCTCGTATATTTGAATTGGTAAAAATATTTCAAATCGGAGGGTGAAGCCCCCCTTTTTAGATGTGTATTAGGAAAGCCACCAAACCGGTTTCAAGGAAAACAATAAGGAAAAGCGGGCGTACTACTTACTAAATTCTTTTTATATCCAGTTTTTTTTACTTGCTTACGTCAATACGTCTATATTTAGACTTTTCAAGTCAACGCATTTGCTGTATGTTATCATATTGGTAGTATAAATTATTATTTACTATACATACGCTATGGAAATTTTATATAAACAAGCGTACTTTAAAAGTCTCTGATTAGGGCTTGGATTATTACATACATTACCATTAATTTTTAAATATAATCATTACAATAACTTTCTTATTTTTAGCAGTGTAATTTATTACCACTACCCATTACAATGAAAACAATTAATTACAATTACCATTATATTCCCATTACTTTATGGTTAATTAGTTAAAAATATTAAAAAAAAAATTTCTGAAAATAAAATTCTAGAACATTATTTGAAGTATTAGAAAAATAAATAAAAGTGTTTGAGAGTATTATATCTGGATAAAAAAAAAATATTTAGTGTAAATGGGTATAAAAAATGAGAAAATGGCATATATATCACATCAAGGCAAAAGCAAATTTTCAAATGAGGGGCGTTGTGCCAAAAGTCCATTAACTTTTTGGATTTGAAAACTGAATTGAAAGTATAGTTAACTAAATTAAAACACTAATATGGATAATAACTACATGCTAGTGGATTAATTATGTGGTGAAAAATTTAAAGGAAGACCAGCGGCTTTAAATGTTAACATAAGTCAGTCGTTAAAAAATAATTAATACGTCCCAATGGAAGTTACAAAACAGGCGTAATACATTAAAGGAGCTAAATCGCTAATATTTGGGATCTACAAATTGACACAAATCGGTCGCAACGTATATAATGTAATATGAATGTAAATAAACTGATTTACATTCAATCGTTTCCGTTTTTACTCTAATTTGAAAGCAGTTATGTTCGGCGAAATACGTCAGAAGTTTCAATCGAATGGTAATCTCTAGCGACTGGTTATTCCTGTCTATACCGATAGTATTTATTACGCATGCTCTCCAGATAAAAATATGGGGTCACCGTTTGAAATGACTTGTGTCTAACTTCGTTCTTCGGTTCGCTTGTTTCAAATTGCGCTGAAACGCATTATGGTATACGATTCGTGTACCAATCGTAAAATGTTTATTTTGTCTTAAATATTGGATATCAGAAGCCCATCTTTTCCCGGTAATATCACAACACCAATGTTGATTAAAATTGACAAATAATTCGTGTTTTCAATGTCGAAGGTTTTGGATGATACTGAGTTAGAGACTTAGCTACTTTAATATAACCCACACCGTTGCTATTTCAGTCGTCATTTATTTACCTTACGGTTGAATATGTCAAGCAAATACATGTACTTTTGGACGGAAAAGTACAATTTATATTCTCCGAGTGCTGGGTCTGTATAATAAATATTTGTATGAAAAGAAACCAGGTCATTCCCTTATTGACCGATAATTGCCATTATCAATAAGTTGTTTTGTTAGTGACAAATAATCGATAATAAGATATGTATCGTAATCAATAAAGTTTCTTTACAAATCCCAAATAAATATATTTAATTTGGATGAAATAAAATGTGATTTGGCGTCCCATAGATCCGTGGCCATTTTGTGTGATTTGACGTCCCATCGATTCTTGGCCATTTAGAGATTAACGTTTGAATATTTTAAAGTTTTATTTCTGTGGGTACGTGCGCGAATAGCTGTCTCGGTATAATCAATATTGTAACAATAAACAGTCGCTATAGGCTCGGATAGCCCTTTCCTTAAAGGAGCTGAACCTCTAACTCAATGTTTTCCACGATGTTTGAATTAAAAACACGAATCAGAATTCTGTATTGATCAATTTCAAACAATATTGATGTTGTTATCTTGTCGTGAAAATATGGGATCCTAGTTTCCAACATTTAAGACACAATGAACATTTCATAATCAGTATACGGGTCGCGTATCTATGGTTTCGGGCGCCGTTTTGTAATGAACAAAGAAAACATATCCTACATTACAATGCGGGAGTAATCGCTGATTCACAAACTCAGCAATAATTATAATGGACTAGTTACGTGTAAACGACTGTCCTTGAATATAGACTGTTCGCGTATTTCACCGAACATAATTGATTAGAAATTAGAATAATTTTTTTTAAAAGTACATTCATATTACATTAATATTATGTGCTTTTAAATCCATTTATGGTTTAAAGAATAAACCCACGTCCTTTAATTTGAACCAGTGGATGCCAGGCAAGATACGCCCACATTTTGATACATGCCAATTTTGAAAGGAACCGAGATCTTTGGAAGATATACCTATATTTCAGGTTTCTTCCAAATCGGGTAAAAACTGTAACCCACAAACAATTTGTGGACGGACGATCGGACAGGAGCGACGACAATATACTTCACATCAAAATGTGGGCGTATAAAATATATATAAAACAAAATGACGAAATACATTAGAATATTGACCCAAACCTTTCTATCTATAGAATTCATTCACTGCGAGTGCTGGTTTTAGAGGTCAGTATGTTAACCTTCAATGATTTGGACTACGTGTCAATAAACATGTGGCTTCTTTGGCACCGATTAAATCCAACACGTGATAGATTTCCCTGATCGATAATTCAGGTGTATATACACTTGCAAATATGTCTTCCACGCTCTAATGAGTTTGAATGTTTTAAATAAATGCACTCTATTGTAATATGATCGAACAAAGCTTTTTCTTGTATAGTCTGGATATTTAATATAAGTTTATGTTAAATCCTGTTCTTGAGCCATTACAGCCCATCCCAACCATTGTACATAGACATCCTTTAGGCGATTTTTGATACCAGTGAATATTATGTATTTAAGATACATAAAATATATATTACGAGGTCAATCGAGTTTACTTTGTAGTATGTTCTTGCCTTCATAACACTAGACCACCGCAATACTAAGATGTAGGTTAACTTATTTGATCACTGGTATATAGGCCAACAGAGAGTGCCCATACAGTTATCTTAACCATTTGTGACATTCGCGGATTCACATTGCTGAAGTCTTTAAACAATTTGTTATATTATACAGGCCAGAATTCCCTATTCATTCATGTCCCCAGATTCACACTGCATAATGTTTTGATCTTATAAATTAAGAAATTTCACATGTAAAAAATAGAAAACAGCTTATGATCTATAAGAGGTAATGGAATTTCTATCAGCAGAAGTGCTGATGGACAAAAGTGGTTCTCTCACTTTAACATTGATAAATTCAGTCAATGCTATGAAACAGCTGATTTTACTTTCAACAGTCGACAGTTTTACTAAAACTAATAACCAGCCAAATTTCTGAGATAAATATTTAGTCCTATGTTAATTGAAACGTGTCAGATTAGACATGACTCCAAAGGTCAGAGCTGCCTCTTAAATTCATTGTATTTTACTCTTACACCTTGCACGGTAAATAGGGGATATTTGGTATTGGTTAGCTATCAAAATCTGTTAACATACTTTTTACTACAGAGAACTTCAATAAAGCCTTTATTATCAAATCCCTGTCATATATAATTGGTCCCATTTCCACAAAACCATAGTGTGCAAAAAACAAATGTACTATTATTATAAACTGTAAACCATAGTGTGCAAAAAATAAATATACATGTACTATTATTATAAAATGATAAAAAAAAGTCCAACATATTTTTAACTTTTTATTTCTTTTTCTTCAAAATATACAATTAATTAGAATATAACAGAATATTTCTAATGTTAATTGAGAATTTCAATTTAATAGATTGCTGATGTAATTAATAATCAATGAATAATTAATGTATGAATATGAATGAGTAGTAAGGATGAATGATATATTTCTCTAAACTCACTAACACAGTGTAATCAATATATGTCTATGTACACAAACTTAATAATATTTACATGGAGTAGATAACAATACAAATGATTATGGCCAGCCAACACTACAGCAATTTTCACATGTTGTTTTAATCAGGCTTCCCTTTTCTCTGCAAACTTTTCATAGTGAATTTTCATATATTTGCACTCTGTAACTGTCATTAGTACCCTTGGCTACACATTTCTGAACAACACATCTGATATAATGTCATAGTTAATGTGATCATCCAGGCATCCCATGCTAAAACAAGAGCCAAGAATAGTAATGATATTTTACGAACCCGTCTTATGCCAAAATGTGCATACCAATCAACAAGCAATTTGTCTTCATCTTAACACAAATTCGAAAGGAAGAAAATTTACACTATGTCACTGAATGTGCTGGCCCAACAAACAATCTTTCCTCGAAATGAATCACGCTATATTACCAACAAATGTTTTCAGGATAATACATTTTATAATGTAACATTTACAATTTTCTTTTTTTTTTTTTAAAAAATCCAAAACAATTAAGTCATTTGGTTAAAACAATAAAACCAACTATAACCTATTTTTTAACAATATTTTCCACTTGATGGACCAGTTGCTAAAATTAATTTAAGAACATAATATTTCCTAAACACAGATAAGAGTGAAATGATAGTTCCTAAAATGAAGATAAATATTTCCTTTCAGGACTTCATTTTTACATCTAGAACCAATATAAATATTCAGGCAATATGGTGAAAAAATGATATTGCTATGATATATAAGCATGTATATATCTACATAAATCTACCACAAAAGCACCGGAATATGATAGGCTATATACTAAATGGTCTCTTTAAAGTGTATGAATTGTTTAAACAAAAGAAATGGAATGTGTAAACAACTGTGCTATTATTTATTTAACTAACCAAAAATGAGAATATGATTCAGTCACTTTTCTAACATACCACTTCTTAAACAATGCCCATTAAATCTACATATATTGTATAGCACTTTCTGCAATAATTTAGAACTTAAAACCTTTATTGTACATCATACTTGATGCACATATATACACAGTCACAACTAATATTATGATCAAATTCACTCAAAATGGGACTCACTAAAGTTTTAGCCAAGACTAAGCTACCTTGTGCATTTTATTTGGAGGGCAATTCATATTATAGATATTTTTAAACCAGCTGCCAAGTTTTGAAATTTGCACCAAATCTCATTACCAACAAGTTATCATGATGATTGGGTCTACTAGTCAAAAACATCCAGTTTCTGTATTAATATGATACTTCAAATCATGTCTCAAATTCAACTGTGTTTACTTTTACAAATAATCATGAATTTGACCAGAAAAGCATCTTAAGAATTACACTAAAGATTAAAACAGATAGATATATATATCTTTTAATATTTTACTTCTGCCACAAATTGGAATCTTTACTTCTTGTGGTTTTTCCTCTTTTTATTTATTTTTGCTTGGTCTTCAGAGTTTCCACTAGCACAGCTAACATTTCTGGGAACCAAAAATACATCACCATCACTAGACTGCTGCAATGAATATTCATTAGGATCATAAGGATGGCCATGTTCATCACGTAGAGAGTCAAATATTTCCTGGTACATCTGACTGAATTTGGCCTTCATTTCCCGTGCTTGTTTGTCAATCACCTGGCGTTCATTAATCAACTTATCTCGTGTATGTTTCAACTGGGTCAACTCCTCTTCCACAGTCATTACTAAGTCCATTTTCCGTTTCCTGCAATTCTGTGCAGCCACCTTATTCTTGCCTCTACGTCTGATGTCTCTGATCAGCTGTAGTTGGGCATCCTCTAATTTGTATTTGGTCAGCATCTCATTAAATTCTTCTACTGGCGACTCTGTTATCTCTTCAACTGTAAAGGGTACTTTTAGTTCTGCTGCTCTTTTAGCATCCTTGGGTGCAGGTCCCTTATGCCTAGGCTTTTCTGATTTCATGTATTTCTTGACTTCTTTCGGCTGCATGCCAGGTGGAGCAGGATAGGTGTGGTTATGATGAATATGCTGGGAGTCTCCACTTTGACGACTGAACTCTGTGTCGTTAGATGAAGTTGAGAAATTGCTGGGTGATGATTCACTGCGACTGTAGCCATAAGAATTGAAGTTGAAATGATACTCGTCTCCATCGTATTTGGATGATTTTGAAAATGTGGGACTATCATAATCACTGCCACCAGTGGCTCCCTCTACACCATCATATGGGGACATACTACATGAATCATTGGGCTCCTGAAGAAAAACAAATAAGAAAATCATTGGATTTGATTTAAGTAAAAAAAAAAAAATACAATTTTCGATATCATATGTTGCACTGTTTTTACATGAACAAGATCCAAGAAACAATCGCTGAATAAATTTTGACTGAATGTTAAACAAAATCTAATTTGCATAGTAAATATGCACAATTTATAGTATTTTCCTAAAATACTAATACTAGTTCAAATGTTTTCATCTTATTCAATGAATTCCAAAATGTTCATTTGTTGGGGTTATTTAAAATTGCTAAAAGGATGACTTTGACTCTAACTTGGCACTTAGTTAAGATAACTGATGCCTGTAATCATCTCACGAAACAAAGGACACAATGTCAGTCTTTCATTCCAAACATAGATATGTTGGGACAAATCAAACTACCAATTCTGTCGGGGAGAACGTTACAAAAATATTTGAAACAAATCAATCTACTAACTCTGTCGGGGAGAACGTTACAAAAATATTTCAAACAACTAACCTGTATCGGTGAAGCACTTCCCATTGATATAGCTGAATCACTACCTCCGTCATCTAACATCTGAATAGTTTCAAGACCTAAAAACAAAAAAATATAACAATGTCATTTTGGGACTAACATATGGTTCAATTTTATTTTAATAATTTGCTTGTACATAGGGGTACACACGAGGTTGGACTGGCAGCCCTACTCCTTGTCATGTACCAGCCTAGAAATCAAAACCATGCCACTTGACAGAACTATGATCCATCAAGTTAAACCATTTGAATTCTTTGTAACAACCTCTCCTACCCAAGTACCATAATGTACCTTTGTTTTATAAATGAATTGCCCCCCCCCCCCCCCCCCCCCCCCGCAAAAGCATATGGAATATTGCTATATCATGCTAGCGGAAGAGGTGCAAATAGATAAATATGTAGTACGCATGGAAGATAGAAAAACACTTTATATATTCATTTATTCCCACCTTTTATAACAGCTAAAATTTCAGAAATAGAACCTACCTTCAGTGAAAGCAATGTCTAATTCTTCATCAGCCAGGAATAAATCACCAACTTCTGTACTATTGATGTTAGTTGACAAGTTAGATAAGAACATGCTCTCTGTATTCCAGTCTAGATTGGTTAACGATCCAGTATTCGGAATAGATGCATTGTAATCCTGACTTGGCGGCATCAACCCTGTCAATCAAATACAGAACATGGTTAAAACAAAGATTTAGTTTTTACAACTAAGTAGATGTAGTGATACAACAGAAATGTAGAAGCACAGAGTCTTCAAATCTATGACACTCTGGCAGGAAATGAGTCAATTCATTGTGATAAACTTAATAATAATTTCTTTATAAGAATATCAAACTGGTAGCTTAATAACAAGTGGACTGAACAATACAACCCACAGATTAAATTTTATATTAACAAATATAATCGATTTAACACAAATGAAACTAGAAAGATCTTGTCAATATTAAATAAATGCATGGTTTTCTCTCAACAGATTCAATCAAAATTAAGCTACCTGATACATAAATACAAAAGAGAGTGTTTAACATCCATTTAACACTGACTGGGTAGTTAAAGGACTCGCATATCATATATATTTTTAAAAGCAGAGTACACAGAGACAAATAAAAAAGAAATGCAGGCAGTCACATGAGATGTTAATTCACAGGTCTTATGATATCATTACACATCGTATCACTTGGGCACACAAACACTGACACAGAAATAAGAAACTGATTTACTTGTTTTGAAAACTGCATGCAAATGACACATAAATGAACTCACGACTCAAGATTATTTGACACAAGAAGTTAATAGTCTCTGTAGATACGTATTACGGTACCAGGATAATCCTCCTGTTTCCCCCCTTCCCACTTCCCCAATTAAAAGCAGACATTTCAACAACACATCAAATCCTCATACCTGATTCATTTGTTGCTGTTTGTATTATGGAAGTGAGATTTATATCTGAAGGCGGTACCGGTAAGGTGGCGTTTTGTAGAAGAACACTGTCATCAGAATCAGGTGAATTAATATTCATGGAACTTATATTCATAGAACTAATGTTCATAGGAGTAACATCATCCACAGGCTGTGATTCATGAGTCAATTCCAACAGAGTGACTAAATCTTGCCATCTATCTTCAAAACTTTCATGTCTCTCAACATTTTGTGGCTGGGCCTGAAAAACAAGTAATTTTCAATATTACAACCAATGCCTGTAATAAATATCTTGTTGTTAAAGAAGTTGTCATAGAGACTGATTAAATAATTTCTTACATAATACTGTTTCTGTCATTGGAATTATTACTTGCTATGCTTTACAATTGTTATCATTAATTATCTCCAATTTTAATACCAACACAAAGGATTAAAACATACTTAAAACATATAAATCTTTGAAAACCTTTTAGTACAGTAAGTATATTACATTGCCTATTACTACAGGCCCCGAATTCACAAAGCATTCTCAGACTTAAGTTAAGAATTTACTCAACTTTCAATCAATGTTTATGAGAAATATCTTTACTCCAGAAACAAAACTTTGCACATAATTTCTTATTGTTGTATTTGATACATTAAAACAACAAAAGTTTTATGAAGGGCTATATTTTGGTTGAAATAAGGTGAACAATTTTGAGTAAATTCTTAACTCAAGTCTGAGAATGCTTTGTGAACTCGGGGCCTGATCTGTTTATCTACACAAGATGAACTAAGAACAATGTTTACAATAAATATCAATCTGATCAACAGAAGCTATATGCACTTTACTGTAGTAATTAGAAATCTATTGCATAATTTTGCTATGTAACAAAACTTTCAATGCATATTACTATTATTAAACTTTGGTCATTTTGGTATAGATGAAGACCTGTGGCAAGGAAAAAGTATTTGAATTAACTTAAAATAACCTACCACTTCATTTTGATTATAATATGGTTCAGGTTGTGTGCTAATATTAAGGTATGATGTGTCAATTGGTGGGGCTTGAGGAACTGGTATGACAGGGGCTACTGGCGATACTGGCTCTTGTGGTGGTAATATAGAATTATTATTTGTTTCAAATAAAGAATAATTTCCAACTTCCTGATTCAAAAAATCCAAAGCCTCTTGTAGAGAAAAATTCTGAAAAATAAACAAGATGCCATAAAATATCTACAAATAATTTTAAGATTTCTTTTTACCACAACCACAAAACAGGCTGGTGTAAAAATAGATAAATTGTGGGATTTATGAAATGAAATGGGGTTTAACGTCCTACTGCTCTGTGTGAGATTTATGAATAACTTTGTTATAGCCTACCAGCAATAAATATCAATGTAAGATGTTGTTCTGTGTTCCAGCGGTCAGAGTAAGAGCAAAATGTTCCGTTCATCCGGATAAACAGGGGTGACAGCAATATACAACAATAATTCATGTATATGACTTTTGAGCATTGGACATCTGGATGAACATGCAGATAAATTGGCTATGAAGTTACTGACAAATTTGTACTTTGTTGGCCTACATGTGCAATGTATGTAGCCATATAAAAGAAACTAGAAACATCTCCTGACAATAATAGGTTGCACTGAACCAAGAGCAGTGATGATAGACAGTTGACTGTAAAATTACACATCTTCACTTCAAGCATCTATGCCTTCCTACTAGTCTGTTACTGTTAGCTACAGTACCCTTCCTATTAGTTTACTTTATCATTTTTGACTTACAGTTACAGCATACTTTACATTTGATTGACTCAGGACATTGTTATGACATGGTGATTAGATTATGAAGAGTCGCTAACTGTAGCAGACCGAGGTGAAGGTCAAAATGCCTGTATTTCTCAGAATCAAGTCTGATTAATACAGAATCAAAAGTTTGAAGTACAAATAAAGATAAAATCAAACCTCATCTAAATGTGACAACTGGGCATCATTTAATACATCAGTCAATGCTATATCTTCTGGCGCTTGTAAAAGATTATTATCCTGGGTAAGAGGAACCCATTCACCTGAAAATTAAAGAAAGGTTTTAATAATACTAAGTTATAATAGTTTATTATTCCATAACATTTGCAAAAAAACACTTTAAAAAAAGTAATCTTGAAAATAACACTCAAATGTTTGTAATTCAAAACATATTATTTCCAAAATATAGCAACAATCCACTTTACAAATTTTTTTCAAAAGAATGTATCCAATATCAGAATGGCAGACCAATGACTTACCAGTTTCCCCATCTTGGGTAAAATGATTAGTCCGCCATAGTTGCTCTTGATTTCTCTTTTCATCTTGTAATTTTTGACGTAATATTTCCAATTCTTTTTGCTATAATAAATAGTTAAGCGGATATTCATTACATTTACAACAAATTTGAATCTATCAAATTACAATAAACTGATTCATAATAAATAGATTCAATTAAATATGGTATATTACATTACATATATCTGGAGGGCTAATTATATATATATGTTGACTCAATAAGTTGCCTATGGGTAATGTTCGCAATATAAATGTATTTTTATGTACTTACCTTTTCTCTCTTTTTCTGTAGTTCTATTTCTCTATCGCGTTCTAATTCTCGTCTTAATTTGACGTCAAACACATCTTTACCTACACCTAAATCTATATCCTGTCTCCATAGTACATCAATCAAATCTAGATCCTGTAAATAAACAAGAGATACTTATAATTTTCAAACGGATACAATTTTAATAAGATAAACAATGTTTCCATAGCCACTCAATCCCACATACACGGCTTGATTACTTCAAAAATACACAACAAAGCACCTAAAACTTATAGAAATAAGACAAATTCAACATAATATTTTGTCTTACCAGGTTATTATTTGACTCCGATACGGTTGGCTGAACATTATAATAGTGATAACTTTGACTGACAGGCGAAATTACATCAAAATTGGAATAATACATAATTTGCCTTTGAGTTCTTGACTAAATATACAAATTTTCAAAAAACTGTTCCAAAAACGTTGATATTTCTTCTACAAAAACATTTCACAATTCACAAGACCAGATTATAACTTATAAGGAAAATCGCAAAACAGGAAATAAATCAGTGTTATACAATTCTAGGGTGTATGAATCACAATTTATTCATTGTAAAGAATCGCATGGTTAACCTCACATACAGGATATAAGATTAATCAACATCCACATCTACTTTAAAGTGACAGAGTCTCATTGAGATCCTTCTTCCAAATTACCATATAAAACATCCTACTCATTAATCTATATATGTTTAAGCTTACATCATATTGGAGCATTCCCAACTCACACCAGAAATTTTTAATTCTTCACGGGAGGGGGGGTATGGGGGGGGGGGGGGAGATGGCCGGAGAACTGTATCATAAGGCCTGTCACTAAGTCAACTGCCGTGGTTTTGAATTCCCGGTTGTACGTGACAAGGAGTAGGGTCCAACCTCATTGGTTTTCTCCGGGTCCTCCGGTTTCCTCCAACTGCTAAGCTAAAGACCCCTACGCACAAGCGAATTATTGAAATAAAATTAAACCATCTGTTAGTCCCGAAATGACCTAGTCTGTGTCGAGTGGACGTTAAACCCCATTTCTCTCTCTCTCTAATTCTTCACAATACTTATACATGCATTAATTATAAATAAACCAGAAAAGTATGCAAACAATAAAGTGGAGGACCCTTCGGGCCTACACCTTATCGTTAATGCCATCCGGTGCGAATGTTCTTAAAGTGTGAATCCATTTGAATTCATTGGCGTTTCTTATGGGATCGCTTTTGCCATGATCTGGGTCAGTCTTAAAAAGCTCTATAATTTTAACCATAACATTTCTACTCATATGTCCATTTAAATTGAAAAAAATTGGGCCCACAGTTTTACTTGTACAAGTATGAGATAAGCAATACGGAAAGAAAAGTATGATCGCAGTGCATGGTTGATTACTTCAGGAAAGCAGTACCGGTAGCGAGAAAAGGGTCCAACCTGCACGGACAAAGTGGACTCTGCACTACACGGCAGCGCAGATTGCAATCTGCGGGAGTGGTGGACAATGTGCCCCACAGACACATCGGAGCAATATCAAAATATGAAGTCTCAGATGATCACGGAACATACAATAAAACCAATAATTATCTGAGTGGTGGACAAGATCTAAAGTCTAGCCCACATATCATTGGGTCAATATAGAAGATAATTCAATCTTTGACCTTGTTCATTTGACTATTCTGTTCAAACATCTATAGAATTGATTGAACAAATATTTCAGTAGATTTTGCCAGTAGTCACACTTTTATGAAATGAATCGCTATACCAGTACTGGTACCCATACTCTTTCATTGTCATGTGATTGCTGACAAAGCACTTCAAATAATTGTCAAAAACTAAAACAACTGATAGTGACACCCACAAAGTAGACCAAGACAACATTTTGTTTTTTTTGTACCTCTTCACTCGGATCACTTGCCACTTCATTTGGTATTAATAACGCAGTGGCACCCACAGTTTCATCGTCAGTTACATTGAATGGCTCAGTGACACCATTTGCCAATTCAACAGAGCCATCGTTTTCCACCGACGCTGAACTGTTTATATTTGGTGTAGTATTATCCTGTGGTGTACTTGCTGCAAAGCTTGAAGGCAATGTGGAAACTGCATCAACTAAGAAGGCCGATATGTCAGTATTTTCAAAAGGTGCAAATCTTGAAAGACTTTGTAAATCACGGAATAGCACTGAATTGAAATCACTGTCAAAATTTTTGGGGTGAACAAAATTACTCAAACTGTTTGAACTATAAAACTGGTTATGGATATTTGATGGAATATACGCTGCAGTTTGTCCCAATAATATTTCCTGAACTTCAGGATACTGTATGAGATTCCCATTCAAAATGCTGTTCAAATCTGTCCGCAATAAACTGAGAATAATTGCTATTTGTATTAACCCGTCTGTAAAATACTGTTTGATCATTTTGTTTAACTATTCCTCTAAATATTCAACAATAAATTATTCAATAAATTAAGCACTGTTACACCAAATCCACCTTTCCACTTTGAATCCTCTTTGTTTCGATTTCCCACTTGCGTGTTGTTGTGATTTTGCTATAAATAGTAACACCGATGGCTGTCATCATAACAGACACGCATAGTCTATCCTAAACAGTTTTAATTTGGCGGTACTACGAAACATTTGTGCAAGTTAGAGGAGTGTTAACCGCTTTGGGAATCATAAACATATCGGTGACAAAACTCCGAAAACCTTAATGTACATAAATAAGCATAAATTCGTTGTTTTTTCTCGAAAGTTCCAAGCAAATTGCAGCACTAGTAATGAATCAGCGGATTGAAGTTATAATTTACGTCACTTCCATAGTTGATGCGCATGTATAGTATATCAAAAGGGATTACAAGATCCCGTTCGGTACACTATGACCTCAATATACAACACAGAAATACCGACTACCATTATAATATAACACACTTGGGCATTACACGATTATCTAATTAACACGCTTACGACCCAGTCCTTAGTTAAATCAATTAACTGTTGATTAACATAATTATTACACACTGAAACAAAATCAACAAAATTCAACAAAAACAAACAAGATTATCTGTCGATAAAATTTTGTTCATATTAAAAGTAGGTTACGGGGACGTCGCCCCTCGAAATCACTTCAAAAATCGTGATTAACTTAAGGACAACTCGTTGGAAAGTCGAGAATACTCGTAAACTTACCTGAACGTTCTCATGTTGTCTTTCTAGAGACACTAAATTCTCCAATTCCATCATTTTCGTGGTTTATTTACGGAGACTCCCAGACACTCCGATCCTTAAGTGTATAGCCTATGGCCGATGGAGAAATAAGCTAGTTATGACCTTTTACCTCTTACACTCTTAGAATCTTGTCATTGGTTAATATTACTGGTAGGTTGTAATAACTGTACATGCAATCTACCGTATATTTAGTATAAAGCTCACGCAATATTACATTTCATTATGAATGAATCGATTTGACAAAATTAGAGGAGCGAAATCAAATTAGTAGATTCCTTCCTTTCCACTAAAAAGGGCGTTTATATTTTACGTGTAAGTAACATCATTTTCAAAATAACTTGATACAGTTGAGAAAAAATAACAAAAAACCAAAAACCAAAAAACATTCGAAACCGAACACTCAAATGGACTTGAGTAAATTTGGAATAAATATCTAATCATCCGTGGGAAACTCAGTTTCATATTTCACATAACTGGGCTTATAATGAAGACAGGCATACGCCATACAGTGTACGCTATGAGGTAAATTTTGCCCGGACAGCGGACGGGAGAGAGAGCTAGAGAAATGGGGTTTAACGTCCACTCGACACAATTAAACTAGGTCATTTCGGGATTAACGTAATGGTTTAATTTTATTTCAATAATTCGCTTCCGCGTATGGGTCTTTTTGCGATGGGAGGAAACCGGAGGACCCGGAGAAAACCCACGAGGCTGGACAGGCGACCCTACTCCTTGTCACGTACAACCGGGGATTCGAAACCACGCCAGTTGACTCAATGACAGGCCTTATGATACAGCACGCATGTGCTAACCATTCGACCATCCAACCCCCGACAGCGGACGGCCTACTTTTATATCGAACTCCAACTGCCAAGGGTTCTTTTATGTGCACCCGTTGTTCATTGCCAAGCACCCCGTCCTGAACCACAGACTAGGGGGGGGGGGGGGGGTCACCACGCCGGAAAATCCTGATAAACTTTCTTGCTCCACACAGGGATCAAACACGGGGCCTCCATATTAGCAAGCCTACGTAGAGCGATTGATAACCGCGTGGGTGACCACTGGCGGCAGAGCGCGACACTGGCGCGCTCACTATCAATTTTTTCGTCAGTTTCGGTCCGATATTTACGAAATTTGAACTCACCGTCATTATGGTGTAACGGGTTATATTTGAACGTTTTTTAAAATGAAATAAAAATTGTGACGTCAAGAGGACCAACAAGCTAAAAAAAAACAGGGCGGGATCCAGGATTTTCAGGAAGTTATGGTCCGAAATGCGCAAATATCGCACGGAACCTATATATATTTGAACAGTTTTTAAAATGAAATCAAAATTGTGACCTCAAGAGGACTCACAAGCTCAAAAACGCTATGTTTCGTACAATCAGGGTTCATAAGCCAGGAAGTTACCGTCCGATATGCGTTAATATCGCAAGGAACCGAGATGTTTGGGGTATAAACCGATTTCAAGTTTCGTCAAAATTGGATAGAGTGTTCACAAACCAAAAGTGAACGGGCGGTTAGGAGCGACAATATACGTCCACATAAAAATGTTGGCGTATAAAAAATGTCTTCAATGTAAACTTCGTCAACTTTATAATTCTAATTCAAAACTGTATACAACCAAATATGTTAGCTCTGTGAAGTACTACGACCTCCGTTAACAAGGTGTCATTGATGTAGTTTGAATACGCATACCCTGCATTTCTGTGAACCTGGATTCCAGAAGCCGACGCTTTGGAGATAACCACCCGTTCCAATAGCCAAAAGCCTTCACCATTCCAAGTACAACAAATATTTGTTATGTGAGGCATTAAAAGAAAAGGCAAGCATATCTTGGCTATGGGTGGGAGGGGTGGATGACCGAATGGTTAGCACTCCATTGAGACAATTGGCGGGGTGTCGATTCCCCAGTGGTATACGTGTCGACAGTCCAACCTCCTTGTTCTCCGGTTTCCTCCCACTGCTAAAGACCCCTACGCGCAAGCGAATTATTGAAATAAAATTGAAACATATGTTAGCCCCGAAATGACCTAGTTTGTGTCGAGTGGACGTTAAACCACCTCTCTCTCTCGGCTATATTTTACATAGTGCATAAACCCATCACTAATTATACCGTAAAGCAATTGATTTCTAAATGTTTTATAGGGTTCTTTTACGTGCACACCAACGTGTATAAGGGACCACCTTGCGCACCCCTTTGATCTGATTTTCGAGACAACTGTATGAGAAATGGATAATACTTATTTACTATATTATTATATACAACTGGCGGTAGTTTTTACTTTGATGTCCATAGCAGTTATATCTCATAAGAACCTGTCATGACATCATCATAGGTTGATATATTCGTTCATATCAACCGCTGATGACGCCATGACAGGTTGATATTTCATATCAACCGCTAATGACGTCATCTCAGGTCAATATATTCGGCTCATATCAACCGCTGATGACGTAGATGATCGAAATAATACCCAAAAAAACCCACAGAAATAAATTTTTATTCTTTTGACAATTAAAATTTGTTATGGTACAGTTTCTAACATTCAGGACCGAATTAGACGGCGTACTTATCGACATACATGTATTTAGATCGGTTATCCATGTCTAAGACATCTTTCAGAATTTTCTTTTCGTCCACATTGCGATTATTTCTCCACACACTACACGATTTGAAAGTATTTATCGCCCAAGAGTTCCTTTGTAAAGTATTTTTGGGTACAGTCCACTTTAAACAGTCGGTCAAATCCTTCTCTGAACATACCGAAAACCTTCAATCTGACAGAGTTCACTGTCAGAATTCTTGGAAAAGAATGCCTTTTGGTCCAAATTTTCCGCAGGCTTTGGATAGATCCTCGTCGATGTTTGCATTCACATCTATCCCATCGTCAATATGTTGGCTAAAAAGGATTGATTATTCGTCTGACTTCGTATTACTATCCATTTTGTTTTTGCTTTCAATTCAATAGTCCAAAATGGCGACTTATAAACAAAAACATGCACGTACATGTAATTGCACTTGATTACTTCGGTAATTTTCGCTATTTGGCGGAAACTATCGAGCAATTATCCAATCGTTGTTGCCTTTTAATGGAAAAGCCCATTAAATTTAAGGGTGAAATGGCGTTGTATATGTCGGATATAAACCTACTCTCCCTCGGATTGATATGATAGAGAACGCTTGGGCTTCGCCCGCGCGTTCTCTACCATATCAACCTCGGGTAGGTTAATATCCTATACATAGCGCAGTCATTTCCAATTTCCGGAATCTTTCTGGGAAAATAACAAATATGGTAAAAATTCGTTGCATTTCTTAACACCAATGCAGATTATTTTTACCGTTAAGTCAGGTAAAATCAAAATACGAGAATAAATAGCTTTTTATATTGTAAATTGCTATATAAACTCTACTAAAATGAGCATTATATGGCTCTTAAATCACCAACATAGAGAACACGTCGTGAAAGCAGTTTTCGGGTTTTATTACAATACTGAAATAGTTATGAAGCAGAAATGTTGTTGTTGTTGTTAGTTAGTTGTATTTTACGTCCGCTTCCACCGAGGTGATATCGCAGACAAAAAAAAAGCAAAAATGCTCATCACAATCTCTTTAAAGGCTCAATACCACTCTTGTTGTAACTGAATAATATGTCCCAATCTTTATTCTGGTCAACAAATGTACTATTTTAGAATATTTCAATTAATTGATGATACAAATTTCACCTTAACACACCTTATTTAAAAATTTTGAAAAATTCAACATAATGGTTTGAAACGTCTAACGTAAACCTTTTCAAATGAAACTTCGATTTAAAAATATTTTCGAACCCTCTGCACAAGTAAAATAGGATGTAATGGATAATTTACACAACAGGTAGGACACTTAAACATCTAGTACTTAAATAGAGATATTATTTATTTTCTGGAGCTTTCAAGCCAGCAAGAGTGTTATTGTCCCTTTAAGGAAATAATGTGAAAACGATATCGTGGGAAGACCACAAAAAACAATCATACGTTGGACGATTCGGACAAATAATATAAATAATGCAACGATCCCAGCAAATTTCAAATGACCCATACCACTTATATACGCCCACATTTTCATGTGGACGTGTATTGTCGTCGCCCCTTTTCGTCTGGACGTCCGTCCTCAATTTGTATGTGGACACTCTACAGGTCACAATTTTTATCCGATTTTGACAAAACCTGAAATATAGGTTTATCTACCAATGATCTCTGTTCCTTTCGAAATTGGCATGCATCGGATCGTCATTTCAATGTACGAAAAATCACGTTTTTAGCTTGCGAATAATCTAGAGGCCACAATTTTTATCCGATTTTGATGAAACTGTAAATATGTTTATAATCCAATTTGTATCCGATTTAAACAAAAAGCAAAAAAAAAAAAAAAAACGTTTACATCCTAATGATGACCGAGTTCGAATTCGTGGAAATCAGACCTAAACTGCCCGACAAAATGGCTGCTGCTAAATTTGATGAAACTTAAAATATATGTTTATATCCAAACGATCTTTGCTCCTGCAGTCGATATTTGTGGATATCGGACCAAATCTTTTTTTTTTTGGCTTGTTCCCTGTCCATCTCTTGCAAAATGTGGGCGTATCTTGCATTGCAACCGCTTGTTTAATTATTCTATTCCACAGGGGACTTTGTCGGGTATGTAGTACCATGGGTCGTCTGTCAGACGTGGAGAGCTAAACCCGGTCGCCACATCCGACGTATAACCGATACATCGTTTCTTACTACATATTCTGGAACAGCTTATGATCGTCTAGTATTGTCTCTGGCCGTATTTGTTTCTTATTTTCTTCTTGTAGGACTCCACTTTAAATATTGTGTAGCCTATTTATTCTGCCATTCAGTTTATGGTTACACACAGTAACAACAATACCACATTTCGTTTCTACATTTTATATTAAGCACTGCTACATAGGTTACAAAGTTACAAGCATAATAAAGTCATTCTCTCTAACCCGCCCTCATATTATTTTACATAGATGTTTCAAAGCACAAATTCTTTTCCTCCATATTACTACAGGTATCTCGTTCACAAGCTTTCGTAAGTCCGAGAGAAAATTTGGAATATAAAGCAGAAATATTTGATCGAACGATTTCGAATTTTGAATTGGTCAAGTTTCAAACCCAGAAAATGCTCTTCTATTAATGTTTTTGTTTACTCTATTTTTTTTTAATAAATGTACATAATGTTGCTACTAAATTGGCAAAGATGGTTTGGTAAGTAAAATCCGATGAAAACAGCCAGCAGAAAATAATTTCAAAACCAATACATTATCAAATTTGTTGTCAATTACATTAACACTATATAAACCTGGTATAGAGTAGAGAGAACTATGGTTTAATGTCCACTCGACACAAACTAGGTCATTTCGGGACTATCACATGGTTCAATTTTATTTTATTAATTCGCTTGCGCGTAGGGGTCTTAAGCAGTGGGGGGAAACCCTTCGGACATCCAACCCCCCAAAACCTGGTATAGTAAAACATCTCAAAACTGGGCTAATGCAAAACAAAGATGGGTTTTGTAAGTTGTATCATATTGTATATAAATGTTTTATATTATCTACGAAATAACATTGTTTCTTTATCTTTATCCTACATTCTGACAGGAAAATAAACTAAACAATTCTTTATATATAAATCATGATCCATTTTGGTGGAAAAATTTGAAAGTCAGAAAAAAAAAGATTCGTGTTATGTGATTATTCAGATTTTTTCAACAGGCCTGCTATATGGTAGACCTATGTATACTATTGTTAGTGAGTAGAATTTATAGAGACATACATTTAATAATAATAATTATACTTTTCAAAAAAAAGTAGGGGATATTGAAATTCAAATACCTATGCAGGTTGTGATATGATAAATATTCATGGGCACTTGACATGCTTTGAGAGTATTTTCACAGATGAAGATCTTATCGCCCCAATAGAACCACTGAGCTGCACATGAGACACGCAATAGCGCCATACACGTGGGAGGGGTTCATTGTCAAATTTGACACTTCAAAGAAGGGTTGATGAAAACTGCCGCGTGCTGGTTTATCTATCCATGTTTGCTTTCCTATCGGTTCTTGCATAAGATTTACTGTTTAGCGTATCTTTGCTTTAGTGTGTTGCGTTTAATTTGATCGGGAGACGTGTCCGTCGACGTCAACGTCCACCGACAACACTGCAAGAATTTGCCGTGGCACTGCAAGAGGAGTGGGTCAGATTGCCCCAAATCGTGATTGGACGGTTGATTAGGAGCATGCCACGACGAATTGCTGAATGTCTGAGGATTGGTGGAGCAATTACTCATTATTAAGACAAAAATCAAAAACGTCCATTTTCACTTTTGACGGTGTATCTCTTTGCGAGTGAAATGGGGTCGTCAGATAAGCCGCCCATATGAACTGTTTATGTTCATGTGTAGGCAATTGGCCTGTTATTAACATGCACTTGTTACCTCTAATAAAAACAGCAGTGCATTTGCGCAATTTTGTATTGTTCCTGAATATCCCCTACTGTTTTGAAGAGTATATAATTATAAGCCCCGCAGTCCTTTTAGTTAATTTTAAGGCTGGTTGATTATGTCTACAGGAAGTTTATGATTTGTTGACAAAATGGCCGAATTTTAAAGAAATTTCAGCAACGAAACATAAACGAGATCCAAAAATGTCAAAGAGTCCACTTAATAACGCACAAAAAGAGGCAGATTCCATAAAGAAATCGGTAATTGTTTCTAGTTTATGCTTTATTTCTCGAAAGCAATGAGCCAAACGCTTCCATGGTCCATGAAACATTTTTAACTAGAACAGCACAAGTTTTGACATGTCCTCGGGCATCAGTCATATCGACGCGTTTTGTTTCCCACTTGTTTTAACGAGTAGGCTACAGACACAAATGTATGTTACTTTGTCAACAAGCAAACTTATCCAAACAAAATGTTTGGTTAAAGATGGGTTCCCAGAAAAGTATATATCGGGTGGCAATTTTGGTATACCGGTATATGGAAAGTAGAGATATCCAATCTTACTAGAAAAATACTGGATTCCCCGAAAAACACTGATGGAGCATATACAGGACAAAAATGTAAGGGTTCCCCTAATCGACAGCCCGACGATTAGGAATTTCTGCACGCGTGATGTCAAAGGTCACACGTGAACATTGAGCACTTGATGTACAAGTCGATAAACTTTATGAAGAGTTAGACGTACAACACTTTCTGAGATAAAAATGACAGAAAAAGACGCGGGTAGTGGATAATCCGAGAAATTAATTAGGATTCGATATTTGTAATAAATAGTAAGCGATTAAAGACAACATCGTCTTATGTATGCAATGAATTCTCCTCTGACTTCCAAGAGAGGTAAGTCACATGATGTAAACATGACCTGGTTTGATCAAATTTTTATAGCAGGGCATTCCTTTGCAATTACAATGTTTGAGAAGGATTTGAAGCAAAATTATGACAAATTAATTAGTTTGAATATGTTTTTAGTCCATGTATACCATTAAATCACCCAGCTTGTACGCGGGAATGTATCTTTAAGTCCTCAACAACTTTCAAAATATGTTGGTTCAGTCGTCCACATAGAATTGGTTTAGATAACTACACAATATTGGTTATGCCGTTGGCTTTGTCGTCGTATATCAAAGAATACATCCAGTAGGCCTACTAGTACTTATCCTTTGATTTTGATATGATTATAATTTAGTATTATAAGTACAGTTTTTTTGTTTACTGTATAATGTTGACCATGAGTCACAGTAGTGATATCATATTTCACTACATGAGTGTGCTTGTCAGGATAAAACACCTTATCGTAAGCTTACAGTACACATCTAGTTCTGTCAGAACCTAAGTCTCCTTAAAGTTACAGAGCTCAACTATCTTACCCCTGGTACAAATGACCTGTACCATGCCCTTGAGATAGCCTGTGGGAGACACTACAAAGTTAAAGCTGAATGTTTACAACATAATCTGGGGTTAAATTGATTTGACTGAATAGATATTCTCTCACATAAATATGACTTTTTGTGCATATTATATATATATAAACACATGTACTATCAATATCTGTAAAAATATAATGTTCATCGATCGGTTATTAATAACTCAATATTTTGATGTTTTTTCAGGTTGAAAAATTAGTTAAAGAAAGCAACAAAACAATAAAAAATACCAAACTTCAAGATAAAGATGTAAAACAGAAACAATTGTATCTAGAGTAGGTTCTTCATTTTCTGTAGTGTTCTTTATTTTAGCTGTTATAAAACAACACTGCTAAATGTTTACTTTAATAATATCTAAGTTTAGATCTTGATAGGCATTTCAACTTTATTTGAAACATATGTTTGTCTAAGATGTAGCCTAATCTTTCTTTTTTCGTTATGTAGGTGCCGCCGACTGAAAGCAGAGGTTACCAAACATCTAGCTAAAACTGAAGCCTTAAATGCTGTTTGTATTTTTCAATTCATCTATTATCTATCAGAAATTGTGTCAGTGTCATTTAGATGAAATGTCGCTCAGTAATAAACAGTAATTGTATAACATAGACCTGTATCCTGTGTGTGTCTCTGTATTATAAAATTAAACAGAAATTGTTTTGGCTCTGTGAACTTTTCAAATAGTTGAGAAGTTATATACATCTTATGTTCAAATCACAGTTTGAGTTCTAATTGATTTATTTTTAAGAATGATGAACCAAAGAAAGTTAAAAATTATGACAACAAAAAGGGATTTGAAGTGAATAGATTAGGGATTTTTCAGGTAAGATATTTTTAACTTAGTTATATTTTGTCTTTTTGTGGCTTTCTTTGTCCAGTCATTAAGTCATTTATGCTGCACTAACTATTTACAGGGTGAGTTAAACTAAAGTTGCTGTTTACTAAGATAATTTTTAAGAGCGATTACATTTCTTTATTTTTTGTACCAGGTCTATACCATCTTTTTTCTGACATTGTACATGTGACTGTAAAAAAGAAACACAATCTCAAATACTGTGTTGATGAGTTGTATAATTCCACTCCATTCACAATTTTTAAAAAATAAAAAATAGCATTGACATGTATTTATGATTACAAATTTTAGAATCAGTTGTCCCAGGTTATGCCCAAACTTTGTCCAGAGGAAAAGGAAGAAGAATTTATTCAGTAAGTAGTTTAATTTGGTGTAGTATGTAAATTTTGTAACTTTAATTGAAGCTTCCTATTTAGAATCTAATTCATCAGAGTTTCTTCAGTAGAAGAAGAACAACCAAGACTTAAACAATACTATGGGAAAATTGAACAAAACATTCAAAGACATATCTTTCTTTTTCCTCCTCCCTATTTCAGAAAACCTAATACCAACTGCTCTGTAGAAATGCAAGGAGTTCACGGTTTCAGAACCCTATTTCTCAGATATTCCCTGTATGCCAAATCTGAAGAACTATGAAAGTCACACTGTAGTTTAGAAGTTGACATGATCATAGAACTAAAAGCTAGAAATTTTAATATTTTGTTTTATAGGAATAAAGATGTCAGTTAGTGTTTGTTATTCATATAAAATATATTATATCCTTTTGGTCATTCTTTTTAGACAATTGATTAAAAATGGTGAAATTTCTAATGGAGAGGCTTCTAATGAAGATCAAGGAGGTGTTGAAAAGGTGGAAGAAAATAAAGAAGAAAGAGAGGAAGACGATCAACAACCAGGTTGGTAAATATTTAATTGTAATGCATTTCTTAGGGTCAGACTGGTTCCACTTTTATATGGTGACTAAAGCTTGTGTTGTCTACAAACTGTATTTTCATTTTATATATATTGTCTGCTTAGATATCAGTCACTCTACACACAAAATATTATGTCTTTTGGATTACCCTGTTTGGGTGTAGCACATGGACAGTTTTGTCATTTACCCTGTAAAGTGTGACTGACAGAAATAATTATTTCTGTATATATGGCACATGTTTTATGGGTTTGAGTGTATTTGAATTACCTTTCTGATTAAAACACAGATTCTATTTCGTTTCGTTTTACTTGTCTTTACTACACTAGGATCTGGAAGAGTTGTTCTGGTTGATGTGATGGATTAGCCAATGAAACTGTCTACTGCAGCGAGTTCTTGGCGTATGGTACACTGAACTGTGGGTATCCCACTAGAAACATCAACGCTGATTGGTTAATCAAATGTCTGGTCAAAAGTCACTTGTATGGCCCCTGGCACGACCTCCCACTACAACCGAGCAGTTCTTCATGTAGTGGAGGCCATCGAAAATGTTAAAAAAAACAAAACAAAATATAGATCTGTATTTTAATCAGATTAGTGGAATTATTTGTTTGCCTTATGAATTACTTTTGATATGGTTTAGGTTTAGATGCAATTCAAGAAGAAGAAGAAAATATATCAGCTTCGGGTATATTTGACTAGTCATGTAGTATCTTTTAATACCGTATTGTTAGGAATTTAGACATGATATTTATGCTAAATATATATTCTGTGAGTGTCATTTAACTAGTATGTAGGGTGCCCAACAGATCAAGAAATGTTCTTTAATAAAGTCGAACTTACTTAAGCCTCATATGACAATTTCTAAAGTTATTGGGTAACTGCTTTGGTACACATGCATAAGTCAGTGATAGCTAGTATTCACCTAGAGGATATTCTCTATACATAATTTAAAATCAAGAAAAAGCAACGGATTTAAGTCCATTTTGAAATAGATAGAACTTGTTAAATACAACATGACCATTTATTTAGTGATGATAAATGGGGGAAACTAAGGTAAGATGTGTTACACATATGAATATGGTGGGATGATTATCAATATATTTGGAGGTCTGTTTTATCAATGGGCACCCTTACTAGTAGATTAAAGCCCTATTACAAGACACAATTTTATGGGTATTATTTATTAGATTTATTCATTTACTTGATAAATAATATATAATTGTGGTTGAAATGTTCTTTTAGATAAATCTAATACTAAGATTATTATTCATGAAACTGTGTCTTGCAATGAAAGCCTACTGAAATTAACCATTTATTCTGTTTTTGTAGTAATATTTTGATAGAAATATATACAAATATACCTTTTTTCCTAGTAGTCTTTATATAAAACAAAAAAAAACAAAGTAAAAATCAAACATAACTTGACTAAGAACTTGCTATAGAAAACTACTATGCTCATTCTGAACGTACATAATATTTATTACAATACATGTTGTTGATTCCCTCATTTTTTTAAAAAGCTTTTCTAGATGGGAAGGCAAGTTTCTGTATATGTATTATACAGAATTAATATTTTAATGAATTATTTTAAACCCAATTTTTTACAACAAAAATATTTTATGCACTTTTTTACATGGAAAATATCAGTAAAGTTAAATTTGCTAATCCCAATTGTGCATTTTGTCGAAAATATATCATTTTGAACATTTTCAGCTTAGGTTATGCAAAGTGATAATGCAATTTTATTGCTAGATGCTTGATAACAACATATTGTTGTCACCTATATCTGGCATGCATATCTTGTGAACATCATACCCTATCAAAATTCTGAATTTTATGATAGCATATTAAACATAGTTCATAGCAGACTACTATTCAAAATTTCTTTGTTGAAATCTGTATGTTATGGCTAATTGTTTTGTTGTTTAATTTGGACTAAATAAATTTTATAGAGGTTATATTAGAAATAATTAAAACTATTGAATAACCACCTATTTTCAAAATAGTATTAAAATTCTCTGTCTCTAGTATTTTATATCTGTCTATTAACATAAAGTTTTATATATTAATACTGCAGTAGAACCTGAGTGCATAAAATATGAACAAAAGCACTTTAAAAGGACACTTTTGCTACACTGCAAGGCTTTTAGGTTTTAAAGAAAGCCTCTGTAAGTTTGTAGATCCCATACTTAATCTCAGAATCAAGATGGTTTATGTATTTGGCCATTATGCACACTGTTGATTATTATTCATAAACACAGTGGTTAATTGTCAAGAGACCAATCTTTGATCTTTGATGTTAAACACAAGAAATATATTTCTTTTCTTTTCACAGATGAACATGAAAAGGTTGCTAAAGAAGACAAAAATAAGGACAAAAAAGATAAGAAAAAGAAGGATAAGAAGAAAAAAGATAAAGACAATGATAAGGAATCAAATAGTGAAGATAAAAGGGACATGAAAGCTAAAGATAAGGATAAGAAAGATGAAGAGAAGTCAAAAAAAGATAAAGACAAAACAGATAAGGATAAAAACAAAACAGATAAGGATAAAGACAAAACAGATAAGGGTAAAGATAAAAAAGATAAAGATAAGAAAGGTAAAGATAACATATCTATAGAAGAAATTAAAGATAAAGCAAAAGCACAAATCAGTGAGGATGAAGATAGTGGAGATGAAGATATAGAAGAAGAAATAGATGAAGAGATTGCTGAAGATATAGAAGGAGATGATGAAGAAGAAGAAAGTGAAGAAGAAGAAAGTGAAGAAGAAGAGGAGGAAGTTGTTGTGAAAAAAGTAGCAAGTACACCAGTACAAGCCAAACCCAGAAAAAGGTATGTTTTGTTTACTATCTTTTATATTTAAATAATGGGGCTTTAGATTGTCAACAGCTGTCTAGGATGAAAGAAGGGGAGTATATGAATTTTTTAAAAAATTTCTTTCTGTGGTGAATGTATGTATGTATGTATCTTTTTATAGCCTCTTGAAAGCCGAAGAAACTGTTCAAGATATAAAAGCTGTTGAGAGTGAAGAAGATGAAGAATCAGAAGAAGAAGATGGGATAGATGACGAAGATGAAGTAGATAATAAGGTTGAACAAAAAATAACTAATCAGCAAATACAACAAGCACTACCTACAGCAAAAAAAGATGATGAAGATGATGATGAGGAGGAGGAGGAAGATGATGAGGAGGAGGAAGAAGAAGAAGAAGAAGAAGAAGAGGAAGAGGAGGAGGAAGAAGAGGAAGAGGAGGAGGAAGAAGAAGAAGAGGAAGAGGAGGAGGGAGATGTAGAAGACAATACAGACCTTGAAGTAACACAACCTGTAAGTTTCACTGTGATGAATGAACTTTGGTATAAATTTTAAGTTTTTATTCTGAAAATTGAATTTTTAGAAACTTTAGATACATCTTTTTATTTGGTTGATAAAGACAGTTTAGATTTATTCACGGTGCCTAAGAAGTTAAAATTAATGTGTTTGTATTTACAGACATCTAGATTCGAAGTGATTGAAGATTTTGATGCAGAAGCAGATGGAGATCTTACTGTTAAAAAAGGAGAAATAATCCGTATTGTTGAAACTAGGTAGGTGATATTTAGTCATGTTGTATGTATATGATGTAATAATGTATTTGTGCAATGTTACGTTTGGTATGGCATTTAACAAATGATACAACGACACACCCACATTACTAACAAACTTATATGCTGACTTACACATTTTGAAACCTATGTGTTTTTAAATGAAATGATTTTAACATCCTACTATTCTGCACTAACCAGGCTAATGAAGACAGTTATATACCATGCAGTGTGATATGAAGGAAATTTTACCTGGACAGCGACATTTCCACCTACTCTATTGAATTCCAATTTTCAAGAATTCTTTTATTATATTCAAGCCAATGTGTACACTGGATATTGGTGTGGTCTTAGAAGTTGTGCTAGTATTATTATTGGCTGGTCTTACATGAATATCTTTTAGGACCTAAACATCTAGCTCAATATTATCCATAATATTCGAAATTAAAAACACAAAATAAAATTCAATACTGGTCCATTTCAGTCAATATTGATGCTATCTTACCTTGAAAATATCAGATCCTAATATCCAAAATTTAAGACAAAATGGAAAATCTAAAATCAGTACATGTCGTTAACTCTCTGGTTTCAAGCGACTTTTGTAATGAACAAATGAAAAACATATCTGACAAGTCAAGTAATTAATGGCTGATTCACAAAATAATTTTTAAAAAGTGTAAATCACTTTATATACATTCATTAATTCAAGGTTCCAAAGAATATAGCTATACACCCTTTAACACAAAGACATGACATATATATGATTACATTATTTCAATAGATTAAAAAAATAACACTTTTAATGTTAATGGCTGTCTTACTTATTAAACAAATGTTTTTTTCATATACACTTTTGATAAGAAGTCTTTTGAACAGTATATCAGTTAATGTACGTCTGTATTATATTTGTGTTTTGTCAGTGTTAATGTTATTGGTCGGTAAGTTTTGCTAACATTATCCTACACTTCTGCTAATGTATGACACACATTATAACAAGGATATTTTTACAAAAGTATTCAGAACAATTACTTTTCACATAAAGCTTCAATGAATTTGATATCTCTCACACCCATTATAAAGATCATTATAATATATGTTTCATTATCTCTTGGAGATTTTGCTCCATCACATCAACATACATCATCAGTTAAATGCACTCTGATGCTTGTTATTATCAATAATATGGTATTATAAATTTATGATTTATTCTGATTTCTGTCATAATGTTTTATTTATCAACCACTTTGTGATTCCAATGATTTTATAATGAAAATTTTATTCGTACATGACAATTTTATGCAAATAATTATGGAACACAGCATACACAAAATGATGCATGAACAGGTCACAAATCATTACATCATCAAATTATTATTGTTATGAGTAGAGTTATTGTCTATGTTATGTTCTTTTGTAATGCTAGATACTTTTCAAATGCACACTTACCTTTCGATGGTTTTGTTCTCATTATTATCATATGTTTGAAATCAAACAGTGAAAATGTTCATTGTTTGTCTCTTTTTATAAAATTCATGTATGGAAGGGGCAAATAACTATCCTTCTTATATTACAGCAAACTTAGCAAAACTTAGTCATCTCAAAGCAAAGTTTAGTATAAAAAAAAAAGAAAAAAAAGTTTTCTGTCTTGGCCAGCTAAGAGAAACCTTTGAAATCCAACACTCTGCTGAACCCTGGGCTGATGATATCTGAAAACTGTACGCAACAAAAACCAAGAGACCATCTACAATTTGAAAATCTTGCCAATAAGTGATATGAATGAATGAAATGGGGGGGGGGAAGGTTTAACACCCTACTTTTCTGCACCAACTGGGCTAATGAAGACCGGACAATAAGTGATAGGTTTCTTTCTTAGTACAGTCTGGCAAGCATCCTATTTCTTGGTTTGAAAAAGTCATTGAAGGTATATTAAATTCTAATAGTGAAGTAAAGTTTTATATTTTGTAGAGAAGATGGGTGGTGGAAGGCAGAGAATGAAAAGGGTGACGAAGGATTAGTTCCTAAAACTTATCTTCAGGTAACCTTGCTTTCTTTGATTTTGTTTATATGACAAATATAAAGAAATGTTATTTATTTAAAGTTCCCTCCTGAACACTTGGCTTGCTGTGCCTTCGTTCAGCTCAAAAGACCTCGTTTGATTTTAGATAGATTGTTATTCCAACAAAATATTTAAGAATGAAGTAGTCATATGTTTTATTCCCTTAATTGCAATACAAAACGGGACTTCAGCAGTTCTAACAGATTTGATTTGATTTTAAAAATATTTCAGATGTTTAATCCATATAAAGATGTACAACAAGATGATGGTAAGTATATATAAATAGATTGTCAAGTACAAATTATCACACAACATATATATTCAAGGGTGGATATCAGGCACCTGTTACAGACCTTGTCAGGCACAAATCATCTCATAACGTAAATCAAAATTTGTGTCTGACAAAGTCTGTGACAAGTGTCTCCTGTCCAGGCTTGTACATAGAATTTGATATGGCAAATAACTGATTTTCAATTTCATGTGACTAGATCCTACCATTAGATTAGATATTTTAAATATTCAGTTGTGTGCAAAATTGAGGTCCATTTGCAAATTCATGATATGGTTATATGGTTCATAAAGAAATTAAGATGAGTCATTTTGAATTTGCAGATCTGTTATCTATTATTCCTTCAATCTTCCTTGCACAAGATTGTGCACCCAGTTAGTGTAGTTTGCCTGGACTAAATATCAAACACATGCCGGGTCAATTTCCTGTTGTTTTCCCTCTTCTTGTAAATATTGTTTTTCAAAGTAATGAACCAAGTCATGTATCTTATGAATATTATTTACAGAAGATAAAGAGAAGGAAATGGTACATGAGGAAGATGACGATGAAGAAGGTGCATTGCAAGAAGGAGAGGATAATAAAGACGGTAAAACACCCACATCAAAGCGAAGGTATTGTACATTGTATTTAGGAACACTATTTAGATCTATAAATCGTTGTTTAAATGTTCTTTACTCAGAGGTAAATTCTAGCTAGTCTTTGCTAATACAGGGGGAAATAGAACACTGTAACACAAGGTAGATTTATCATTATATTTTGATGAATTATTTTCAGTGGAAAAGAATTATGGGGAAGTTTGAGGAAGACTGTAAATGAGGTAAAAAAAAAAAAAACAATAATAAAATTTTCTGCAGATTTTTATATGTTGTACAAATTTGTAAATGTTTATTCAATTAATTGAAAGTATACAAAAATGGAATATTAGTAATTAGTAAATTAGTAATTGTTCATTCATTAATTTTTGCCCTACTGCAGTATTATTTAACTGAATGAGTTTTGAGTCAACAGGGTGCCACAGTGTTTGATCCCTGCGTTGGGATTATTAGGCCTAGTTCCACCTTGTCAGTGGTGCAGGACGGAGGGGCTGACAAGGGATAATGTATAGTCTTTTGGATGGGATGGAAAAGTGAGGTCCTGTGTACAAAATAGCCTGCCCGTAAAAGATCCCTTGGCAGTTGGAATTTGATACAAGAGTAGGTCGTAGCACTGGTGTCTTCATTAGCCCATTCAGATCAGAATAGTATGACGTTAAACCCCTTTCGTTTCGTTGAGTCAACGTTTTGTTCAATATCTTGTTTATGTTTTCAGACATTGGTGTCTGATGTATTACATGCTATGGGTGCTGGACCATCAGGATTTAGGCTGCCAACATTATCTAAATATTTTAATGACAGTAAATATCAGTTTTTATCATCCATTTCTATAAAGAAGTGACAATTTGATAAATATACTAGTAAATTAGTCTTTCGTGGATATTAATTTCTATGATTTTTATATATGTAGTATAGTATTCCTAAAGTTTGATTTAAATTAGTTATCATCAGGGCTCTCATTTCAGTCATATTTGCTAATATTCCCGTGAATTTACATACTATACCAAAAATTAACAATATATTTAAAAATGGGAATAATGCTAAAAATTGTCATATTCTTTGGAAGAAATATATTGCTAATCCAAGGTAGAGCTGGGCGATATCCTTGGAAACAGATATCACAATATTTTTAAAAAATACTTCGATATAATCACTATATCACAATATTTTATAAAATGTCAATACTTTCAGTTTGTCACCTTTTAAATGTAAATAAACATGCATAAAAGTTAGAAATACCCGGGAGTATTCACTTGATACTTTCTAGTCAATATTATTAATTTTTCTTTCAATAAATAAAGTACCGAACTTACAAAATTTAATGAGCTGGTTGAAACATAGATCTATATCGCCACAAAGACTTGCTAAAAATGTTGTTGTTTATTACAATTTTAATTTTCAAAATATTAATTAGAATATTTACATATCAAGGAGGCACAATAAACAAAAAAAAGATTGTGTTCTTTTGGCCATGCATATTTTTTACAGCTACGTGTATGATTGGATGCTGTTTCATTTACCCTAGCAAACTCATTTTTTCTCATTCAAGCATATATCTTCTTGAATATGCATTATACAATATAAGGACACTAAATTAAACTATAAAACGTAAGTACTATGTCAAAAAGTGTCCATTGATTTAGTCAAATACCAATTTTTCGGATCACACACTGTTAGCATGACATGTCCGACGCTGAATGATAATCAGTCTACCGGAACTCTCAATGTATAGTTGGCATTATTTATATTTCTACTTTATTAAGATTTATTTCAATTGGAAAATCAATGATTCCTTTGGAAAATCAAAGTATCAGTGTAAGCAATTCGACAAGATGCATAGAAATTGAACAGACTCAGAGATAATTCTAACAGTATTGGTCAGGTGGAAAAGTGAGCGAGAAGTCACGTGACATAAACAAAGCTGCTTATTGGCATTTACAAACTTCGTTCAGTAGTTTATAAATTGTATTTATTCATCATTAAGCAATAAAATATCGTAAATAACATAAAAAGGAAAACATTTTTTCAATATTTATGTTAAATATCACCCTGAAAAATCAAAACAGCGATATATCAGGGTATGTTCGTTTTTTCGATATTTTTCTGAAAACACAATATTTCTGTAACGGTTTTATATCGAAATGCCATAATATTGCCCAGCTCTAATCCGAGGTAAACAAAATACTTCAAAAATTGACGAGCTGGCAAAATTTTGAAGTGAAGGCCCTGCTGTACTACTGATGCCAGATCTGCAATTGGGAATACAGCTGATGAATTCTTCTTAGACATGTATATGTGCTGATTTATTATTATTATTTTGTTGTTTTTGATTGGTAAATTTCGATTTATGTACACATCTGAAATATAGGTAATTTTTTTTTTAATTTTAACAGGTGATAAGTTTAGGATGAAGAATTTTCTGGCTCCTAAACTCAGCACATCCAATCTTAGCTACAGAGATCTATTCTTCAATCCTGCAACGGGTCAGGTAAGTCACATTTAATGGTAGTGATTTAAAACAGATTTCCAATACTAACCAGATAGTGTTTCCTTTCACTGTGGTTCCTAATTTGTGATGCAAATAGTTATATTGTTAGTTTTAAAATGAACAACCAAAGTGTTGACAAAATATTAAAATCTATTCATTTCCTTTTAATAATAGAGTAAGTTAAACAAAATATTAGGTACCGGTAGTCATAAGTTTGTCTGAGAGGGGGAGAGAGAGAGAGATTTACATGTTGACAAAATATTAAAATTCATTCATTTCCTTTCATTTACATTTTTAATCTGTGAAAAGAAGAATATAAATCTGTGGTATTTTAAACAGGCATTATGAAAGAACTAAATCTGCCCATTTCAGGTCTTTCTTTAAGCCTGAAATGTTATATAAATTATTAATTAGACATTAATTAGCTTACCAAGACCATAATCAACTCTCGATGCAATCAGATGGCTGCGAAATAAGTAGACTTAAATACATTTTTGGTCGATGTGTGTGGTTACCGTGAAAATGGATAATCAAGACTTTGTTTATTATCTTAACAACGGTAGTAATGAGAATCAAGGCTAGCCTATAATTGTATTGCCGATATCTAGACTCGAGTGGAATAATTTGACTGAAATTTTCTGCACATTTTCTTTTCATTTTCTATTTTTTAAGTATTATAGCGACAACTGTCAGCTCTTTATCTAATCTTATCTAATGCCGCTTTAATGTAATGGTGTCTAACACTATTTTAGGTTTTTATGATACGTAACTTTCAATATATATTGTAGATGAGGGCTACACATGTTAGATTAGAAAAAGTTATAACTATATCTGGTTGTCAACAGATACCACCTCCTGCAGCAGGTAATTACATATAAATCATATTATTGATTATTTAACTGCCTTCATAAAATAATCTGGATCATGGTGACAAGACGATAAAATTGTATTTTCTATTTGCCAACCTAACAGCCTAAAAATGTCATTGAATCCATAAAATAAGGACTTTCTTCAATCCAGTAAATCTTATAATACTAATGACTTTCTTCATATTTTCACTTGCTACATTTATATTACACAGGTATCATTGTACAAAGAAGATATGTCAGAATGTGTTTATTTGATGGAATGAATGTAAGTAGACTATTTTCTATATGATAGCCATATTTAAATAAGCATCTACCGGTAATAAATATTTAAGAGTTTAAAATAGTGATATTATTCTTAATTTACAAAAAAACCAACCTTCTACATTCTACAACCTTGTTAAGTCTTACAAACCTCCACATTTATCAAATACAATGTTTGAAAACTGTAATTCTTAGATTAGTTGGCAGCCACAATAACATTTCCTTACTATAAGTGATATTATCTAGAGAAAAGCAATGGGTATTATTTGAGGATATTGCAAGTACTGGAGCTGGAGCTTAAATTACTTAAATATGCATATTCAACATTAGGCATATTGATGATGACAGTTAATTATTCTTTCTTGCATAGACTGATTGCTACTTTAGGTATGTAGTAAATAATCTAGACATTAGCTTTCATTTCTGTGTCTTTTATTCAATTACAACTATTTATGAATTTTATTTAGGTTTTAAGTAATATTCATACAGTAAGAGTAGCAGCAGAAGATAAAACAGAAAGGAATTGGTCTTTTAATAATAGAGTAAGTTAAACAAAATATTAGGTACCAGTAGTCATAAGTTTGTCTGAGAGGGAGGGAGGGGGAGAGAGAGAGAGATAGAGAGAGAAGAGAAGAGAAGGGAAGGGAGGGAGAGCATATGGTTCAATTTATTTCAATAATACACTTATGCGTTGGGGTCTTTAGCAGTGGGAGGAAACCGGAGGACCTGGAGAAAACGTACAACCGAGGAATCGAAACCATGCCAGTTGACTCAATGACAGACCTTATGATATGTGCTAACCATTCGGCCATCCAACCCCCCCGGAAGTGGTAGTCCATCGCCACTAGGCCTATGTTACTTTCCGGTCCGAGCTACCTCTATACACCAAATTTCAGTATCGGAACAGCCCTAGTGTTGCCGCCAAGTCTGAACAGACAAACATACGACAGTCACAAATATTAGTATAGATTATGGTTATTTACAGATAACAGATGTTATGGATGTACAGTTACACAATGAATTTTTTATAAGAACTAACAGTACAGAGAAAAATGTTGGTAAGTTTATTATTTACATTCTACATGTTTGTAAAACAAAGAAAACATTGTATGACACATGCTGATGTTCACTGAGTACACAGATTTTCAAGTTTTATTGTTTATTTGTTTCAGGTGTATTATTTGAGTTATGTATATCATGTGTAAAACAGGTAAGATAATTTCAATTGTAATTCCAATATATCTACTTTGTATTATTCAAATAGTCTTAAGTGTAGGTAGTATTGCTCTCTAAAACCAGAAAAAGTCAATGGTCCAAGTTAACTCCTGTGAGTAGTGATACACTATTAGTTATGAACCTTGTGAGTGTTACAGAGGACAGACATTTCGAAGGAGTTTATCAACTGTGATTTGGCAAATGTTAGCTTTTCACTATCACAATTGGATGTTTGTATCAATTCATTTTCACTTCCTTCTAAAATGCATTTAGCTATTAATATTTTATGTTTACTGTTTTCACAACATAGGTTCAAGAGGTAAGCATGTGTTTGTATTGAAAGTGACAGCCTGACTTTCAACCTTCAAAGTATACTGTATGACATAGAATTAATGTTTCATGAAACTAGTTCAACATGGAATCAAAATTAATGGCTTCATATTTACTTATAATTTTAGCATATAACTAAGGCCATATAAAAATAATATATTCTGGTTCTCAGATAGTCCGGTACCACTTAAAGTTACAAGATAATGACATCATTGTCATGTTATGAATGACTTTCATTAGCTTCTCATCTAAATCACCATTGATTGTATTGTACATATTGTATTTCTTTGAGGGGTGTTATGTTTGACAATACCACTGATTTACAGGATAACTACTCTATTCTATATTTTGTGTTGGTGTTAGAGAAAAAATGTGTATTGGAAATATTACAACTGGCATCCGCTCACATTTAAAACTTTAATCACTTGCTCCATTAATTACTTGCTTTACAGTATATAAGAGTCTCATATCTCTGTTCAGCATTTTAAATTTCATGAAAATCAGTCAATTTTATAGAAATAAAACTTTTATTCACACTGTCAATAATATGCATCTTCTTAAACTGATATTAGCATTGTTCTAAGACAAAAAACAGATTTTACTTATCTTTAACATCTACTAAAAGAATGGCATCAAACTGTTGAATACTAGTTGTATGAGTGCAACATCTGATCTGGGTAATTGAATAACCCGTACCTGTAAATTAATCTTCAATTAAGTTCAAAGTGGGGGAAAAAATCAGACTGTCCCTTTTCAAGTTAATTGTATTAAGTGGAATTAATGGTGGTGTTTTCTACTGAAACTTGTAACTTCTGTTCTCCAGTTCCTGTTTGGATTTTCAAGAAAGATACTCTCATTTTAAATTTATCTAATAACCAGCATGACCTTCACAATGTATATGAACACTGTTTTTAAATCCTTAAATCCTGCAACGAATTATGAAAGGTCCTTTACCTTCTCTACTTGTTAAATCCTGCACTGATTTTTAAAAAGAAAGTCCTTCTCTACTTCAAAGTATCATTATGGGATAGGTTACTAACTTCTTCATGCATTAAAAGCATGCAGTTGTACTTTCTTCCAATAAGACTTTTTGACTTTTTATATTTATATTTCATTTATTGATGAACAAAGCATAATTATTTGACACTCTGGTACATGAATATATGTACTGGAACTAATGACTCTTTTCACCTATAAAATAAACTCTTACCCATGTTCAGCCGTATAACTAAACCCCATTAAGCTATGTATTTGTTTGTGTACTACTACTATCTTTCCAATCTTGCTAACTGAGATCTTTATCTATGTCCAATGAATATTAGTTTGATATTTGTAGTGTGTGTTGATGTTTGCTAATTATGTGTGATTTAGTCTGTTATGTAAAATGTAATATCTTCACTGATTAGGGGCCATTTATTTCATTTTAATTGATACAGCTAAAACCCCAGAATTACATATGCTCTACATAGTAGTAGAGAGGATGTGAAATTAATAAAATATTAAGAAGTTACTGTTTATTTGCTAACATTTAATGTGGACATTTGTCAACACCTACGTAACTTGTTTTGCCGATTTATATTCTCAGACATATTCCCACCATTTTCCATTTCTATTTAGTTCTCAAACAAATCTTTTGGAAAATTATTGCTTGTTGTGGTGTTCGGACGATTTTTGCTGCTGCAGCCAGGACAAGTCTTCATTTTCTTTATATTCTCTGTAAATATTATATTTTTTATTTCTGTCATATTTTATTTATTCAGAAAACTGAAGAGAGAGGAGAATTTAGTTGTGGTTGGGTTTTATTGCCATTAATAGATGACACTGGTGTACCAATAGCAAATAAGTAAGTTCAGCATTCATTATCATAGAATAACGTTAACAAGCAAGTCAGGATTACCAATGAGACAGGAGGGGCAACCACACACCATACTGGCAATGGCACATTAATAGGTTCATCAACAGAAGGTTCATAGGAATCAGGAATATTTGTTTAGCCTAAACTTTGTGGAATTATCAATAAGGCCCTTTTGCACCAAAAGATTTGTTAGAATTATTACTTGGGACACCCAAATTACCCTAAAATTTATATGCATTTTATACGCCTAATATGGCCTATAGAAATTGTTTCACCATAAAACTTACGTTCTAACTACTTCTAACAATTAATTTTCAATGGAATTGCCTATGATAGACAAAATAGTTCTCTTTCAACCCCCAATCCAAAATTTCTTGTTTCCTTTTATTGAGTTCCTTTTGATTATGTTTGTTAAAATTATAAAATGATATATTTACAGAAACTATGATCTATATGTACATGGTGGTACACCATACGAAAGAGATGTTGAAGTTGATCCTAGTATTAGTAGAAGAGGTAATTATTTATTACATGTAGTTACATCTATTATGAGGTCTATATAGTTACATTAATATATAAGTTACAACAATGTCTATTTTTACTGAATTTTTATGTACAAAAACAGAAAACCGAAACCAACTAATTTATAAAATATAAGCGTTATGCTACAGATAGATTTGTCAATTTGACAAGCTTTGGTATGATTTTGGAAAAAGTGTAAGGTTGCCTGATACATCAACGTTATTCTCTTGCTTTAATCATAAACTCCTTCAACTCCCTGTTATGCTACTAAAAAGGATTTATGATGTTTTATTACAGCAAGTAGTAATGCCCTGGTATCATTAATATCTGGTAATAAACAACCTCGTATTACAGTTAGAGTAGGATTACCATCTAAAGATCAAAAACTACAACTTGAGTAAGTTCTTTTTACATTTTAATCACTTTCTGGTGTGCCTTTTGAAGAAATTGTCTTTGGACTTTTTTCAAATTTGTGAGAGAGAGAGAGAGAGCGAGAGAAATGGGGTTTAACGTCCACTCGACACAAACAAGGTCATTTTGGGACTAACATATGGTTCAATTTTATTTCAATAATTCGCTTGCGCGTAGGGGTCTTTAGCAGTGGGAGGAAACCGGAGGCCTCGGAGAAAACCCAGAGGTTGGACAGGCGACCCTACTCCTTGTCACGTATAACCAGGGATTCGAAAACCACGCCAGTTGACTCAATGACAGGCCTTATGATACAGCGCGCACTTGCTTACCATTTGGCCATCCAACCCCCCTTCAAATTTGTATTGTTTGCTCTATTCCTTTATTTAAATTTGGGGTGTGTATATGTTTAGCAGTATTACAACACTTTCGAAAATCATATATCATATATCATGTTTCATTTTTTTTATTATTTATTTGCAGCCTTTTACCTGAAACATTAGTGGGTGATATGTGTTTATTAAATCATTATAGCTTCTATAGACAAATATTAGCTGATTCACTTATTATAAACAGATTAGACCTAGATTCTACTGGTGAGTTAACTGTCTAGTACTACTAGGTTTCTTTATATAGTCACTTAACTGGTCATTCAGCTAAAGGGAGAGAGAGAGAAATGGGGTTTAATGGCCACTCAACACAAACCAGGTCATTTTGGGACTAACATATGGTTCAGTTTTATTTCAATAATTCGCTAGATGTCTTTTAGTAGTTTTACGAAACCGGAGAACCCACAGGAAAAACAATAAAGTTATACAGGCGACCCTACTCCTTGTCACAAGCAAACTGAGATTCGAAACCACTTCACTCCACTTGACTCAATGACAGACCTGACAATGAAAAGTGCACATGTAATACCATTAGACCATCCATCCTCCCTCCGCTGACAGTATGTTTCAGAATTTACAAACTTCACTTTGCACTTTTAACACCATATTCCTGAAGCAATGGCCTGAGAAATCCCTCTCTAGTCATTGCTGTATTTAGACTGAAAACTTGAGTCTTTGACTAAGTGAGCGTGTCCATTCTCATTGTCCAATCAAATCTCTCCTGAGTGAAATATAGGGAATTTTCACGACTTAACCAGGGTGTTCTAGTGTTTATTAGTGCTGATTTCAAGAAAATTTTTACCCTTGGATACATCGGGAACAAACATCGAAACTTGCATATGTAAATTTGGCCATCGCTGTCGTATTTCTATCCAGTATGTTGAACACAATATGTAACATGACAGCCCTTCTCTCTGATCTGCTGTGTGGGCCAAGAGATGATAACAAGATTCCATGTCTGCGGCGATTACTAAATGTTTACATTGTAGCTATTTTGGATAGCCTTGTTTATCACAAAATTAGTTTCTCTGCAATATTCTGTTATGTACTAGTTAATTGAGCGTAATACATTTCGCACGTTCTGAGGTAATGTAGCCGCATTTGTCACCAGACACTTTCACCGGTAACATATTTAGAGCTCTGGTTAATCCTGATTGATTTTGTTACGTTGTTATGTACTAGTTGTTGTTCGGACAGAAATTTGCACCAAGTATGGCAGTGTTTGAGTGGGATTAGGTCTAATATGCAAGGAGTATGTTTTAACACATGAAATCTTTCTCTTTTGTTTCCACATATAATTAAAGATATATGTAATTAAAACTCTTTCTCATGTATTTCAGAACCTATTCATAGTCCATTTTTAAATCTGTTCCCACAAGTAGGAGATCAACCTGATTTAATGAGTTTATTTAGGGTAAGTTTTATTTTTTGGCTACATATATTTATATACAATAGATGCACCTGCATGAAGTTTTCAGTTTTAACTTTAAACCATTCAAACCTAAGGGAAGGACCATTTAATAAAAACAGAGGGTCCTTTACATCTCAAATTCATCAAGGGGGGTTGGGTGGCCGAATGGTTAGCACGTGTGCATTGCATCATAAGGTCTGTCATTGAGTTTCCTCCCACTGCTAAAGACCCCTACCCGCAAGTGAATTAATGAAATAAAATTGAACCATATGTTAGTCCCAAAATGATCTAGTTTGTGTCAAGTGGACGTTAAACTCCATTTCTCTCTCTCTCTCTCTCTCTCAACTTTATCAAAAACAGATTTGATATCAACATTGTCTTAATCTGCAGATGTAACAATTTTTATGTAGGAACAACCGAGTCTCAAAATTGTGGTAATCAACATTTTCAAAGATTTTATTTGTGTTTGTTTGGCTTTTTTCGCAGGAAAGTTGGGTTACAAAATTAAAAACAGTTAAAAGGGCAGAAAAGGTTAGTATCTTATCTTTAGTTTTTGAAAGCTAGATGTTAGATTGTCATGTGATGTGAATCTGGTCCTAAAAAGCTAGTTGTTAGATTGTCATGTGAATCTGGCCCTGGAAAGCTAGATGTTAGATAGTCATGTGAATCTGGCCTTAAAATCACAATATTTTTAGTTATTTGAATCACAAGTTTTAGCACATTTTATCTACCAAGTTCAAAGGGTACTTTTTATTTTAGTCAAGAATCAGTGTTGAAATATTTATAAGTGAAAAGCAGTTAAAATTTTCAGTTTGGTGCTTCCACTGCTTTTAAAGCAAATTATCTTCCCTCACTCTTTAAACAGTTTTATTAGATAGTAATAGTAGTTATATCTAGATAATGTTTTATTTTTAATAGAGTTACAAGTATTTTATTCACTGGCAGACATTTAAAAATAGACAAAGATTTTGTGTAACAATGCTTCATCAAAAATAAAACATTCAAAACTGAGGAGGATTCAAATTTGACAGTTATAATATAATTGATAGATTTTTCCAATGTTGGTACTTTTATTTATAAATTTGTATTTACTGTTTTTAAGTCTCGTGTGTGTAATGTGGGAGAATATTTTCTGCTGGTATCTACTTATAAATTACCTTTACTTTATTTGTTAATTGTATTGATGATGTTGGTCCTTTTGTTGATGATGTTGGTCATTTTATTGATGATGTTGGTTATTTTATTGAATTTAGACATAATTTATTCTTTTTCTTTGAAGAATTTACTTTTATTCGTTTTGATGTTAATGAAGTATTTTTTAAAAAATTTATTGCAAATCTGTTTACTTATAATGTTCAATTGATATTTCAGCCAAGTTTCTTCTTTAATTTAAGTAAATTGGTAATAATTTTTTTTATATAAACATCTGCATATCTTATATAGTTCATATGGTATGATAAATTTTGTACTGTAATTATAGCAATTTGTACATGTGCTACTATAATACATTATATTGTGTTAATGTCATCAGAATGACTGTAGTTCTAGGCTGACAATTATTCGTCATAATATTCATATTTCAATTGAAGACATTTATAAGGTTAGGCTCATGCAGCTAATAGTATTGGCTTCACTTGGACATTGGATTTATTGTGTCTCGCCTTTCAAAGAAAGCAGGGGACTATTAAAATGGGTTCGTCCATCCGTTTGTCTGTCTGTATGTCTGTCCGTCACACTTTTTGGGACACAATAAAACTCTTTCTAATTGAGCTAGAATGTTCAAACTTGGTGTAGGTGTTTATTAGGTCGATGCCTTGATGGAGTTCGAAGGGTAAGCAGAGATAAGCAATTTGATTAGTTGATGCTTTGGGACAGGATAACTTCTAATTAAGCGAGAGTGATGAAACTTGGTGTATAGTTTCATCACATCAATACCTTGACTAAGTTCGATAATGAACATTTTTTGCCGTTTGGTAAGCAGAGTGATAAGCAATTTGGTTGGTCGAGACTTTGAAACACAATAACTTTCTTTCTAATTGAGGTAGAATGTTCAAGCTTGGTGAAGGCGTCCATTAGGTGAATGCCTTGATGGAGTTCGATGATGAACATTGTCTGCTTACAGTAAGCGGAGATAAGCAATTTGATTGGTTGATGCTTCTGGGCACGATAACTTTGGTTATAATTAAGCGAGAGCTATGAAACTGAGTATAGATTCATTACATCATTACTTTGACTAAGTTTGATGAGAATTTTCTGCTTTGGCTAAGGAGCGATAAGCAATTTTTTGGGTCAAGACTTTGGAACATAACTCTGCTTTTTATTCAGGTAGAATGTTTAAACTTGATGTTGATGTTCATTAGGCGAATGTCTTGACTGAGTTCAATGATTAACAATTCCTGCTAAAGCTAAGCAGAGAGTGATATTAGAGTAAAGTTGATAATCAGTTTGATTGCTTGATACTTTTAAAAAAGATAAACGTGAAATTAATTAACATGTGTCATCTATTTATTTTGGGGTGCTGCGGGGAACATCAGTCTCACTGTTGACTTGTTATTATAGGCATATTTTACAAGTTTCTAATCTCATCCATTAAATTTTGACATTTTTGGCTTTATCTTATCCCGAACTGCTTGATGGATTTCAACCAAACCTGGTTCTACTAATTTATATATGTTGACATGAAGTTGATTGAGCCTACAAGGGACAATTTAAACATTTTCTCACATTTTTCAAACTGTTTCATGGAATGTGTTTATTTGTTGAAATGAAGTAAATCAACCCATTAGTTGTTAGGTGAGTCACATTTTCACTCTCTTTTGACTTCTCCTAAACTTCTTGATGGATTTTAATTAAATTAGATAGGGGTGGTGCTTCTTCAATTTTATCTGTCTTTTGGAAATTATTTTACCTCTCTTAATCTATGTGATGTATTTCATTCAAATTTGGTAAGTTTCTTGATTCCAGTATGGGTAAAACTTCAAATCTTTATTGATAGATGTAATTCAAAATTTTAAATTCTGATTCCTTAGACGAAAATGGATCAAATTAGTAGGATATCATGAGTTAAGTAGTGTTTTCATAGATTTGAGGTCAGTCTTATTAGTTACCTAAAGCCAACATTTTTACACAAATAAACATCTGGGGCCGGTTGCTCAAAACTTAGTTATCTTGCAAATGTGTTGTTTGTAACATCTGTTACATTATCTGGCAGCTAACAGACTGATTAAAGTTAATCCTCTTTGGTCATTGGCTGAATTTTAAATTCTTTAATTGGATGTACATGGACATGTATAACAACATCATAGAAGTTAGTATTATTAAGAAACTGAAGAAAGTGGGATAACTGTGCGGTCTGTTCACGAAAATTGATTAAAGACAAAAAGATAACTAGAATTTACTACATAAAACAATATACGAAAATGTATAGAATACTATAGTATTTTCCTATAGAAATTTTAGCATAAATCTGTAGGAAAAATATAGAAAATCCAGCAAAACAAATGTTGCTATACATTAACATTTCTTAAACAACCAATGTCAATTTAAATCTTGTCAAACAAACATTTTCAAAACCATTCTCATACAAATGTTACATGTTTCCATGCATCTTAAATTTTGAAGGCTGTTGCTTCAAATTATTATAAGTTTACTCATGTGATTCACAAGGCAGTATATGCTTACTTCTTCTGGTACACCAGATACAACTTGTCAGTTGTCACTGGGCTTAATATCAGTGAGGAAGATAGTTATAATGGCAGCTTTATGTAGCTAACAACTTCATTTTAAATTAGCAAGAGGAGCATGTTTGTGTACTGTTACATTTTTTTTAAGATTTGTATTGTCTGTTATATTTCTTTTTTGTGCAGTTTTCCTGCATTTCTAATCATGCATCTGTTTTTCATATTTTATTGCATGATGTCTGCTTTATAGAAAGTAGTAAGTAATTACCGGTAGAAATGTCTGTATTGCAATTCACAAGCTTTATCTTTGTTTTGCTCATATTCGGCACTAATGAATAATCAATTACATGACAATTAACAAATTTCCACAAGAGATTTCATTGATTTTGCACTCATATAACAAATGTCAAATGTTGAAAAGTCTTTTGAATTGGTTCATTATTGCTTAACATAACGATCTTACATCAATTTGGATGATGTAAAACATAGTTTGGATTACGTAAAAGCTATGTGCTGCTTGCCTTGAAGGGTTCTGCTTTTAACTTACTTTAGGTTAGCAAAAAGCATGTAAATTCTTGCTTTCTATCGTTTCATTATTTATCATCAAATAAGCATTATGTAGCCAAAATTAGAATTTTTTTCAACCAACCCAAGATTTTACAGGATTGGTTAAAAGCACAGTATTCTAACCTAATGGGCAAATACAGGCTTTCAGACTAGGCACAATAAAATGTAGTCTTATTAAAAAGCAAAATTATTGAAATTGTTCAATCCTAACATGTTATACTAGTTATAGCTATCTTAAGTTTCCATTATTTTCTACTAATTTCATACCACCCTGTTCGGAATTTTGAATATTATTCACTGTGTCTTGATGTCCGATTGGGCATATTCCCGGTCGGACAATTTTGGGCGTTTGGAAAAAAGATTCGGACAAGTCCAGAATATACGGGCAAAATCCCATCACTGACCCTGTACATCAAGTTTAAGATGCCATCTAACCTGTGTTTTAGATGACTATCAAAAGAACACTTTTAAGGCCTAAATTTTCTTACATTTAAATATTAACATTGTTATCTTTTGCCGAGCAGTGACCTATAGTGAATTTATACTCTCAGGCTATATACAAATTAAATACTAAATGTGAATGTTTCAGTCCAAAACATTGAAATAATAGCCAAAATTAGAAGGGGTTATCTAGCTCTGATAAGGTATTTTAATGATTATTTACCTGTTCTTGATGAACTGATTGATTGTACATCTTTGGAAAAAAATCAGCAGATCTTCGGATAGTTCCATGGGACTAGGATAAATATTTTGTTGGGGAAACTACCAGTAACCAGTTTTGTTCACTAAAATATATGCAGGATGTCTTCAAAGAGCAACATTTTAAAATTTTAGCATACAGTACCAATGTGTGAATTCCAGCTACTCTCCCGCCCCACCTTTGCAGTTGCCACACATTGAGCCAAGATCATTTTCAAACTGACACATGGACATTGACAAATCTAGGTCAGAAAGAAAGATAATGTGATTATAGATCAACATAATACCATATTTTATTTTGTATCTCAGATGTAACAGCCTAGGGCATACTGTAGAAACTGTTCTATAAATGTTCTATGTTTATAGCAGTTACTTTGGGGCGTTACTATTTTATCACTGCTTTCTTCGATTATAGAACAGCCTCAAGCATTTTCCAAGTCTGTATATTGATTTGTGTTGTGTGAATTACAATAACTAATTATAATTCTAATATTATTATGTTTTTCTCTAATGTGTTTTGTAGCATGTAAAGTTTGATGTGTGCTGATTTTATTTTCTATGTGGTGCTGTAGTGCATGCCATGAATTTTTAAATTTTTCTAACTTGCCCTGTCAATTTTATGCAGGGTTACTATCCCAGGCACCAAAACCTTTAATGCGATCTATGTGTAAAATATAAGATCTTATTTCCAGATGTTATCAGGATTGTTCAGTTAGTCCTAAAGATTAAATGTATATCGAAATTCAGAATCATCTATCTGTGCAGTTGTTGTCCCAGGCCCAGAAATCCTGAGAAAGCTACTGTTGATGGGGGTTTTGGAGGCCGAGTGATCTTAGACTTGTGCTTCAGATCATAAAGGTCTGTTCTTGAGTCAAGTGGTGTGGTTTCAATCTCAGGCTTGAACTTGACAAGGGGTAGGATTGCCTGTCGAACCACATGAGTTTTCACAGGGCCTTCCAGTTTTCTCCCACTGGTAAAGACCCATCCACGAAATCCAGTTATTGAAATAAACTGTACCTTAGTCGCAAAATGACCTGGTTTAAGTTCAGTGGACATTATGCCCCATTTTTCTCACACTCTCCATTTAAAGTGATTTAGATTTTATTCTGGAGACTTAACGTTTTCAGGTTCAGATAATCCCCCATTATCCCATGTTGTGGTCCACTCTAATGCAAATAACAAAATACTCTATTAGTATAGTATTAAGTGCAGGGCGACTGCACCACACATAATTTGCACAAAAACAAATCTATGGACAAGACACAATAAGCAGAAATCACAAACAAATGAACATTTCAAATTAAGTGAATGGATCCGGGGGCTAGCTGTAAGCATCCACTGCGCTGTACAGTCCCGAGCGTATAGTGATACAGACTTCACTCAAAATTGAAAACAATCATGAATATAACCCTGATTGGTGGGAAAACATGAATGAAATGTTGTTTATTTTGTTGGGGGGTCAGGTGTTCGATCCCTGCTTTGGCTGAGAAATTTTTATCCAGATTTTCCAGCGTGGTTCCCCCTTGTCAGTGATGCAGGACGGAGCGCCTGACAAGGACAGCTATCTAGTCGTTCAGATAGGATGAAAAACCGAGGTCCTGTGTACACATTGGCATGCACGTAAAAGATCCCTTGACAGTTGGAATTCGATATAAGCGTAGGCCATAGTGCCGCTGTCCGGGCAAAATTACCCTCATAGCACACTGTATGGCGTATGCCCGTCTTCATTAACCCAGTTCTGAGCAGAAGAGTAGGACATTAAACTGCATTTCATTTCATTTCATTTCAGTTTATTTTGTTGACTACTTTAGGATTTGCTTAAAATAAGTTAGTAATTGACCATCAATGGAATGAAAATAAAGGCTATATGGATTTTTTAATCACAGCTTTAATTATAAATTCATTCATTTTTATGTCCTGGTAATCATGGAGACAGAGATATAAGTTTTATGGTTACTTGAATATTGTATAGAATGAGAAACATATCAACTAAAGATAAATAAATGTATAGTAGATCATGTTGATATTTATTTAATTCAGAGAGATAGTGAAGCTATGAAGAGAATGTTTCAAGATGTATTTTTGGAATCTGTTTATCCTGTTATTAGTTCCAGTAATTTAGTAGCTTATAAAACAGGCAATACAGAAATTGAAATGGTAAATATGTTTTAATGGTTAAAATGAGTATCAGTACTCACAATCACAGGGTTTAATCCCCAATTCATTTGAATAGAGGATTGTATGAGGGTGGGGGGGGGGTGGAAAAACTCATCTGCTTTGGATCTTAAGGTCTAACATTGAGTTAATAAGTGCCAAGGTTTTGATCTCATGCTTGTATATGATAAAGAACAGGGATTCCAGTTTCCTCCCAATGTTAAAGCCAATTATTGAAATAAAATTGTAGGCTACCATTTTAAACTCTGAACCAATATTTTTTTTATTTTTACAGAAAAGAAAGAATGCTATACAGAAAATAGTTCAAGTTAAGAGAGAGAGAAAGAGTGCTTTAGCAGTTCTATTAGCATCCGATATTGTTTATACTCCATTTGAAATGTCTGAAGTAACATTTAATGTTATTGGGCCACACAGTTTATCAGAAAAATTGGTGTAAGTTAATGTATTTTAATAATGAAACTTTTTATATTTATATAGAACCATGGGTCATAGAACAATCTGAGTGAGCAGTTACCAAAGTAAACCAATATAATTATAACTCTTGTGCATTGTGACTGACAACCAAGTTTGAAATGGTATATTTCTGTTCTTTCTTTCTGACATGAAATGATATTCAGTCAAGTCTTGCTAATCTTTTTCAGTCCAATTCCAGTAGAAGCATGAAATATCAAATGGAATTTAAAAAGCCGAAAGAGACCTACATAGATATTAAACAAATCCTGTTACATTTTATTTAGTGATCTTTTTATTTTAAAATATTGATTTATCTTAATTTATTTTAATTTTAAAATATTGATTTATTTTAATTTTAAAATATTGATTTATTTTAATTTTAAAATATTGATTTATTTTAAAATCAATACTCTTTTTAATCATCCGCATTTTAATGTGATTGTGTATTATTGTTTAATATTGACATTTTCTATGATTACAATAGTTCAAGTTGACAATCAAAATGATGCTCTCTGGGCCTACACAATGATCTCGTATGTTTTTTATCAACCTACCAGCTGGTGTGTCACTGTCAACAGTACTGACCTTTATACTTTTTAAAATAATGTACTTGTATGCTGTTAAATTTGAGCACATTTGTTAAAATTAATCACATACTTTTTCTGGCCATTTGTATTAATTTTGAAGGTTCTTAGTATCAGAATGTTGAACAGTTAATTGATCTGGTTCTTATAGGGTATGACCAAGTCGAGCGTAGATGTAAAGAAGAATATTTAAAATTGAGTAAATCAGTTTCATTTTCTGATGCTAATATAGTTGTATAAAATATAAAGTAATTGTATTACTGTCTTTTCTGAGACATATACTTGTCACTTTTTTAAAAGGTAGGCCTATCTGTCAAGTCTCTGATCATTCTCATTCCCGTCCAAAATTCTCAATATCTGTGATTTGTAAGTCTACTGTATGTAATATGTATGTAATATGTTTTATTTATTTATATTTTTACATTAAAATGAAATATGTAGTTAACAAAAATAATAATAATAGAAAATAAATTGTACTTTATAACATGTACCTTATATTTTTGTGAGTTTCTTGTGGAAGAATTGAAGGGACGAAAAATTAGCATTTGGCTACTAACAACATGTAGAAGACCAAACTTGATCCTTCAAAAGGTTAAAGGGGCTAAATCGCTAATATTTGGGATCTAGAAATTGACACAAATGGGTCACAACGCATATAATAATGTAATATGAATGTATATAAACTGATTTACATTCAATAGTTTCTGTTTTTACTCTAATTTCTAATCAGTTATGTTCGGCGAAATACGCCAGAAGTCTCAATCGAATGGAAATCTCTAGCATCTGGTTATTCCAGTCTACACCGATAGTATTTATTGCGCATGCTCTCCAGATAAGAATATGATGTCACCGTTTGACATGACTTGTTGAATATGCTTATCCTGGTTTTCCGAGTTCTTGTTACAAATTGCGCTGAAACGCATTATGGTACACGATTCGTGTACCAATGGTAAAATATTTATTTTGTCTTAAATATTGGATATCAGAAGCCCATCTTTTCCCGGTAAGATCACAAAATCAATGTTGATTTAAATTGGCAAATAAATGAAATGAAATAGAGTTTAACGTCCTACTGTTCTGCTCCTAACCTGGGCTAATGTAGTCCAGCTCTGAACGTAGGTGTCGACTGTAAAGAGACCTACGTTCAGAGCTGGGCTAATGAAGACGGGCATACGCCATAAATTGGCAAATAATTCGCGTTTTGAATTTTGAAGATTTTGGATGATATTGAGTTAGAGACCTAGCTACTTTAAATAGCTTCAGTAATACTGTGTCATTTATACATACTACGTACACCGGCCTTCAAAAATAAGAAATGCATTTCATTTGGGGTCGATAGCCTAACTAATGAGGTTCACTTTTTTTACGGTCATCAGTGGCATAGTGAACAATACGAGATATTCAGATTTCACTTTTATTTTCGAACAAAAAGATTTGATATTGATTGATAGATAAAAGATACCGGTAATGTTTATCTTATAACACTAATGTCTGATGTCAGTGATGACTAGAAAATGTTCATTTCAATTCAATAATAATGGCTTTAAAATGGAGTTACATCCCTTACACCTATAATTTTAGAATGTACTGGATGCTCGAGACAGAAGGGGGAACAACTTTGATAAAAATTAACTTAAAAAATCAATCGCTCAAGGCACAGGTATTGTCGATTCTCAGCGTGTTTCTGCCATCACGGCAACAGTTCACCTGTCGTCAGTAAACAACAAAATTATTGATTTATTTATGAATTGGATCTGATGTCCCGAAGAACTTCATTAACATGGCTGACTCCGGGAAGAAAGGTGCTAATTACACAAGTGCTATCAGGAAAAGGACCGTTTCTGATAAAAATGAAATGAGGAAAGCGGTAAATGGCGAAAGAGGAGAAGATAAACACGAGAGCATGAAAGAGGAAAGGGCTTTACAAGAAAACACTGAACTTTCAGAAAAGAAAACGACAAAGTCTATGCTTGATAAGAATACAAAGAAGACAACAGTTCACGAAGAAAATAGCAATACCGGTATATCATATGATGGCCAAGATACCAGAAGAGAAACAAAAGCTTACCATGTTTGTTTGTTTATTTTTTCAATAGCATCATTAGCCACCAGGCTTTATAATATAGAAAACCCTCCACATGTATGGTAAGTTATATTCATACCAGCAGGTCAGTGGGTACTCAGGTCCTTGGGTGGCGGGGGGAATGGTTAGGTTAGCTAGGGATGTGCCCACGGCGGGCGCTTGCGCCCGGCACTAAACTCAGCGCTCAAAATTTACCACGGCAAATGGTAAAAGCCGACACAAACCATGTCTGTCACGGCATAATTTATTTTTGTGTGCCGTAGTAGACCCTATCATCCCAAATTAGTTTAAAGAAAGAAGTAGGCCTATTGGTATTTTGTTTATTTATATTTAGAAGTTGTGTAGGTCTATTCATTTTACAATTCTAGTCTTTAAATTTGTATATTTGCCGTAAATCGGTCACCCAGACCAATTTACAGGACTCCAATGTTAAAGGTTTGGCTGTTGTAAATGGTGTCATACTTTCGGTTTTACAATCAATTTTTAATGTACTCATTCTACCGTTAATTCTACCAAATCTAAACTAAATCCTAGAGACAGCTGGGCTACAGTCCATTTTATTTAGACTTGCCACAAAAAATAACTTTGGTGGCAAATACATATACAAAAGGCAGCAGATGCTCTGAAAATACACCAAGAAGGGTTGAATTTTCATAAAAGACCACTCCCCCCCCTCTAAAAAAATTCTTTATTCCTCGCTACGCTTGGCAGCTATTTTTTCCACCACTCAGCAAATCCTGGGCACATCCCTGATTAGCATGTTTGTGCTGTATCATAAGTCATAAGGTCTGTCGAGTCTGTTGCCTGTGGGTTTTCTCCGGGTCCTTGGTATATTTAATTTAATATATATTCTTAATTAATTTGAAAGAGACATATCACTTGTATTTGACCATAATATAGCAATGAATAAGTCTGTTTATAGAAATTTAAATTGATATAAAAATTATGTCAATGTAAGTCAATACACTGACAGAAATTATTAAAATAAAATTGAACCACGTGTTAGTCCCAAAATGACCTAGTTTGTGCTGAGTGGACATTAAACACCATTTCTTTCTCTGTCTCTCTTTCAGGTCCTTGGTATATTTAATTTAATGCGATATAGGCCTATTCTTAATTAATTTGAAAGAGACATATCACTTGTATTTGACCATAATATAGCAATGAATAAGTCTGTTTATAGAAATTAAAATTGATATAAAAATTATGTCAATGTAAGTCAATACACTGACATAAATTATTGAAATAAAATTGAACCATATGTTAGTCCCAAAATGACCTAGTTTATGTTGAGTGGACGTTAAACCCCATCTCTCTCTCTCTCTCTCTCTCTCTCTCTCTCCCTCCTCTGTTCTCCAAATCACTGGCTTTAATTATTATATCAGGTCTCTTGGTGTCTGCTCATTGGTGTACCCATCAAGGCTTACTAGTCAAATACTTTAATACTCCAATACCCAAAGAAAAGTAAAACTTGTTTGAAGCCGAGCTATATGTACCTGTAACTATCTTTAATGTTACAAAATTTGAAAGAGCCATATATTATAAGGTCAACTTTGCCATTCTATACTTATTTTCATTTTAAATTATATTACTAATGATCTTGTAAAATCATAGTATAGATTCAAACTGTCTAATAAATATTACTAGTCCAGTATCGTATTTTAAATAAAGGGAAAAAGGGCATTCACTTATTTCATTATTACAGAGCTTCAACTACTGAGTCTGCCATTGATGTCCTAAAGTGAATTACTCTTAGTGCATGCCAATGATCTACCATTCATCAACGTCCAAATGTACTGCATAATGGCAACTACATGTATTTGTAAAAATTTGAAGATTGTCAAAAACAGCAACAATATAGTACTGAGAAAAAATTAATCATCGTCAAAAACAGCAACAATTGCTGTATTTTGGCCATGATTAATTTTTTCTCAGTACTACATGTTTATTTAAACCTTGAAATGGAGGTTTACGTTCACACTTTAGAAAACCCAGTCAACCCTGAAATTATTTTAAGAAGCTATGGAAGTAATTAATTTTGATCAGTGACTGACAATGTAACCAGTCAAGCAAGTAACATTGTAAATTAATCTGTCACTTTATAACAGATAAATTACAGAGACTATCAATTAAACTCATTCAGCTACAGTCTTCTCAAAACACATAACAATTAACTTGATATTTTTTAATGAGTTTACTGATTGGCTATTGTGACACAATAATAAATAGGAATTAGCATTTTTACTGTTAAAAATAATTTTAATAGGTTTATCATGATTTGACAATACACAGTGTTCAGATAAGATTGTATTACCCAATAATGCATTGCACAGTAGATATCGCTTGTGGCTTATGTATTTTGCAATATTTACTGCAATATTTTCTTAGAGATACGTATATATTACTTGTAATAAGTTACTGCTCAAAAGTCCAATAATTTCTTTTTTTTACCAGGTAAATTGTTTAAAGATGATATTGTTGGCCTATAATAGATAAGATTTTATACTTCTGTTTTTTTTATTATATTTATATCAATTACATCAACACTCTTCGATAAAGTAACAACCCTGGCAGAGCCTTAGTTCTGTTAAATTATCGATATATTTGTGTGAATATATATTTGATATAGAATACATGTAATCTTATATGAGATTCTCAAAGTATGCGAAATTAGCCAATCTGGCACTCAGATTTAGATTTTTAGCCTCTAGAGTGTCCAGAAGATTTTTGAATGTGATCAAGGGTCATAACTCTGGCCGTAATTGTTGAAAATCAATAGGATTCTTCGTCTCATGACCGTAACCATTGTGTATAAATTTAAAGTAGCTAAGTCTCTAACTCTACATCATCCAAAATCTTCAACATTGAAAACACAAATTATTTATCAATTTAAATCAACATTGATGTTGTGATCTTACCTGGAAAAGATGGCCTTCTGATATCCAATATTTAAGACAAAATAAACATTTTACAATTGGTACACGAATCGTGTACCATAATGCGTTTCAGCGCTCTCTGCACAAAGGTACTCAAAAAAAGAGGCTAATCATACTCCACAAGTAATGTCAAATGGTGACGCTATATTCTTATCTGGAGAGCATGTGCAATAAATGCTATCGGCGTAGACTGGAATAACCAGACGATAGAGATTGCCATTCGATTGAGACTTCTGGCGTATTTCGCCAAACCTAACTGATTAGAAATTACACTAAAAACAGAAACGATTGAATGTAACATTATTGTATGCCTTGCGACCCATTTGTGTCAATTTCTAGGTCCAAAATATTAGCGATTTAGCTCCTTTAAAGTCTATCGGATAGTAACTTTAACCTCTAGAGTGTCCGCAAGATTTTTCAAAGTGAGCAAGGGCCATAACTCTGGCAGTATTTTTGGAAACTATTGAAAATCAATGGGCTTCTTCATCTTATGACCGTAAACACAGTGTATAAAGTCAATCAGATATCAACTTGAGCCTTTAGAGCGACCACAAGATTTTTTAAAGTGATGAAGAGCCATAACCCATCTCATCATAACCTTAAAGATGGGTTCCCAGAAAAGTATTTATCGGGTTGTTATTTCCAATAAAAGTATGGTAATTTTGGTATATATGGAAAGTAGAGATATCCAATCTTACTAGAAAAATACTAGATTCCCCGAAAAACAGTCAGGGAACGTATACAGGACAAAAATGTAAGGGTTCCCCTAATCAACAGCCCAACGATTAGGAATTTCTGTACGCGTGATGTCAAAGGTCACACGCGAACATTGAGCACTTGATGTACAAGTTGATAAACTTTATGAAGAGTTAGACGTACAACACTTTCTGAGATAAAAATGACAGAAAAAGACGCGGGTAGTGGATAATCCGAGAATTTAATTAGGATTCGATATTTGTAATAAATAGTAAGCGATTAAAGACAACATCATCTTATGTATGCAATCTCCTCTGACTTCTCAGAGAGGTAAGTCACGTGACGTAAACATGACCTGGTTTGATCAAATTTTTATAGCAGGACATTCCTTCGCAATTATGTTTGAGAAGGATTTGAAGCAAAATTATGACAAATTAATTAGTTTGAATATGTTTTTAGTCCATATATACCATTAAATCACCAAGTTTGTATGCGGGAACCCATCTTTAAACACTGTATAAATTTAAAGTCAATCGGATATTAACTTTAGCTCGACGGATGGGGGCGACGACAATATACAACCACATTTCAATGTGGGCGTATAAAAAAGGTAATATCAAGGGTTTAATAAAACACGCCCCGGTGTCATCAATATCAATATCAGTGATATTGGCGGTAGTCTGGCAGCAGGTCGACAAACCTGGAAATATAGTCCTCCTAATGTTTTTTGATGGATTATATATCTTCAGTATGTGTAGATTCAGAATCCAAATGATGCCACCCTGGCATTTAGTGGGGTAAAATATGTGACAGAATTACTCGGACTTCGGTTTGAAGATGTTGTCTATAAGAATTCGACCCGTTGAATCTAATGAGCATGGGTATTCCTACTAAAAGTGACAGCTATTTCCGCTAGGGGGCCAAATTCAAATTGGTGGCTTATTTTGGCAGGAAACTTATAAAGTTCTGTAAAAAGGTGTGTAATATGTGTAGTTTAATGGTCGATACGAGATATTAAGTAATATAATTGATATTGCACGAATGCTATACCTATATATTACGCAATGTCTCACATGAAACCATTAAACAACTTAAAATACTGAAACATGCATTTCAATGGAGTACGTCATGCGAGTTCAATATTTCAACTAGTATGAATAATGTACGCTTGGCACATTGCCAGTACCATTATTAGAAATAATGGTACGCCAACATCAAAGGTTGACGTCACATCTGTATTTTAAATCGAAATATAGGTTTTCGGTTTATTAAATATATCTTCAATAAGTGTAGTTTCAGAATTCGGATGATGCCACCTTGGCATCCTTGGGGAAATTAAAATATTCAAGATGGCCGTCATGAGGCATTTTCTAGTTACTTACATTAATTTAATGGGGTACAATTCAGGACAAATTCTCTCAGACCTCGGTGTGAAGGTAGTTTCTGTTCGAACAAAGGTATTCAAACCTGATGATATTCTTCCCCATATATTCTTATAATAAGGACAAAAACTATACAAAACAAAAATTATCCAGTGAGTTGAAAGCAAATGTTTCTAATAGCTAACTGGGGGCTCACATATTTGTTTTGTGCAGCCTCAGGTAATGGGGATGACATTTGTCTTGCCAGTTGTTTGTCATTCATGTGTGCCGGTATAGCTGGGGTTTTGTATTACGCTGACAAACATTTTCCATCCCTTATTCCACCCGGTTTTCTAGTAGAGAAGGTGACACAGACTGGTGTCATAGTGGATCATTATTTATCTTGAGAATTCGCTCTACGTAGCTTCTGTTCGTATGGCCCTGTAATTTGTGCTCTTAGTCCTGTGATACATAAGTTTTTACATTACCGTTACCAGTTCTATTTTCTTCCATGGTCTACTAAACTTAGTTATTTTGTTGAATTTGGGAACCATATTGGCGTTTGATTGGGTCCTGGCACATTTTGCCATTCAGATATGAATTCTGCGAACCGAAAAACATATAGTTTAATACATTACTTATATCATTATGTCTTGCCAAATATCATTTTGAATATGAACTCAACCTGGAATACTTTTTTGTCAGAACATGTTTTTATGTTTATATCTGCAGTAAATGACACCGAAAACCTATAGTTTAATATATAGCACAGCTTTTTGGTTGACTTTATGAGTTTTCCACCCAAAATGAGGAATTAGCCATCTTTTTTAGGAGGAATACCCTAGTTCATTAGATTCAGCAGGTCAAATTCTGAAAGAAATCACCTTCACACAGAGGTCCGAGAGAATCTATCCCGAATTTTACCCCAATCAATCAAATACATGTAACCAGAAAATGCCTCTTGAATATTTTAATTTTCCCAAGGATGCCAGGGTGGCATCATCCGGATTCTGAAACTGCACATACCGAAGATATGTAATACACCAAAAACCCATATTTCAATATATTAACATTTTTTAGGGAACTTTATAAGTTTCCGTTTTGAATTTGGCCCTTTAGCGGAATTAGCCATCACATTTAGGAGGAATACCCAAGTTCATTGGATTCAGCGGGTCGAATTCTTATAAAACCCATCTTGAATATTTTAATTTTCCCAAGGATGCCAGGGTGAATCTACACATTGAAGATATATAATCCACCAAGACATAAGGTGGACTATATTTCCACGTTAGAGCTTAAAACTAGACAATGGTGAGGCAAATATTTACTACTGATCCCTTTGTTTTTAATTTGTTGACCAAATGTATTTTACAAAAATGTATAAGCTTGCTTATCGTTGATGAACACATGTTCTTGAAATTTGCCTAATTGTTTTTATTCTTACAAATTGTAAACTACTTTCAATTATTGTGCATATAGATTCACCAGTGTTTTGTTGTTTTTTTCAGTTGGGATGAAACACATTTTGGTAAAATGGGAAGTTGGTATATTAATAGAACATTTTTCTTTGATGTTCACCCACCTTTAGGAAAGGTAAATGCACTGACAGAAAAAAATGTATTGTTGAACTTGTACCAATGGAATTATTTTCTTCATCCAAAAACTAAACAGAAAAGTTCCTATTAACAGATCATGAAAGTTTAAACAGATGCCTCTTTGTAGGAAATTAAAGCAGATGTAATTTTAAAAATCAATTATCACTGTCATGTAGATCACATAAATGTACAGCTGAAAGCATTCAGTTATTGATTTATATCAATTATACGGGTTTTCATTTACATGTATTTGTGGATTTAGAATTAATGGCGAAATATTTCAGATTATGAACAATTAATAAAATTCCATTACCACCATTATTATCTTAACTAAAGATCTTTGATCTCTTTCATACATTAGAAAAGTAGGACATAAGACCCCATATTGTTTCATTTTTTTCACAAGCAGGCCTACATGTATGTCACTTTCCATCGACTGAATATTAAGCTGAGACCAGTTTAGGATATACATGTTTTATTGAAACCTTTTCTTTTTTTTCAAGATTGCACTCAATGTGGGACCCATTATTAAAACTCAATTCTTATGTGCTTTTCTTTCCTTGATACAATGCATGTCTGTTTATATTGGTCTTTAATAGCCCCAAATTTCTAATAAATGTCAAAAATAGTGCAAGAGAAATAAGCCAGTGAGTTAACAAGTAATATCTTGATAGTGCAAAGACATTTTTAAGAAAGTACAGGTAGTGCATGAACCATCTCCTCTTGCCAATTCTATAGGACAGCAATACGTAGGACTACCAGTACATGTATACATACTTGATCTAAATAAAACATCATAGATTCATGTCTACTAGTTTACGTTAGTTTCAAACATCCAATAATATGAATAGACATTATCGAATTATAGATGATGATAGGATTAGCTGGCATTTTTACTGGTTATGATGGTAGTTTTCCCTTTAGTAAACCAGGTGATGACTATGGTGACACAGAATATGTAGGGATGAGAGTAGTAAGTACATGGTTTGTTTTTCTCCTCAAATTTAAGGTCATTGGTATTACTCTTATTATATCTCCACATTTTTATGTGGACGCATATTGTTTTCACCCCTGTCCATCCATCTACAATTTGTTTTGGACAGTCTACAGGTCACAATTTTTGTCCGATTTTGATGAAACTTAAAACATATGTTTATATCACAAAGATCTTGGTTCCTTGCGATATTCGCGCATATCAGACCTTAACTTCCTGGATTATGGCCCCTGATTTTAGCTTGTGGACACTCTAAGAGGTCACAATTTTTGTTCAATTTTAAAAACCGTTTAAATATATCATCGTTACACCCTGATGATGATTGCATTTCGAATTTCGTAAAAATCAGACTGAAACTGACCAGCAAAATGGCCGCTCCTTGAACGCAAATAGTGTAAAAGTATGTAATATCAAGGTTGTGGACCCTCTAGAGGTCACAATTTTTATTTGATTTTGATGGAACAAAATATATGTTTATATGTTTCAAATTTCGTGCACATCAGACCAAAACTTTGAGGATTATAGCCCCTGATTGTACGAAAAATCACATTTCTAGCTTTCTGACCTTCTAGAGGTCACAACTTTTATCCGATTTTAAAAAACGTTTAAATATATCACTTGCACCATAAAAATCGGAGAAATTAAAACGTAACTGCCTGACAAAATGGCCGCTTCTTGTTCGCAAATAGAGGTCACAATATTTCATCCAATTTTGATTAAAATTAATTCCTTTTGATATTTGCGAATTTCAAATCATTATTTACTGGATTATGGCCCCTGATCTTACATGGCAACCACATGTTTTAAAAACTATAAAAAAAACAACCTATTATTAAGCTTACTGATAAGAAATTTCTCCATTGTTTATCTAAACCTTTATATAGTTTTCTTTTAATACATAGGTGTCCTGTTTCTTGTATGTTCACATTTAGCTGTTCAGTTTGAATAATATTTTTTTAAATTTCAGGCTTGTGCTATATTGGGAGCTGCCTTGGTGCCTTTATCTTATAAAATTGTTTGGTTATTAACACATTCCATTGTTTCCTGTATTTTTGCTTCATCACTTATTTTATTTGGTAAGATAGGTCTTATCTTGTGAATTTCTAGTCAAACTGCAGTTTTTTTTATAACATGACTAAGACAGGCCCATTTCAGGTAAAACTTGTTTGTTGACGGATTGGTGACAAACTTTGATAAACAGTTAGGATAACAAATTAATAATTAACCTTGTTCAGAAAAAATGAAGATTTTTATTATGACTGAAAAAATATATTGTCAGATAATGAAAATTTCTATCAGAGGTTATCCATGTCTCATTTATAGGATAATTACATACAAGAAGAACATTTGTTGTGTTCCTTAGTTTTAGAGAAATCTTAAAGGAGCTAAACCTCTTTGATTTAGGCCAAACTGAAATTGTCTTCTAACAAACAAATCCAATGAATAAGCATAATTCAAAAAGATATAGTCATTTTAATCCCGTAAAATAATAAATTTTCTGTGAAAGAAAAGTTGAACCCAAAACTTTATTGAACTATATGTTATGTAGATTTAAAAACATCATTTAGATTTATCTACTTTTCTTTTTCAGAAACGGGAACATTAACTCTTTCAAGACACATTCTGTTAGATCCTATTATGATGTTTTTTATCATGGCTGCAACATATTGTATGCTTAAATTTCTTTCTTATAAAAACCGGTAAGTAATGGGTATGTTGATTTTTTAATATACCGCTAATTTAAAGATACATTAGTTAAGATTTTAATAAAGAGTTGGCCATTCTTGATATAACAGTTCAAAAATAGGCGATAAAAAAAAATATTGAAAAAAAGTCAAATTACTTTATTCTGAACGCAATTATATCACTGTTGGAAGTTTGGACTAGAAATAGACATCAACTGTCTCCGCACCGTCTCCCAGAATTGCTGATCGTTTGATTGACAGATGGTCACTCCGCCCACATATTCTTGATTATCAAGTAACATTCTCAATGCCTACGGTACTCTCGATTGTCAGTCCTTTCATCGGCAGCGACGTCAGCGATGTTCAGCCATTTAATGATTTAGTTATTAAATGGACGATTGTTTAAATCCAAGCTGTATCCAAGCCATCTGAGGGTCTACAGAGTTAATTTTGGGCTTGCTATGTAAATAAAGGTCTAATTGATAATTTCTATAACATTTGAAGCCTACAGAAAGACATGCAATAGACATATTTAGCTCTTTAACTAATCCATCTTTAAGCACCAAACAAACTCATTGAATTTAATCCCCGTCCAACCAGATTCAGTTTTTTTCAACCCCCCTCTTTCCCAACAGATGAATTTAGAATTAGTTTTTTACTTGGATTCCAACATTTCATTTTTATTAAGTTCCATTAAGAAAACTTCATGTATTGCATTCTCATGGTGAACCTCAGTTTTCCTTCCCATTCAAAAACTAAGTACACTTTCAAAATTAAGTAACACAATTTGACAGAAGATGAGGTTTTTTCATGGACAGATATCTCGGGACAATGGCCACCAGCAGAGTCATCAACCCAATTGGAACAAATATAAGTTTACTTACCTTTTTAAAATTACATGTTTGGAAAAAAATCTTGGGCTTTGCTGACTTGATCTCTGTGGAGCTGAACATCCTGGCATTATAGCAATAATATTTCCACCAAGTGCATATAAGGACTGTTTAAATTATTGTACCTACCATATCGTATTACTAGAAAAACTGATTTTACCTGATACGTCTTTAGTTAAAAAGGAAATCAACAGATAGTTGATCAAATGATTCTATTACTTGATGATATATGAGACCCTGTATATCTCAATCTATCACTGTGATAGAGAGATACAAGGAAGACTCGCGCTGACCACATATGGCCTCCCTTTCTATCTAGAAAGCCGTACATGCATAGGATCGGGTGTAACCTAGCATCCATAGCGGGGACAGATCACCTCATACATCATACACCCGCCAAATGACTGGATGACCAGAATCCCTAAGATGCGACTCACTGAACATATACATGGAATCTCAACCCCCGGATTTCACACACCATCATGTCTTAAAATCAGGGCCAACGATATTTGCTTTTGAAATCAAAAACGACAGAAAGAAACCTAATATTTTTATAAAATGATGAATTGGCATATAAATTTTTTTTTTCAACCTTTTTGGGTTTATAATTATTAAAAAAATTATTTGTTATAAGGTTATTAAACATTTTATATATTTGACACTATAAATATTGAAGGCACATTGACAATTGTTCTTTAATGATTAATTGGTCTATCAATAAGTTGTTGCTAGTTTTAGGTCTATAATTATTTAAGGTTTTTAGTTGTTATAAGGTTATTAAAGATTGATTATATTTAATACAAACATTGAAGGCACACTGGTAATTGTTCTTTATGTGTTCTTGGCAGTGGAAACTAATGATGCAAAAATCTCTTTTCTTTTCAATTAATTTTAAGTTTTTTGTTATAAATTTCATTTTTCTCAAATTGATAAATTCAATTAGAATTGTCTGGTATTTCTAATGACATAAAAAGGTTGTGGTTGTTGGGTTTATTTGAGGGTTTTGTTAGGGACAACTTTTATCTTCTCAATATTTGGCTAGTCAAAAAATACGTACCGGTATTTGTGTGTGGTTATTTTTTGTTTGTTTATTGTTTTCATTGGGAAGTTTTGAAAAAAAACTTATTGGCCTATATTTTTAGCATGAAAATTTACCAAAGCTTCTTTGTTTCCAGCAACATTGGGACAAGAAATTATCACCTACCTTGGCATACCTTAAATTACATCCAGCTTACACAACCCATAACATTATTCTACTGTCACTAGGCCTAATATTTTTCTAGTTTTACTCTCCTTCCTACTTTTTCCCCCAAATTGGAGTATTGGACTAATGTTAAGGGTTATAGGCCCACAATGTCATTGTGTGTCTCATTTTGACTCTCAACTGTAGGCCTTTCTCTATTTGGTTTCTTCAGTCTTTGTATTCTTATGCAGTTATCCATCATTCTCTGTTATGTTTTAGTCCAATTCAGAAAGCATCCCTCTCTGACACAGGTAACCAGGCTTATGAAACCTGGTCATGCACTTGTTGACCAGCAGACGCCAGTTTCTGTTAGGTATAAGGGAGATAACTCTATTTTGTTCCTTTTTTGGACATGATATTTTTCATATTTTGTCAATTGAATTTTTTACTATTATTTCATAGTATGTTCATAAACAGTTTTGGATTAACTTTTATTGATTATTTATAAGTTCAATTGTTGCACACTGGCCACTAGGCCTGTTATTTCAAGATTTGGTCTTGAATTTAATGTTTGCTTTGACGTTCCAAGTACAGTATCTTAATATTACTAAAGGTGGAAAATTATAACTTAATTTTATAAATTTCATCATTTCTTATAAGATATATATTTATGGATTGCGAAAATCAGGGGATTAAAGGAAAAATTAATTGAAAATAATATCCAGATAACTGTGTAGGCCTGTTAAGGCCTGGAATATGAACCTTAAAAAATGGACTGTATTACTATAAACACATTTCCTCAATTGCTATGATGACTCTGCTGGTGGGCCATAAGAGGCTCCAACTAACTTTAATGTATGATTAGACTCAATATATCTGAAAAAAAGGCTACAGATAGATGATACATGTTTTGTTTAGTCATTCTGCAGCCTTTGTGATAATGGGATGATGAACTGTCATGAACTAAGTGCTGGTTAATGTTTATGCTGTAAATTTTTTATTTAAAATGGTTTTATATTTTTAGACCTTTTACTATATCATGGTGGTTCTGGATGTGTGTAACAGGTTTTTTTCTAGCTTGCTCAATTGGGTAAGTGTTTAAAACAAATAAGGTTCTAAAAGTATTTTGGATAGACATTTAGTGTTTTAAAACAAAAATTTGAAAACAGTGTGCTAAATATTAAAACAACAACAGTTTTATATATTGTCAACATGAAAACAATCTTATATAATTAGAAGCTTACTTTTTCAAAAGTTTTTAAACATTTATATTTTCATAATGTCCTCTACTTTAATATTCCTACTTCAAAAATGGGATTCTTCTAATAAAATTTCTATTATCAAAGAATTATTTGTTTCTGTTCTGTAAAATAATGTGTTGTTATATATTTTAGTGTTAAATTTGTTGGATTGTTTGTGATATTATTATGTGGTATATCAACTATCATTGATCTCTGGAATATTTTAGGAGATATGTCATTATCTTTTGTAAGTTTGTATACCTTCATTGATTAAAGCAATTATTATTCAATAATATATCGTGAAATAATTAGCTTTTTTTTTTTATTTTAAAAAAAGCCTAATTTTATTCATCTCGGCAATACCATGCCACAAGCATATTCATTCGATACATATAGAAGCTAAAAATGCATCTACACATAAATAATTATATATTTTTATTGTCTATCATACAATATTATTTCTTTTGCTTTTACTACAGGTTGATTGTTTTAAACATTTTGCATCAAGAGTTGTTGGCCTTATTCTGATACCGGCCATATTTTATGTTATATTTTTTGGAATTCATCTTAAAGTATTGAACAGAACGTAAGTCTGTATTCAAAAACATTTTGCTTAGGCTTGGAAATGACTGTATGTGTTAGTAGAACTGTAGAAGATATTGACAAAAATTGAATGTAGTATAAATTAGTAATTAATTATTCAGCCATGATAAATAAGAAATTGATTTTATTTGTTCATAATGTTATGGTTCTCTTATTTTATTTCAGTGGAAATGGAGATGGATTTTTTAGCTCTGCTTTTCAGTCACAATTAATAGGCAATAAATTGTATAATGTCAGTATGCCAGCTAGTAAGTTTTGTGATTACTGTATAATATAAAGCAAATGTATTATCTCTCACTATTTGAAATTATAAATTTAGTATTTAAAAAAGTATGAACTACATGTATGCATATAAATTACTAAATATGTATTGTCCTCACAAATTGAAATTATAAATTTTGTATTTAAAAAATATGAACTACATTGAACTATATCTGTTCACATAGCTAAAAAAAATACTTTTGCATGTACATTATTAAAGTCATTTTTTCTGTTTTACTATGTACAAGGGACAAGGGACATACGTTTTCTGTCATTGGTCAGAAAATATAAACTTATTGGCCAATTAAAACATCTTTATCAGTATGGAAGGCTGTGATCTCTAATGATTTATTAAAAAGTTAAATCACATCCAAACCCTAAACAAGTTGTTCTGATGGGTTTAGTATTAGAGAATAATTAACTAAAAAAAAGAAACTGTTCTTTTTAAGCGAATTTGTGTTCTTTAGTCTAATGATATTACCGTGATTTGAATGATTGACTGGACTAATTTTACCCTAAAAGAAGAACTGTAATTTAATCTTAAGTCAATTTGATTCTTTAATCTATCAATATTATTGTAATTTGTTTAGAAATGTAAAATATGGTAATAATGCTAATGCTTACAGATATAGCGTATGGAAGTATTCTAACATTAAAACAGAGAAGAACTGGGGGAGCGTATTTACATTCACATTGGCATCTTTATCCAGAAGAACATCCACCTAAACAACAACAGGTATATAAGATTCTATGCTTTTTTACTGGTCTTTCTTTTACAGTTTCAGCAAATTTCAATTGTCTAGGGTTCTGTTATTTTCATGCCAGTATGAATACAGAAGAGTAGGCTGAAACACCCCTATCTGGGCAAAAATCTCTCTCGTAGTGCATGTAACCATAGAAGTGAATGTTATGAAATCTTAGTCTCACAATGACCAATGTATTGTGTTGACTTGACTCATAATTCAAACCTCATTCCATATGACCCAATGTTGGCTAGAAGTACACTGCAAAATACACCCATAGAGCCAAAAGGGCAATTGTTACAATTCTCTTAGAATAAAACCTTAATCAATTGTTTACAGATCACTACATACAGTCATAAAGATGAGAATAATTATTGGATAATAAAACAAGCTGAGAAAGAACCTGATAATGATGCCCCACCACAGTTGGTTCGAAATGGTGATATGATTAGATTAGAACATGTTGTGTAAGTCTATATTTTACATTCATCTGTTTTATTCCATTTGCATCAACATGTAATATAATTAATTTGGTCATCAGAATTTCCAAAACAGTTTTAGCTTATGCAGTCCAGCAGAAAGACTTGTCACCTGACATGTGTCTGTTTTGTCAAAAATAATATTGTGTATTCTATATTATTTAAACTCTTCTGTTATTAAAAATGTTGAAGATTATTTTCATTAAGTGATCTTTTCAAAAAGTCTGCCCACCCACCTATATATCATAAACTGACTTTTGGATGCTAGCATGTTTATATTAATGTAAAAATGTCCTTTTTTCTTACTAGCCCACTGAATAATTTTAATTTCTATTTTCTACAGAACTCATAGAAATTTACACAGCCATAGAGAACCAGCACCCATCAGTAAAAGACAGTACCAAGTTTCAGGTTATGGGCAGGTATGTTGTTGTTAGTTGTATTTTACTTCCGCTTCCACCGAGGTGATATCGCAGGTATGGTAGTAATAACTGATTTAATTTTAATACACAATCTGTTAATCTCTTGGTGTGTATTTCATTATTCTGTGTATTGAACAACCTACTGATCTGAGTGTATAATATACCCCCCCCCCCTCCCGCAAGTGTATGTGTATTACTATTATAGTAGAATAAGCAATCCATCAGTCTATGTGTATTGTAGTATAATATCCATCTGCCAAGAATGTTCAAGGTATATGTCTTTGTGTATTTTGGTATATATATACAACTTGTTAATCCATGTGTATCATAGTTTAATAATATACAGTAGAATCTGTATGAGCAGCCACTCCTATTCAGCGACATCTCCTTGTAAGAGGTCACGATAAATTCCCCCCGTAGAAATTCTGTTGTTTCATCTCTTTATTCAACGGTCACTCCTCTAACGCGGCCAGCGGTCACTATTTTACTAATAAATTCAACAAAACATCGCCCATTCAACGGCCATTGTTGAATGATACCATCTTGTCGTTCTTTGTAACACCCCCGCTAATCCCGTGAGTAGTAGTTAATTAACTGGACCCCCACTGATCAGGTAAAAAGAAATGTAAAAATAACAATCAACCCGGGATTATCTGTTAATTAATCTTTCGTTTTATTAAACGACTAACCTGACCATTGTTTTCACGCGTAACGACACATTATTTGATACTGATTGAATAAAATAAAAGTACCGAGTTTTGTCATGATCATCTAGTATCTCTCTTAGCGCCTCCTATAACATTACATACAGAGTTACACCCCCTGTAAATAGGTGATAAAATTAGCGATGTTTTTTGTTCATGTGCTTTTTTGATAAAATAAAATGAATTCATCGATTTTCTTCACAAAAATGGATAAATATTATCGAATGCATCACAATGGTAGACAGTAGTATCGAAGGTTGGTACAAAATGACAAGTTTACAGAAGTTATGTCCGAGATTTGAGTAAAGAATTTTCGTTCGGCGCAAGATTCAGCGACGGCCAAATTTACCGCTTCCAATGCATCCAAGCGTAATATTTAATTTATGTCGGCACAAAAAGCAACGAGATTTTATTAAGAGGCCACTCCCGTTAAGTTATGTCCGAGATTTGAGTAAAGAATTTTCGTTCGGCGCAAGATTCAGCGACGGCCAAATTTACCGCTTCCAATGCATCCAAGCGTAATATTTAATTTATGTCGGCACAAAAAGCAACGAGATTTTATTAAGAGGCCACTCCCGTTAAGCGATCAGTTGTGAAAATTCCCTTGGGTGGCTGCTTAATGCATATTCTACTGTACACAAAAAAATGGGTTTTAAAGTCCTACTGTTGTGCACCAACAGAGCTAATGAAGATGAACAGACAGTTGCTCTATAGCCGTCTCTTTATTTCACATTCCCACTATCAAAGTGTACATGGAACCTCATTTTTTTTGTTACATCTGAAGAACTGGACATTGTTCCTTGCCAAGCCTTCCATCATGCACCACTGATAGTTGACAACATGCAGGAAAATCCTAAGGAACTTTCATTTCCACCACTAGGATTGGACCGGGGATCTCATGGTTTACGAAACAACTTCGAATTTATCAGTAATCTATATGTAGTATAGTTGAATATAAATATACAGTTTATTTGTCTGTTGTATTAAAGTTCAATAAACAATAATATTATGTATATGATCAATTCTATCATCAAGCAGGATAATAAAAATGACAATTTTTTTAATACTACTTAGAATGGATATGGAGATGCTAATGATATATGGGTCATAGAGATACAAGGAGCAGCCAAAGGTGCAGTAGTTCAAACTGTTAGATCTAAGCTAAAGATCATACATTATCATGTCCGCTGTGCTCTGCATGCCAATGACAAGAAACTTCCTAAATGGTAGGTACTTAATATCCATTATTCATTTCTAAAAAGAAAACTTTTACTATTACAAATATTTGTTCTTGACACATTATTAGCAAATATTGTCTGAAGTTTCTACTAGAATTTTATAATTTTTTTTTTTATGTCTCATTAAATTATTTATTTGTAGGGGTTGGGAACAATTAGAAGCTACATGTCATCCTAATGTCAGAGAACCTAAAGCTTTGTGGAGTGTGGAAGAAGTTAAAGATGCAAGATGTAATTTTTATTTTCATATTTTTTTTATATTAATTACCCAAATTACAGAAAGTTATTGACATTCAAAGCTATTGACAAAAGCCATTGTCTTCATTAAAATAGACACAGATCTGTATTGATATCCATAATTTCAAATTGAGTAGTGTAGACCCAATATGATATTGTTTAACAAAGGTTGTGGATGTGATATTTTAAAATTTGACATGCTTTGTAATTTATTATATATGTAATTGGATTTACTGTTTTCAGTACCAAATGTCAGTTTTGAAGTCTATTGCCCAAGTTTTATTGAAAAAATCACAGAAAGTCATGCAGTGATGACACAGGTAATTTGCTTAATCCTCATTAGAATTTTACTCAGAGTAGTCGTCCTTGTTTAATTGTCAAATGACACTATGCAGAGACTGGCAATAATAAGGCTTAAATTTATGCACTTAATTTATAAAATTAATTTTGAGATATAATCTTGATGTTTGATATTTTTAATTTATTTATTTTATAGGGTAATAGTGGGTTAAAACCAAAAGAAGGTGAAATAACATCAAGACCATGGCAATGGCCAATAGATTATAGGGTAAGATACTGATCAAATTGTGAGGGTTAAATATGGTTTTCTTAAAGTTCAGGTGTTAAATGTGACGTATAATTTCTCTTTTTAACTTAATTATGTGATTCTATAAGAGTCATGGTGGCTCTATGGCACTGGGGGGGTTGGATGGCCGAATGGTTAGCACGTGGGCGCTGTATCATAAGGTCTGTCATTGAGTCAACTGTCATGGTTTCAAATCCCTGGTTGTACGTGACAAGGAGTAGGGTCGTCTGTCCAACCTTGTGGGTTTTCTCTGAGTTCTCCGGTTTCCTCCCACTGCTAAAGACCCCTACGCGGAAGCGAATTATAGAAATAAAATTGAAAAATGTGTTAGTCCCAAATGACCTAGTTTGTGTCGAGTGGACGTTAAACCCCATTTCTCTCTCTCTATATGGCACTGGCTCACTAAACGGGGGAAAGTGCTAGGTACAATCGTGGTGTTGGCAGTAATTTATTGGCCTGGTTTCTCCTTGTCTGTAGTGCATGAGAGTCTGGCAAGTCAAAACATCTAGTTCGAATGATACATAAAAACAAAACAAGGTCCCACATGTTAAAGATACCATGACATTTAATTGGAAATTGAATTAAGAGTAGATCGTAGCGGCATTATCCAGACAAAATTTCCCTCAAAGCACTCTACTTGGTGTATGCCCGTCTCATGAGACTGCTTGGTGTTGAAAAATAAGCGATGTTATTCTTTCTATGTAAGTACAGGCAAACTCAGATCAGAGAAGATAAGTCTTAATCGTTTCACGTCAGAAATATGTTTCATCACATTTATTCTGTTGGACATGAAATTATAGTCAAAATTGAATGTCAACAGTCCAATCAACAACCAATACATTAAACAAAATCAATCGGGATTAACCAGCTCTAAATATGTTACCGTAAAGTGTCTGGTGACAATTGCGGCTACATTATGTCATAATGCACAACACTCAATTAACCATTGCATAACAGAATATTGCAGAGAAACTAATTGTGTGATAAACGAGGTTATCCAAAATAGCTACAATGTAAACATTGGGTAATCGCGGCACTCATGGAATTTTTTTATCATCTCTTGGACACAGCAGACGAACAATATTTTCACCATCTTTTAATACATTTAATTAACTGTCCGAATACCCCAGATCAAAGAGAAGGGCTGTCATGTTACTTATTGTGTTTCACCAAACTTGATAGAACTAAGACATGTGCTTTTCTGCTAAAATAAATATTTCATGGATTTTATTCACAAAAATGGATAAATATTATCAAATACTTAAAGGTAGGCAGTAATAATTGGTACAGACTCGTTTATAGAATCTATATCGGAGATTTGAGTCATAGAATTTTTATTCCAATAGCGAGTTTCAGCCACAGCAAATTTACCAATGCGAGTATTGATGTTTGATCCTGATGCATCCAAGGCCAGGGTAAAAAAATTCTTGAAATCAACAGTAACAAACACTGTTAAGTGGCAGTCATGAAAATTCCCTTTATTTTACTGTACTCAGAAGAGATTTGATTGGACGATAAGAATAGACACACTCTTGTCAAAAATTGCAAGTTTTCGGTTTTAAGTATAGCAAAGGCTAGAGAGTGATTTCTTGGGCCATTGCTTCAGAAATATGGGTAGCCGGCCGCTATCTCCATTTTGTATTTTGAGGTCACACAAAGATCCCATAAAAACTGAAAGATTGGATTAAAATAGCTATGCATCACTTGACTAAGTATAGTCAACAAGATGTTAACCCCACCCCATTTGATCATTTCGTAACTTGCTTAGAGCAATGCATAATAAATTGCTTTTTCTTTATTTATTGCAGGGTCAGATTTTCTCTGGAAAAGATTTTAGAATTTATTTGCTTGGTAACCCAGTTATATTTTGGTTATCACTCATTGTTATGATAATATTTTTCGTCATTTATATCATGTACTCTTTACGATGTCAGAGAGGAGTACCAATGCCAAAAATGTTAAAAGGTAATTATAGACTGGAGTTAGATTTTCTTTTTCTAACTTGTTGGAATTGTTTTGTCAGACCCAAGGAGTGTACAGTTATTGAAATTCAAAGCGCATACCGGTATTTATTTTTTGCCTCCATCACTGAAACTATCCTCCATCACTGAAACCTTGTAAATTCTCTACAGATTGTAATATCCTAGATGTTTACCAAAAAAGCATTTGTTTGCCGTCACGAAAGCATTATATCAGTTTTGTGAAGCTACAAACAATTCCATTGTGGAAATAATTTTTATTAAGCACTACACCGGTTTTATGAAATATTTATTTCTGGTTAAAAAAGTACTGCATGTGCATTCTTTGTATGTCATTTCCAGTCATAAGGTGCATTTTGGTGGTTTTTAAAACCAAAAACTTTTATTGCAGTGATAATTGAATATATATCATGGCCATTTTTATTATTTGAATATCTTGTTATTATTTTTAATTCATATTTTTTATCTATAGATTATCATACTAGAATGTTTACAGCATGTTGGTGGCTCGCTTTAGGCTGGGCATTACATTATATACCTTTCTGGTTTATGACCAGAGTTCTGTATTTTCACCATTATTTTCCTGCCTATTTATATAGTGCCATGTTAACAGGTAGGACATCATATTTAGAACTTTGTATTGTATTACACATCCTAGACATTTGTAATCATAGTAGAACCGTGTTCAGTGCTTTCTCTCTGCATACATCCTACAAAAGGTAAATGTCATTTTTCTTCTCAATTGTAAGACCACTTATAATCTTCAGATCATTTTGACCAGACCAGTATTTTTTGTCAGAGTAGAAATTATTGTGGCTTCAGCTACAGCCATTCCCATTTTTGTGACCCATCAAGCGAGTATATTATATATACTTTGTTGCTGTCTTTTTCCAGGTATTATGTTGGATTACATGGTCACTAGAATCTGTTTAATTTTACCAGAAAAATACACTATTAGATTTTTCTATTCATCAGTATTCGTTATTCTCGCCATCATTGTTTACAGGTAAGGCAATCAATTTTCTTTCTGATAAATAAAATGTTCTTTACAAGTTTACAACCCAGTCAGGGTTTATAATTAATACTGAAAAAATCACACAAAAAAATATATCGGATCAAACAATTTAGTTATCTTCTTAAAACTATTATTGAAAATATGACTTTTCTTATGATTTGGAAAATATAATTGTAGACTTAAAGTGATTAGTAAGCTCACAATAAATAAAAAGAAAAGCTTTATCAAGCACCAGATTTGACAGTATGTCAATATTCGCGAAGCAGGCAGTTAGGGCTTCTAGTTCGCATACATCCCATTCAAACTTGTGTAAATGAGGCCTTATTCATAATTGCGGTACTTTTAGATTTGCAATACGTAAGACATCACTACAAAATAATAAGGTTTTGGCAACAAATATATTTTCTTCAATAATTTAGATATTATCTTGAATGCAGTGTAAACTTCAGATCTAAAAGAAATATTTCTTCAATAGTTGTTATATTAAATCTTTATGCACAACTGCATTCCCCCATATATTGTAATATTGTCATTGGTCCACAGTAGGAACTAGAAGGGTTTTACATGCCATGCATGGGCAAGTAAAACTGCAGGTATAACGCACAAGATAAAAAAAAAACAGACTAGGTCTTATCAGTGAAAATAAAATAACTATTAGAACTTATAGGAGGATGGGAGGTTGGATGGCTGAATGGTCTGTCATTGAGTCAGCTGGCATGGTTTCAATTCCCCGGTTGTACGTGACAAGGAGTAGGGTCACCTGTCCAACCTCATGGGTTTTCTCCATGTCCTCCGTTTTCTTCCCACTGCTAAAGAACCCTTTAATCATGAAATGGCCTAGTTTGTGTCAGTGGAGGTTAAAACCCATTTCTCTCTCTCTCTCTCTCTCTCTCTCTCTCTTTATAGTAGGAAATGTTTTAAAAAATAGGTCTTTTAGGAGCAAATGACACTGTATACATGAAATTCCCCAACCCCCAATACTAATATTTTGGTCTCGAACCAATCATTTATTTACTTTATTTTTCAGTTTTTATCTTTTTCATCCTTTAACTTATGGTATGTCTGGTCCGCCTGCTAAAGATGAAACAAGTATGATGTATGGATTAAAGTGGCTTGATAGTTGGGATATATAATTCTTATTCTTTTTGTGTAATGGCAGCTATGTTTAATAGTGAAGTAGAGTTTACTAGGCTTGATTGCTAGTCAATGATATTGACTGAGAAACAGTTCGAGAGAGAGGAAGATGAATCTGTTTATAGTTCAATAACGTAAAAATTAATCTTTTGTCTTAATCAAATATGACAGACTCTTCTTATATAGAAATGTTTATACCTAGTCCTTCACATTAGCAAAACCAGGAAAGTCGATAGCGTTACTCAAGAAACACCATTTAATGGGATTTTTTTGTTGTGATTTTATAGTTAATGCTGTCTATCTAGATATTTAGAATGGATAATGATCAAATAAAAATTGCTGAAACTTGTCCCCTTTGATTGTATTGTGGGGTTTACACGGTTTCCTTGTTTTAGACAAGCAATTTAAAGTTTACCTGGAATTGAATCTGTATGGGTTTGTGTGAGTGATCACTCACTTAATTGATTGAATATCGCACCATTTGGCATTGTGTAGTCTCAAAATCATTCCAAAAGAAAAATCTACTAAATGCCAGTGCCTTTTTCTTGGCTCAATATCTCATTCCATTTAGAATAATTGGGTCCTTTCATTTCGCTTTGGCAGACAGTCAAAAAAGCCATGGGGAGAACAGTCCATCTTTGCCAATAGAAATGTTGGAGCAGCAGACAAAGGATATGATAATCAAATCTTCTTCCTATATATATATATGTTCTCGATTGACAAATGTTTTCTGTCTGTTTTGGATAAGTTAATGGAGCCGCCCAAAGTTTTATAAGAGAAAAAAGGTGATATATACATACACATTTTAAAGAACAATATTGGTGTCAGTCATTATGTTTTCCTTTTGCTTTCGTCACTTCCGTTTTTTGAAATCTTCATTACGCTTCTATAGTAGCAGTGATGTCTGTGTTAAAATTATATTTGGAACGTATTGAACCAGTTCTATCTATTATGTGATAATGACTGACACCAATATTGTTCTTTAAGAGTTAAATATTTTAATGTTATGGTAGAAATATTTTTATATTGATTTTCATCCATAAGTTTATTGCACATATTTCAATAATTATTAATCAGCATAGAATATTAAAAGTATATGATCTGTTTTGCATAATTACAATATTTTTTTATTTTTTCCTGAAATTATATTATATGTCTTTTGAATGATATTCTTACAAATTGTTCAATTCACAAACAGCAAAAATCAAGTGTACTTATAGCAATACTTATTTTTAAAAATAACATTTAAATTAAATTTGGATGTAGTCTTCTTGTTTTTGTAATGCCAAGAAAAATTATCATGGATATATGTTGTTGTCACCTGCATCTTTCGTCCATCCTCAATTTCTTATGAATATTCTGAAGGTCAGAGTAGGTAACAGATTTTTTTCATATTTGCTGGAATTTTTTAGTGGGTCATAAGGAAGATTTCGAAATTCAGAATTGTTCAATTCCAAAGGTTTGCCCTGTTTATGTTGAAACCCATTGTAGGAATTAATGAGAATTTTATAAATTCAGTGAGATTGTTGAGGTATATGGAAGTATAAAAGTATGTAATACCAAGGTTGTGGACACTCTAGAAGTCACAATTGTTGTTATCAGATTTTGATTAAACATACAATATATGTCTATGTCCCAAAAATCTTGGTTCCCTTTGCTATTTGCGCATACCAGACCGTAACTTCCTGGCTTATGACCCCTGATTGTACAGAAAATCGTGCCTTTTTTAGCTTGTCAAAATTTTTTATCCGATTTTAAAAACCGTTTAAATATATCACCAACGAAACTGACCGACAAAATGGATGCTCTTTGTACACAAGTGTGTAATACGAAGATTGTGGACCTTCTAGAGGCCACAATTTTTATCCGATTTTGATGAGGGGGGTTGGATGGCCGAATGGTTAGCACTTGCGCTCTGTATCATGAGGCCTGTCATTGAGTTAACTGGCGTGGTTTCGAATCCCCAGTTGTACGTGACAAGGAGTAGGGTTGCCTGTCCAACCTCGTGGCTTTTCTCCGGGTCCTCCGGTTTCCTCCCGCGCAAGCAAATTATTGAAATAAAATTAAACCATATGTTAACCCCGAAATGACCTAGTCTGTGTCAAGTGGAGGTTAAACCCCATTTCTCTCTCTCTCTCCGATTTTGATGAAAGTTAAAATATATCTTTATATCCCAAAGATCTCGGGGGACTCCGCCCCTTTCGATATTTGTGCATTTCAGACCATAACTTTCTGGATTATGGCCCCTGATTGTACGAAAAATCGCTTTTGTTTTTAGCTTGTTCTCTGTCCATTTCTTGCAAAATGTGGATGTATCTTGCCTGGCAACAGCTGGTTAAAATCTCAGTAGGATTTGTACATTGGTATATATATATATATATATATTGTATATTACAGGTTGTGGCCTTTGTAGGTACTAAGTGTTATACTGTACAACAATTTAATTGTAAAACTAACAAGACCCTGTGTAATTTTTATGTCAAATATTTATTAATCATCGCATATTAAACTAAAGCATGAATGCACATTGTACTATTGTATATTTTATTTATTTACATATTAAAAGAAAATCATACAAAGAGTCTGGATTAATATTTTTGAATGTGGAGATATATTGCCGTCGCCCCTGTCTTAAACCCTATAGCCTAAGGATGACACCTATTGTTTTTGGTACAGTGTGTCAATCAAATTGCTTCACTTTAAGCCGAGAAAACCTTATTTTAAAAATCACCGTAGCCTCGATTGTTATTGTTACCGCTATAATCTTCTGCGACCGAATAGGCTTTCCTTACACGGTTGAGAATGTTCTGGAATAACTAACACCAATATTTCATCTAATTCAATTTCCCAGCGGATACAATCCTCACTGAAAAAATTCTCAATGTTAAACCACCCGGGAAGGTCTTGGGCCAAGCCATCGATGTTCAAAAAAGAAATTAAAATCAAATGGGGTTCATGCAGTGTGCTATAAAGGTAATTTTGGCCCACACTTATTTCAAATTCTAAACCCAAGAGATCTTTAATCTGCACGCCAACGTGTACATGGGTCCTCGGTTGTTCTGCCCACTCGGAAGACTAAACTTTATGCCTTGCCAAGCCACCCCCACCCTCTTCCTTCACTACTGACAAGGGAAAACAACGCCGGAGAAAACCGAGGAACGTTTTTGGCCAACACCGGCATCGAACCCATGAATCCCTGGTTAGCTTGCCACCGCGATAATAAAGACAACATTATCAATATGTTTCATATTGCCGTAAGAATATTTCCCTTGACCTGTACTTTTCTAGCTTTTTAAAACAAATAACTTAATAATTTAAAGCGGTTTGAATATTTGGTGGTCATAAAGTGAAAACATACCCTCCTCAAACTGACCTGAATTTATGGAGGCATTAATGTATGCAAAAACAAGGCTGGGTAATTATTTACGTTAGAAATTTATTTTAAAATCAAGATCAAATTTTAATTTTCTAGTAAGTTGATTAATGATTAAATCATCAAAATCCGCCAATCCTAAAGACGTTGTTCCTATACCAACAAAACCTGGTTCTGGGGACGTAGGGAGTGAAATACTAAATAACATTTTATTGTTAAATACGGCAGTTGCTTTATAACCGTTTACGGAAAGTCCAGCGGTATTCCATTCTTTGTAGATGGGAACACTTGTAAGGTTTCCATATTGCACAGTGTGCAAGCTAGCAATATCTGAATTAAGTAAATAACGGTTTAAAGTGGGGTAGATTACCAGAAACACTCCAAAAGCCTTGTGCGAGTCACAACCCGTTTCATTAATACGAGCTGCCAAAAATATACCATTGGCACTACCAGGCAAATCTAAATTAAACCGGATGCTAATGTTTACATTAACCCACTGATATGATCCTATGATAGCGAGACTTCTGGGAAGACTGTCCGCGGCACACCACTCGACAGATGGTTGAAGGGACGTTTGCCGAACAACCTGATTTGGTGGGGATCCAGTTTGGACGATTTCAAAACTTCCTATTTGAGGTGAGAGATTATTTGGTTCAGAATAAACAGGTGCTTCCTCAAAATCATCATGATAAGGCACTGGAAACGGTTTACTAGGCGGAGGGGTTGTAACTTCCTTATTACCGGAACTAACAGTTGTCAAAGTCCAAACTTCGTCTACCCCAAGATTTAATCGCACAATTCCATTGATGACAGAAATAGGATCTTTGCGCGTGAACATTTGGAATGTTTGGTCCCGACTTAGTTTGCTATATCGGACATAAAACTGGCGAATATTTCCTAGTTTTCCTTTTAAATTAAATTCAACGCTTTGACTTGACACATTGTAGGCTGGGAGTTTGGGTCTTATACAAACTGAAGTATCGTGACTCATTGTCTCTATTACTATTGTCAGTTGACTTTGGTCGGGACTTACGAGGGATACAAAGGTTCCGCCATACTGCAAATTACCTACCCCAGAACCGTGTTGAAGATATGACCATTCTGTTGTTGTAAATTGGGTTGTGTGGGCACTGACCCAAATTGGTGTTTCTATATCATAGTGACCACTCCATGGTTCATTGGCAGTCATCAACCCATCTCCGTTATATGGCAATCCTTCATACCAACTAGCAATTAGGGCCCATGATATTGTACTAGTCATAAATCCGTTGACATAGTTTCTGTTTAACAGCCTAGCCCAGCAACCTCCTCCAACTAGGTCATCTAAAGAACTGAAATCTTCAGAAGACCATAGAGGTTTACCAGTCTGCAAGGCTCCCACGGATGTTGAAGTTCCGGGATAATGAACCCCAATACCGTATATGGCATCATCAAATTCTGGATCCTTCATAATATCAAATGCTATATTCCAGCCAAAATAATCCGCCGCTATAATTTTTACGGAAGTAAAATTATTCATATCAAGCTGTTTTCTTAAAGTTTTTACATACTTTATATCATACATTCTCTCATTCCAAATCCCAATATAGTCAATATCCAGGCCGTTCACTTCCCGAGCTCCCAGGATCCAACTGATGACATATTCAGCTAATTGACCAGCGTCTGTATAGGGATTTTGTGTATAATTACCAACCCATCCTGGGAAACCCCAAGGTAAACCATAAAGCTTGATATTTGGGTTTCTCTTTTTGGCTTCCTTCATCAACCACCATTCATAACCACGTAAATAATTAGTATCGTTTCTATTTCTCATATGTGTTGCTTCCGTACCGTCAGTGCTCTGTGCATCGCCCCCAATCTCCACCTTTAATATTTGTAGACTAGCTCCTACGTTTGGTTTGAATAGATAGTCTAGAATTTCATCTCGCTGTTTTTGTGGATAATTCACAAGAAGCTTTGAAGACGCACCAGCACTCAATCCACCGATACCATCAAATCTTCGTCCTAAACCATTTGTAATGTCCACAGGATAAACGGCTTGACCATATAAGGATGTAAAACAGGTGAAAATGACGATCGTCTTTGAAATTACGCCCATTGTTCGAGTGCAGGTGTTTAAAGTATAAAATGATTACGAACACAGTGTTGGTATCTCATTTTAACTCAGCTTCAATCTATGTCAACAGTTGATACTAGTTTATCTATATGATTGGTGTAGCCTATTAAAGTATGATATAGGTGTCAGTCACTATCACATATGTAATAGAGCTTTCTAATTTTAGGCCTAGCCTCCATTATCATTACTAAAGTCGGTACGATAAAAAACATAGTCTCGATTATCCATTTTTGAATTAAATCATCAATGAGCGTTGAGCAGCAAATCGGATTTAAATCCAGTAAATATCACAGGCTAGCGATGACACCGAGAGTTGATTATGGTCTGGATAAGTTATAAGTGTCTAACAACTTTTGGTCTTCTAGGGAATTATTAGTGAGTAGACATTCACCCGTATATATCTGTTATCACTTCAGCCAGTTATATAGAAGAATAACTCGTGTTTTCCTTTTCCGTTCATTACTTGCCTTTCTTGAACTGTTCATAACCCATCTATCGTAGCATTGATCTTTGTGTTAAAATTATATTTTGGAACGGGTTTAACCAGTTCTATCACATAGGTGATAATGACTGACACCAATATTGTCCTTTAAGCCTCTTCAAGTCACAAAAGGTCAACGGTAACAATATCTGTACACATATCTATAGGGGTTCAAAATACAGTAGTAACTTATTCAAGCGCTGATAGAGTTATGCTTGGAAGGGAGTTGAGGGGGTGGGGTGGGGGTCTAGTGCCGACTCTACGAAAAAGGGCACATGTAAGTCTTCTGCGCGTTATCACTTTTACAAACTTTAAATATCAAAATTTCGAAATAACGCTAATGTAACTCTGCAAAACGTGTTCAAAACGTGTTTAACTTCTCTTGCGGATGCCACGACACTATTTTCACTAACCTCCCTATCCCTTCAATTTTTACTGGCAGCATTTGGTGAATATAAAAGTTAAAGACGAATCGCAATTTTAAAAAGCAATCCGTCTCTAGTCAAACATCCAACCTCGTGGGTTTTCTCCGGGTCCTCCGGTTTCCTCCCACTGCTAAAGACCCCTACGCGCAAGCGAATTATTGAAATAAAATTAAACCATATGTTAGTCCCGAAATGACCTAGTTTGTGTCGAGTGGAGGTTACCCCCCCCCCTCTCTCTCTCTCTTTCCCTCTCTCTCTCTCTCTCGTCAAACAGCTATTAAACCGTTCTAACTCGTGCTAGAACGATATCTGCCATTACAACTGTCATACTTGCGACTCCGTTTTTAAAAAAAAGTTTGTTTGCGATATTACTCTAATTGAAAGCGGACGTTAAGTCCCACGAACGAACGCATTGGTTTCAGTTGGACCCAGGAACTCGACCGAGTCACATCGCAAATCAAAGTTCAACCAAGTTATATAGCTGATCAGGTAAATCAAATATCCGGATAATATTTCGAGCATGCAGCATGAATAAAACAGTATAGTGTCTTTTTTTTAACTTGAATATTGGAATATTGACCTACTCTTTTTCATCTGAAAATCATCACACATATTCATATTTGCTAATAATTGCTAGTTAAATTAATTGAATAGAACATGACACAATAATAAAGAAAACAAGTTACTTAGAAGTTGATTTCTAGCGACGTTTCAAGCAAAGACAAGAAAACCCCCGTTGAAACGTCGCTAGAAATTAATGTCTAATTAACTTATATTCCATTATGATTGTGTCATGTGCTATTCTCCTTTAGTTAGTAAATGCCGCTTAAACAATTTAAAGAAGGTAATTATACACACGTGTCGACCATTACATATGACGACAAAAGGCAAGATGGGCATGTGGTTTTTGGTTAACACTGTTTAGTCGTTTATGAAGTGATTATATCATACTGCAATTTGGATATGTTACATCCTATCCATATCATTATGAAGGTTTGGAAATTGATAAAGCATTCTTTGTCTTCTGTTATGAAATAATAGTATATTCTTTCAGAAGATACTTTTAACTTTCATTAATAATGCAAATACGAAACATAACAAAGGTCTACTTAAAAGTGTTAGGTGACACATCTGTGCCATACGTTTTTATAAATATATAACAGGGGCGGATCCAGCTACATATTTTTTTTTTGTAAATCAACACTTTTTATTAGAAAAGTTTCTCGGCCGTGTGCTTCCTTTATCGTCAGATGTGGGACAGGATGGGCACTCAAAGCACGAGATAATGATATAGACATTATGCGATATCACAATTAATGCCTTGCATCCATGTAATTGTGTCACAATGTCATTGTATTAATTCATAATAAAAATTGACTTCAAACGAGGTGTTGAATTTCTCTGTTTAAAAAGCCGACGTGGTTTCCCCTTGTCAGTGGTGCAGAACGGAGGGCCTGACAAGGACAGCTGTCTAGTCCTTCGGATGAGACGAAAAACCGAGGTCCCGTGTATACATTAGAATGCACGTAAAAGATCCCTTGGCAGTTGGAATTCGATATAAGAGTAGGCGATAGTGCAGCTGCCCGGGCAAAATTTCCCTCATAGCACTCTGTATGGCGTATGCCCGTCTTCATTAGCCCAGTATAGGAGCAGAACAGTAGGACGTTAAACCCCATTTCATTTCATTTCATTTCTGTTTAAAAAGCTCAATATGTATGTATATACGCCAAAATGACGAAAGAGACCATGCGGGAGGGGGGGGGGACCATTGTCTCAGGAACCTGGCAAACCCCCTCCTGCAAAAATTCCTGGATCCGCCCCTGTATAAGTAATTATAATTTTTTATAAATATATATTTTGTTACCTAAATACATCAATAAGCTTGTGTCAGCCATGCCTTCTAACAAAAACCCCGCCATGGCTGACAAACAACTGATTATACCGATCACCTCCTCTTGTAGGCACCGATGTAAGATTTTTATTACTGTGACACTGAATATCACCATTGACGTAGTTGGCAGTGCTCCGAAATATCCAATTTTGATGGAGTCCCAACAAAATGGGCTTCCAAGTTGATAAATAGTTTCTAGAGCCGAACGACCCAACGCCGTAACAACAGAGAAAAATAATATTCCCATTGCTATGGCGTAGAAAATTCTTTTTTGTACCGTCTTTAAGCTTTTTAGAGGAGAACTATCCAATGTTTTTGTTACACGTGTTTCCGGAAGTAAAAAGAAAACAACAACTAAATCTAAAGCACCTAGAGTAACAAACAAAACCATGGGATAAAAGAATCCCGTAGATTTGATTAAAAATCCTGTGCTGAGTAGTCCTATGGATGCTGCTACGGGTAAACACCCTTCCATGACAGCCATGGCAATAGTCCTGGACTTTCCAGGAACTGTTATATCAGCAGTGTACGCAAAAATGGCAACCAACATTGCGAAGTATGACCCACTTAGCCCATCTATCAGATTTGCTAAGTAAAAGTAATTTGTATCTAGCTTGAAATATACAATAAAAGTAATGATCACATTTTTGGTAAGGATTCCAAGCAAGGGCAGCATAAACATAAATCTTCTACCAATAGAATCAGACAGCGGTCCAATGAAGATGTTGATGACGATAGCAGACAAACTTCCAACAAGCGAATAATACAGATTCAAACTTGTCGCATGCTTTTGTATTTCTTGGTCCAGACGATCGCCCGTTGTTAGATTTTCATGTTCACCACACAGGTGACGCGTTGTGTTGACATCTGAAGAATTGAAAACATTTTCTCTCAATCTTGATACTACATACTGGGATATGACTGGAGCTGTGGGTATTGCTGCTACCATATATAGAATAACGGACAAAGCAGTGACCACCCAAGCTCGAATGTAAGGAAATTTAGATGGTAATTTAGATCCTTCAGACGCTGCTGCTTCTGCTGGGCTTCCCATCTTTCTAGATTTTGGACTCAAAATATTAAGGTGCCCTTTTTATATTCCGATAGTGTGTCAGTTCTATCTTTTCGATGATGACATATATATGAATTAGTATATACACAGATATTTTGTCAACCAGTGCGAACAAGATAACAGTCAGATAGACAGTGTCAACGTAAATATTCGGTAAATGAATGGGGTTTGTAGCTAGGTTTTGCCTTTGTCTGTCTTTCTGGGTTTTTTTTAAAATTTTATTTTATTGATTAGATTTGATTAAAATTTACAAATAAAGTTTGTGCTTCGTTGGATTCTGTTAATTATTTTACTGTTTTACAGAACCATTTCAGGTTACTCTTTAAGGTATTTGATTGGAAGTGTTGTATAGAGCAAAGTTACAAATCAAGTTTGCATCATTACTGAATCTATGCTTGACTTCAAATCAATGAAAATTCTGTTTTTCGGAATGTGATTATTAACGAATTGATCTTCATAATTTCATTTCATACTTCGAAATAATATTTAAAAAATGCTTCAACAGAAGTGTGCCTTTACATGAATTCACAAATGTTATTTGTTTAATAAATTTTGTAGATTATCAATCAGCTTAGTCATAACACTCGAGATGACCCAGCACTTATTCTCACCTTTTACTGAATGCCTAGATCGTCCCCTTTCGTAACCTGGCATCGTAGTTGATTGACTTGAAACACTAGAAGTCGTATATAATAACCCATACCATATGTATAACGGATATGGGGAGTTTCAATGTACACCAACCTCAGAATTGATCAGAACAATTATTCCATTAGGTTATCACATTGTCCTGAATACTTTTGATCCATAATCTTCGTACGCTGTAAAATGTTTTGGTCATAAACATTCAGCACAAATTTTTATATAATTTTTAGATCGACCCTCGAATTATATCTCAACCAAGGACTTATAATTAGTTTAGGAGAATTTCGTACATCTCTAGTGAATAGTTTAGACGTCGAGGCGCACGAGTCCTCATTGCAGAAAAGACGTGATAAACTGGTCCTGCAGTTGACCCAACTTGGGTACAAATTTCTTCGAATCCATTTTGTAACAGCAATGAAATAAAGTATGTGACACTTCTTGTCACAATGACACCTGTGTCAACTGCTAATATTATTCCGTTCCGGGTTGGTGGGTGGGGGTGGGGGGTGTATGTTACCCATTACTTGGACTTCACATTTTGTAAATAAAAGATAACACCCTGTTAGACAGTGTAGTTCTAATCTACATGCGTTTCACTATACATACTTTCATTATACAATACAACAGAGGTGATGAGGCAATTTCCATACTTTAAACCATAGTCACTTCACAACAATAAAGAAAACAATGAAATATGTCATGCTGTTCGACAAGAGCCGAACCCAACCATTCCATCTCTATCGTCTTCGGAGTGGAGTTATTTATCTTTTACCACACATACCCAATGAATTTGAATGCGTCATACAATTTCTGACTAATTATTTGGAGTAGTTCACACTTGTCAATGGTGCAGGATGCGGTGGGGCGTCAGGTGACAACGTATAGTCCTTTGGATAGGACGAAAAACCGAGATCACGTGTACACATTGGAGTGCACAGAAAAGAACCCTTGTTAGTTGGAGTTCGATATAAGAGTAAGCCGTAGGACCACTGTCCGAGCAAAATGTCTCTCATAGCACATTGTATGGCGTACGTCCGTCTTCATTAGCCTAGTCGGATGATAACAATAAGGTGTTAAAGATGCATTAGGTAAGATTTAAAAAGGAGCTGACAGTCCTCGCTAAAATCTAGAAAATAAAAATGGAATAGTTTGAAAATTTCAGTCAAATTACTTCATTCTGAGCGACTTTAGGGCTGTTTGGAGAATAGCGGGGTCTCGATGGTCATTGCTACCGTTGTTATGATTATTAACTTTTTAATGAAACCATGTTTAAATCCGTTGAAAACCTCGAGCGTTCGATGGCATCGAGAGTTGATTATGGTCTTGGCAAGTTAATAAATGTCTAATTAATGATTTATATAACATTATGGTCTAAGGAAAGGCCGATAATAGGCATATTTAGCTCTTGTATAATGCATCTCTAAACTTCATTTCATTTCATTCACATTTTCTGCCCCCCAGGTGAACTGCGTAAATTGGTTTCTGCGGTTAGTTTATTTCAATATTATTGGATTAATATATTTCTTAGAATTTGTTTTGACTTTATAATGGATTCGTGCTAAATAGAGGGACAGGCTTATGACGAGCACAAAAAAATATGACATTGTAATATAGACCTGTAACCTAGATGGTCGAACCTAGACGAACGAGGTACCAAGATCTGACCATATAGGCATCTACATACTAGCCTGGGATGAAAGAGTACATCTCAATGAGTACGAAATTGCCCATAACAGACGATTAAGGCCCTTGAACGACACAAACTGGCTCTAAATATGACCCCCGGGGCTTATAAAAGTTATATTCATACATTCGATGTACAAGTTGAAACTAATCTTCTGTTATAGGCAATTTCATACTCAGTGAGATATATTCTTTCATTTAAAATTAGTTTCAACTGTTACCTCGAATGTATGAATGAAACCTTTTTTCAAGCCCTCTCTCTCCATATTTAGGGTTTCAGTTTGGGCCATACCAGGGCCAAAATCGTCTTTTATGTGCAGTTTTGTGCTCAGCGAGATGTACTCTTTCATTTAAAATTGGTTTCAACCGGTACCTCGAGTGTATAAGTATATCCCATTTTGGGGGTTATTCTAGAGGCCACCAGGACCACACCAGGGAACTGGACTCCGATAGACGCCCATTTCGTACGTAAAAAACCCTGAAAAATCCCGAGAAAAACACAGAAAAATATTTTGTTATTAATTAAGGAAAAAATCCGAGAATCTCTAAATACCGAAAAATCATTAAATCCCGAAAAAACAACACTAATTGTGATATTGTATATTTTTTTTTTATTTAGTTCTAGGAAAGGTGCGTTGTTTAATATATTGAAGTGGTTAAACAAATAGGTGACAGCGAGAAATAGGCTAAGTAGGTATTTTGCCACCATCAATTGCTGAAAGTAGGACACTATCGTCCAGGCATCTGGTGCATAGATTGGTACAATTAAATAGAATAACGTTGACGTAAAACGGCACACATTCGAAACACTTACCCAAAACTGGTAATTACCCCGGCCTATAGGAAGAGCGAGGTTAACTTTCCCAGGGCTACATCATACCCACAGCCTCCTCGACTTAGGGGCTAGAGATACCGACATCACCCGGCGTTCCTAGGAAGTACTCTCAGCCTCTGGTTCGAGGCCGGAATAGAGACAATATGTAGTGTTTCAGCCGTTAGGTCAGAGTGCAGGGCTTGTTAAACTCAGACTGTAGATATTATGATAGCTCCTAAAGTTCTATCATAGATGCGGTAGTTTGCCGAATCGTAAGCTTTGTATTATGGATGTTGTATTCGATATATAAACTTAGTTACAACATAAACAGTATCCCAGAGTCAGTTAATTCATCATTGAAATAGTTATGCACAACGTGAAGGCTCCTGGTTAGATAGTCACATCTGTCCCCGTAGTGTCACATAATTACCGAAAAAAACCTAGGCCACACATAAAAATTTGTAGGTAATTAGTGTAAGTTTCTTTTTTTTGGGGGGGGGGGGGATGGGTATTTTGTGATTTTTCAGTATTTAGGGTTTTCGGTAATTAGTATCAAAAAGGTTTCTTCCGTATTTTTCTGCTTTTTCTCGGTATTTAGGGTTTTTCGGTGTTTTTAGTTTATTAGTTAGTATCAACATAAACAGTGTTCCTGAGTCAGTTAATTCATCATTGAAATAGTTATGCACAACGTGAAAGCTCCTGGTTAGATAGTCACATCTGTCCCCGTAGTGCCACATAATTACCGAAAAAACCCTAGGCCACACATAAAAATTTGTAGGTAATTAGTGTAGGTTTCTTTTTTTTCTGGGGGTGGGGGTGGGTATTTTGTGATTTTTCGGTATTTAGGGTTTTCGGTAATTAGTATCAAAAAGGTTTCTTCGGTATTTTTTTGCTTTTTCTCGGTATTTAGGGTTTTTCGGTGTTTTTCGTTCATTAGTTAGTATCAAAAAAGTTTTTTCGGTGTTTTTTCGGAGTTTTTCGGTATATAGTACAGTCCACATTCCACAAGCTGTGAAATTACTCTTAAGTAATTGACATGAAAAATAAAAATAATTGTTGGTTGTTTTTATTGTTCAAAATTAGTAGGCGAGGGACTGCTGTATGTACAATTATTTGAACATCAATTGCAATTAATGAATGTCGGTGAAATAAAAAAAAAACAGTCTATGTCGCCAATTCCAATTCAAAATCATTAATTTTCTTATATTTCCATTTAAACAACCTGCAAAAATAGATTCGAGCATGAATAAATAGACATATTATGTTTATACAATTTCCGTGTGAAGTTAGGTCAGAATTCGATCACGCGAACGTTCTTAAAGACCTTGATACCGCTGCACAACTCATATACGAACATAAATTAGGGAGAAACTTTTACATGTATTTACTTTCTTTGAAACTCTTGTGCATCATTTGCTATACATAGCCTATACACATTTATAATGAAGACGAAAGAAATTCGCGACTCTATGTGTAGGGAGAATTGTTCAGTAGAATCAGTAAAATATACAATATATACCAAGAGATGGTAATTGTCATACTACTGTAGTTAGCAACGCTTATAATACTTACAGGAAAAATATTATATCTATAAAAGCTAATCCAGCCATATTAAACCACACAATTCCTTTATAATATTCCACTGTAGCATTATATACAGCATTATACAGTGTATTAGATGCACTTGTACATAAAGTTTCTACCACAGAAATACTGGCAAATAATGCCCCTGAAACATAAATTGGTAAATAACATGTATATATACAATTATCAAATACCAACTAAACTTATGAATTAATTAACTTAGAGAAATGCTTATATTTGACAAACAGGCAATGGTGATAGAAAAACGTTTGCTCTTCTATAATTCCTACATTATGGAATTTATTTTAATGCGTGTTGTATATGTTTGTTTGATATTGTGATTGTATATATTGCGGTTTTTTTTTGTATTTCATGTCATACCCGATGCTTTGACTTAAAGGAATAATGAACTTAACCTATTAATTATTATATCATTGCTAGAAAAATGGGACAACATAATTTTATCACCCAATAATACATTCTACAGTACATATCGCTTGTGTGATAAATTTCATAATCTACTGCGATATCTCCTTAGGAGATATCACTTTACATGAATTTGATTGGTCAGTTAAAAAGGAACTACTTATTGTATTTTCAAAGAACAGTTCATTTTTTATTAAAAGTAACTAATTTTTTTTATTAAAAACGAATTAATGGTTGAATTGCTGTGAAAAAATGACGTATCACTACGCCGTAATGTAATCAGGTTCAGTAAAAGTGAAGTCTATAGCAAAGAATTATATTTATTTATTTGTGCACGTAAGAAAGGATTGGGTGATAAATACTCGTCTGTTTTGATTTCAAAAAATATCAACACTCGTTGTTTGTGTTGATATTTTTTGATATCGAAAAAGACTCGTAGGAGATTCTCTATATGTCTCTGTAAGGTCAGCAACACCGCTTTCACACAAGTTTTACTCACGAATCTGTCTAAAATTTAAAGGAATTTTAATATTCCAAAAGTAACATAATTTTCAGCCGATTGACTCCGACCTGGGATATATACTAATTTTGAAATGTTTTAGTCTAGATATAATCCAGCAAATGCAAATGGTGATTAACGGTTTTAACACGAACAATCACTCGGGTAGGTTTTAAATGGAGTTAGCGTGGTACTACACCAAATTAACCTGTGTTAAATATTTGCTTAACCTTTTGTTATTAATTCCCAAATCGAACTGCTAATATGTTAAAATGACTCCCGGTTGATAAATTAAATATAATAACTTGCCTTGCCGAGATGGTAATGTCATCTCAGACATAATTGCTCTAGATATCGGTATGGCTGCACCTCCAAGGGCTCCAAGAACGGGTACTAAAACATAAAAGTATGTATGCATGATTTTGTAAATGTCACAAATACCACTCAATCTGATTAAAATACAGAGCTATATTTCGTTTCGGTTTTTTTTTATACTTTCGATGGCCTCTACTAAATGAAGATCTGACCGGTTGTAGTGGAAGGTCGCGTCAGGGGTCATACGAGCGGCTTTTGACCCTATGGCGTCAGACATTTGATTAACCAATCAGTGTTGATGTTTCTAGTGGGTTACCGACAGTTCCGTGCACCTTACGCCAAAAACTCACCGTAACAGATCGTTTCATTGGCTAATCCCTCAGATCATCCATAACGCGGGTTATAGAACAACTAGTGTGGTAAAGACAAGTAAAACGAAATTTTGAACTATAAAAAACGAAACGAACTAGGATCTGTGTTTTAGTCAGATTGAAATACCAGTACACATATCCAGCAGTTTATTGACGACCCCGGATGCATCTGTGGGAGTAATCACAGACAAGGTTGGGTAATTGTACTGACATATAAATAATAATGCTCAAGGAAACTTCAAAAGAACAAAGCTACGCCCGTTTTGTTAGTATGCCAGTAAAAAAATGACTTACAGGGGATAAATTAGTGCACATCCCAAATGGAAACATATCAAAAGCTTATTAGTTAAGAGATGCCAGATGTACCAGAAATATACCAAGTCTAGTGTGCGACACCTGCCATGACTATAAAACTATCTTAGTTGTGAAGCAGCAGAAGTTTTGAAAACTAAAAAAGTAACCAATGAACTGCGTAATTATGCAGTACGCATTCGACATTTAAACATTACAGAAGGAATAAAATGATGTAAACAAAGCTTTACCTAAATACATCAACCAGCTTGTATTAATTACACCTTCAAAGACTAGACCGGCTATTGCCGAAATAGTGCTAATTATCGCGATGGTTTTATCTCGAAAATAAGGCTGTAATAATTTTACTGCTGCAGTGCTGAATAATACTAGTGCCGTCAATCTAAATGCACCATAATACCCGATTTTTACTGAATCCCAACAAAAAGGTTCACCAAGCTGATAAATAGTCTCCAGAGTAGTACGCCCCAAAGTTGTAACGACACCAAAAAAGAAGGTTCCCAACGCAATTAAGTAACATAGTTTATCATGCAGAGATCCTTCTGTAAAGTAAAATCCAAACACATTCTTGATGCTTCCTAGAACGGATTTGTCTCTCCATTGCTTATTTGTAACGGTCTCGGGCAATAAAAAGAAAATGATCACTATTTCTAAAACACTTATGATATCAAACATCACCAAAGCATAGAAGAATCCAGTAGATCTGATCAAATATCCTGTGCCAAGCTGTCCTAGACCTGCAGCTAAAGCCATACAACTTTCCATAATAGTTATGGCTATGGTCCTCGACCTTCCCGGCTTTGCTACATCTACACTGTAAGCGAAAGTTGCGACTAAAATGACAGAGTCTTTACCAGAAAGACCATCAAGTGCATATGCCAAATACATGTAATATATATTTAGTTTAAAGTGAACAATAAATGTAATGATAAGCGATTTCACCAATAGCCCAAACATTGGAATCAAAAATATGATTTTTCTTCCAACTGAATCAGAAAGTGGTCCTAAAAAGATGCTCATGAAGAAGGCTGCGGAGTTTCCAACTAATGCGAAATAAAGCGTTAAACGTGAAACCTCCTCTTGTATCCGTTGCTCAAGTTGGTCATTTTTAGCGAGTGTACTATTGCCACAGGTTCTTAATGTCCCATTATATTTTGAAAACCAAACACTTCTTCTCTTAGTTTAGCCTCAACATATTGAGTTATTACGGGAGATATTGTAATTCCAGCTACAGTATATAATACAAGCGAAATTCCTGATACCAACCATGCTCGAATGTAAGGAAAATTCGATGGCAATTTTGATCTGCTTGGCGATAATTCTTCCTCTTGATTCTCCATTTTCAGAGGCTTTAGTTGTTAGGATCAATGATGCATTGTATTAATTTAAAACCAGTAGCATGGGGCGGACATAACATATGATATAACACGAGTTGTACAATCACCTGATGAATACAAAGATAAAATCACTCGATGATGGATGCCCTAAATGAACGTTTTAATACAGTTTAAAGGACAATATTGGTGCCAATCATTATCACATATGCGATAGAGCTGGTTAAACACATTCCAAATATAATTTTAACACAGAGATCATTGCTACGATAGATGAGTAATACAGGTTCCTGAATCGGAAGTGACGAACGCCAAAGGAAAACACGAGTGATATCTCTATATAACTGACTGATGTGACGAATGATAACAAATACACGGCCGAATTTCTGCTCACTAATAATTCCTCCCAAGACCAAAAGTTGTTGTGTGAGACTGTGAGAGGATATCTGACAATTCATAATTAGAATTGACTGCCACTAGATAAGAGAACACGAAAGAAAAACAGAAAAAGGACGTGCATTACCATGTTTTTATAAATTATAGAATGAATATAAACAAGGGAATGTACGGACTATTTCTATTTTTCTCGTGTTCTCTTATCTAATGATATTCAATTACTTTATTGAATTGTCAGGTATCCTCTTACAGTCCCATATAACAACTTTTGGTCTTCGAAAGAATTATTAGCAGAAATTCGGCCGTGTATCTGTTATCACTCGTCACATCAGTCAGTTATATAGAGGGATCATTCGTGCTTTCCTTTGGCGTTCGTCACTTCCGATTCAGGAAACCTGTATTACTCAGCGATCGTAGCAATGATCTATGTGTTAAAATTATATTTGGAATGTGTTTAACCCTCTATCACATATGTGATAATGACTGGCACCAATATTGTCCTTTAACCATTCATAATATTTGTAAATCACTTAGGCTTATAGCCAAAAGCGATAACATGCATGTGTTTAACGATATGACCAAAAAATATTTATACAATCGTTATCCACCATAACTATGAGATAAATATTACCCTAGTCGAGGGGTGTTATGTGAAGTAACCCAAAGCCAGAGGCCGAGGGTATTAGGGTAATATATACTGAGCGCCATGGAAAACGCATCACTTTTTTTCCCAAATATTTTATTACTAGGTGGTTTTGTATGTAGAATATTATGCAATACTATTGACTATTGTTTCACACAAAGCTCCCAAACGCAATAAATATCGGCCCGTGTGCACAAAAAAAAATTGCACGAGATGCACATGAAAAACCCACTATTCACGTGCAGCATTGTGTGTGAGCCCTTTAAAAGCATGTTTTCAACTTAATGTGCAGTACATGAACTGTGAAACGTCAATCTGTCGTAATTTTTTGTTGGACGTTTGAAGGAATCGAGCTAGAGATGCCGAGACTTACTGAAAATCAACGGAATAAAGCCATGGGAATGTCCAGGGCTGGGATGTCTACACGTGCTATTGCCAGACACTTCAATTGTCATCAGTCCACTATTGTAAGGTTGGTGGAACGTGTTCGAGTTACTGGATCAACACGTGACCGTCAACGTCCTGGTCCACAACGCGTTAAAACCCAGGCTCAAGACCGCTACATCGGGTCACTCATCTGCGTGACAGATTCCGCCCAGCGACTCGAACAGGTACAGCAGTCGTCGGAAGATAAGGACCAGTAAGTGCCAACACCGTAAGACGTCGTCTAAGAGAAGTAGGACTCCGTGCACGACGACCTTATGTTGGAGCTATCCTCAGGGATCATCACCGTCAGCGGGGTTTGTTATGGGCTCAAGGACACCAGACATGGAGAAGAGTAGACTGGCAAAGTGTGCTCTTCAGTGATGAGAGTCGCTTTCATCTTTATCACGCAGACTGCTGCGTCTTCGAAACGAATCGATGGGGTGGGAGAAGTGTAATGGTGTGGGGAGGCTTCACATTTCATCACCGAACCGCCCTACACATTTGCAGGGGGCGCGTTAATGCTGTAGCCTACCGTGATGATGTCTTGCAACCAATTGTTGTTCCGATGTTTCGAGCGCACCCACAAGTTCAGTACTTCCAACAGGATAATGCACGTCCGCATACCGCCCGTTTTAGTATGGACTACCTGGCTGCTAACAACATCAATGTCTTGGACTGGCCAGCCATGTCTCCGGACATGGCACCGATAGAACATGTCTGGGATGAGATTGGACGCCGTCTGTATCGGAGACCACAGATGCACACCATTGCTGCTTTAGAAGCTGCTCTTGTCCAAGAATGGAACAATTTGTCCCAGGCCTTCTTTCAAACATTGGTAAATTCCATGCGACGTCGCTGCACAGCGTGCGTAAGAGCCCGTGGAGGACACACGCGCTACTGACATCTGTGTCGTACTTTTGGTTTTGACCCCTCTGACTTTGTACCGTTGATTACAGATTAAACATCCATAAGTGTACAAATGTGTTGTTATTGATGTGTTCCCATTTGAATATTGTTCACAATAAGAAGCAAAATAAATAAGATATGTTTACAGGATCATTTTGTTATACGAAAAACTAAGTGATGCGTTTTCCATGGCGCTCAGTATATATAGGAAGTGACGGTCCTATGGGGCCAGTATCGAAGGAAACCGAGATCTTTCGGTTATATATAAACGTTGTCAGTTTCATCAAAATCAGTTTAGTAAATATATGATTTATTTACATCAGGTATATAACACATCTACATAATTACAACAGCAATACAGGTACTTAAACTAATATACCGGTACTAGACTACGACAGTAACACATATAACTATGTTAAATCCACCATTCTGCCCCTCTGCCAAGGCAGCGGCTGAACTCGGAAGAGCCCATACGCCGGTCTCTCCGTCTTTAGTTGTCTTTAGTTCTCTTCAGTTATATACCCTCTGATCATAGTCATACATGCAATTGTCTCTTTTATCTCGTCATGGCATGCTTACCAGTGCATGTTCCTTTGAGGTCATGTGGAGCTTGTACACAGATCATATGTATATAGTTTGTAAATGACATGTGGGATTAATTACATGTTTAATTAGATCATAGCCAGTCGCGGCTTAACAGAAGTTTATACAGAGTTGAAAAGTCAATATCATATATTATCAAAAATCAGCTGACGTCATAAAGTTCTAAGCACCTAAATGACCGTTCAATTTGATGAAAGTTATAGAGTACACGTGTACTTTGTTACACAACCTTGGTATACGCATATATTTGTCAAGTTCAGTATCACAGGAAACCACCCTCAACTGTGTTTGCATGGCAAGGGATTCATTGCTGAGTAATTTTATTAGCCGGAAATCCCCCAGAAAGCGTCCCTGGTGATCTAGACCACCTTGAGCTTCAGGGCCCACGCCTAAAGTCCTAGTATGGTAGTCCCCCAATCAAGAATTGCTTCTGCCGGCCCTGTGAACGGCGATCCTCAATCCAAGTTTGCATAGTAAAAATGATGACTGCTACAATATAAATACGGAATACAAAACGAAAAAAATTAAAAATTGGATTTACTTTAGATGTACAAGTTGAAACTAATTTTGAAACTAATCTTTTTTTATAGGCAATTTCGTACTCAGTGAGATACATGTATATATTCTTTCATTTAAAATTAGTTTCAACTGTTACCTCGAATGTATGAATAAAACCTTTTTTCAAGCCCTCTCTCTCCATATTTATGGTGTCAGTTTGGGCCATCCCAGAGCCAAAATCGTCTGTTATGTGCAGTTTTGTGCTCAGCGAGATGTACTCTTTTATTTAAAATTGGTTTCGACCGGTACCCCGAGTGTATAAGTATAACCCATTTTAGGGGTTACTCTAGAGGCCACCAGGACCACACCAGGGAACTGGACTCCGGCAGACGCCCACTTCTGTACGATAAAAAACCCTGAAAAATCCCGAGAAAAACACAGAAAAATATTTTTATATTACTTAAGGAAAAAATCCGAGAATTCCTAAATACCGAAAAATCACTAAATCCCGAAAAAACAACACTAATTGTGATATTATAGGGTTTCTTTAATTCTTGGAAGGTGTGTTGTTTAATATATTGAAGTGGTTAAACAAATGGGTGACAGCGAGAAATAGGCCAAGTAGGTATTTTGCCACCAGCAATTGCTGAAAGTAGGACACTATCGTCCAGGCATCTGGTGCACAGATTGGTACAATTAAATAGAATAACGTTGACGTAAAACGACACACATACGAAACACTTACCCAAAAATGGTAATTATCCCGGCCTAATAACAGACGCATCTATACTTTCTATATAGGAAAAGCAAGGTTAACTTTCCCAGGGCTAAATAATACCCACAGCCGCCTCGGCTAGAGATACCGACATCACCCGGCGTTCGAGGCCGGAATAGAGACAATATGTAGTGTTTCAGCCGTTAGGTCAGAGTGCTGGGCTTGTTAAACTGAGACTGTAGATACTATAATAGCTCCTAAAGTTCTATCATAGATGCGGTAGTTTGCTGAATTGTAAACTTTGTATTATGGATGTTGTATTCGATATATAAACTTAGTTACAACATAAACAGTGTTCCAGAGTCAGTTAATTTATCATTGAAATAGTTATGCACAACGTGAAGGCTCCTGATTAGATAGTCACATCTGTCCCCGTGCCACACATACAAATTTGTAGGAAATTAGTGTAAGTTCTTTTTTTTGGGGGGGGGGGGTATTTTGGGTTTTCGGTATTTTTCTGCTTTTTCTCGGTATTTAGGGGTTTTCGATGTTTTTAGTTTATTAGTTAGTATCAACATACACAGTGTTCCTGAGTCAGTTAATTCATCATTGAAATAGTTATGCACAACGTGAAGGTTCCTGGTTAGATAGTCACATCTGTCCCCGTAGTGCCACATAATTACCGAAAAAAAAAACCTAGGCCACACATAAAAATTTGTAGGTAATTAGTGTAGGTTTCTTTTTTTTCTGGGGGTGGGGGTGGGGGTATTTTGTGATTTTTCAGTATTTAGTGATTTCGGTAATTAGTATCAAAAAGGTTTCTTCGGTATTTTTTTGCTTTTTCTCGGTATTTATGGTTTTTCGTTTATTAGTTAGTATCAAAATAGTTTTTTCGGTGTTTTTTCGGAGTTTTTCAGTATATGGTACAGTCCATAAGCTGTGAAATTACTTTTAAGTAATTGACATGAAAAATAAAAATAATTGTTGGTTGTTTTTATTGTTCAAAATTAGTAGGCGAGGGACTGCTGTATGTACAATTATTTGAACATCAATCGAAATTAATGAATGTCGGTGAAATAAACAAAAAAAAAACATTCTATGTCGCCAATTCAAATTCAAAATCATTAATTTTCTTATATTTCCACTTAAACAACCTGCAATAAATAGACATATGTGTATACAATTTCAGTGTGAAGTTAGGTCAGAATTTGATCACGCGAACGTTCTTAAAGACCGTGATGCCGTTACACAACTCATATACGAACAGGGGGGGGGGGGATGGCCGAATGGTTAGCACGTGCGCGCTGTATCATAAAGCCTGTCATTTAGTCAACTGGCGGTTGTACGTGACAAGGAATAGGGTCGCCTGCCCAATCTCGTGGGTTTTCTCCGGGTCCTCCGGTTTCCTCCCACTGCTAAAGACCCCTACGCGCAAGCGAATTATTGAAATAAAATTAAACCTTATGTTAGTCCCGAAATGACCCAGTTTGTGTCGAGTGGACGTTAAACCCCATTTCTCTCTCTTTCTCTCTCATATACGAACATAAATTAGTGAGAAACTTTTACATGTATTTACTTTCTTTGAAACCCTTATGCAACATTTGCTATACACATTTATAAGGGAGACGAAAGAAATTCGCGACTCTATGTGTAGGGAGGATTGTTCAGTAGAATCAGTAAAATATACAATATATACTTATATATCAAGAGATGGTAATTGTCATACTCCAGCAGTTACCAACGCTTATAATACTTACAGGAAAAATATTATATCTATAAAAGCTAATCCAGCCATATTAAACCACACAATTCCTTTATAATATTCCACTGTAGCATTATATACAGCATTATACAGTGTATTAGATGCACTCGTGCATAAAGTTTCTACTACAGAAATACTGGCAAATAATGCTCCTGAAACATAAATTGGTCCATAACATGTATATATACAATTATTAAATACCATCTAAACTTATGAATTAATTAACTTAGGGGAATGCTTATATTTGACAAACAAGCAATGATCATAGAAAAACGTTTGCTCTTCTATAATTCCTACATTACATAAATATGGAATTTATTTTAATGCGTCTTGTATATGTTTGTTTGATATTGTGATTGTATATATTGCGTTTTTTTATTGTATTTCATGTCATACCCCTTGCTTTGACTTAAAGGAATAATGAACTTAACCTAATAATTATTATATGATTACTAGAAAAATGGGACAACATAATATCTCTGTAAGGTCAGCAACACCGCGGTTTCACACAAGTTTTACTCACAAATCTGTCTAAAATTTAAAGGAATTTTAATATTCCAAAAGTAACATGATTTTAAGCCGATTAAATCCGACCTGGAATATTATCTCTAATTTTGAAATGTTTTAGTCTAGATATACTTCACCAAATGCAAATAGAATTTAACGGTTTTAACACGAACAATCACTTGGGTAGGTTTTAAATGGAGTTAGCGTGGTACTACACTAAATTAACCTGTGTTAAATATTTGCTTAACCTTTTGTTATTATTTCCAAATCGAACTGCTAATATTTAAAAATGACTTCCGGTTGATAAATTGAATATAATAACTTGCCTTGCCGAGATGGTAATGTCATCTCAGACATAATTGCTCTAGATATCGGTATGGCTGCACCTCCAAGGGCTCCAAGAACGGGTACTAAAACATAAAAGTATGTATACATGATTTTGTAAATGTCACAAATACCACTCAATCTGATTAAAATACAGAGCTATATTTCGTTTCGGTTTTTTTTTATACTTTCGATGGCCTCTACTACATGAAGGTCTGACCGGTTGTAGTGGAAGGTCGCGTCAGAGGTCATACAAGCGGCTTTTGACCCTATGGCGTCAGACATTTGATTAACCAATCAGCGTTGATGTTTCTAGTGGGTTACCGACAGTTCCGTGCACCTTACGCCAAAAACTCACCGTAACAGATCGTTTCATTGGCTAATCCCTCAGATCATCCATAACGCGGGTTATAGAACAACTAGTGTGGTAAAGACAAGTAAAACGAAATTTTGAACTATAAAAAACGAAACGAACTAGGATCTGTGTTTTAGTCAGATTGAAATACCAGTACACATATCCAGCAGTTTATTGACGACCCCGGATGCATCTGTGGGAGTAATCACACACAAGGTTGGGTAATTGTACTGACATACATATAATAATGCTCAAGGAAACTTCAAAAGAACAAAGCTACGCCCGTTTTGTTAGTATGCTAGTAAAAAAATGACTTACAGGGGATAAATTAGTGCACATCCCAAATGGAAACATATTAAAAGCTTATTAGTTAAGAGATGCCAAATGTACCAGAAATATACCAAGTCTAGTGTGCGACACCTGCCATGACCATAAAACTATCTTAGTTGTGAAGCAGAAGTTTTGAAAACTAAAAAAGTAACCAATGAACTGCGTAATTATGCAGTACGCATTCAACATTTAAACATTACTGAAGGAATAAAATGATGTAAATAAAGCTTTACCTAAATACATCAACCAGCTTGTATTAATTACACCTTCAAAGACTAGACCGGCTATTGCCGAAATAGTGCTAATTATCGCGATGGTTTCATCTCGAAAATAAGGCTGTAATAATTTTACTGCTGCAGTGCTGAATAATACTAGTGCCGTCAATCTAAATGCACCATAATACCCGATTTTTACTGAATCCCAACAAAAAGGTTCACCAAGCTGATAAATAGTCTCCAGAGTAGTACGCCCCAAAGTTGTAACGACACCAAAAAAGAAGGTTCCCAAAGCAATTAAGTAACATAGTTTATCATGCAGAGTTCCTTCTGTAAAGTAAAATCCAAACACTTTCTTGATGCTTCCTAGAACGGATTTGTCTCTCCATTGCTTATTTGTAACGGTCTCGGGCAATAAAAAGAAAATGATCACTATTTCTAAAGCACTTATGATATCAAACATCACCAAAGTATAGAAAAATCCAGTAGATCTGATCAAATATCCTGTGCCAAGCTGTCCTAGACCTGCAGCTAAAGCCATACAACTTTCCATAATAGTTATGGCTATGGTCCTCGACCTTCCCGGCTTTGCTACATCTACACTGTAAGCGAAAGTTGCGACTAAAATGACAAAGTTTTTACCAGAAAGACCATCAAGTCCATATGCCAAATACATGTAATATATATTTAGCTTAAAGTAAACAATAAATGTAATGATAAGCGATTTCACCAATAGCCCAAACATTGGAATCAAAAATATGATTTTTCTTCCAAGTGAATCAGAAAGTGGTCCTAAAAAGATGCTCATGAAGAAGGCTGCGGAGTTTCCAACTAATGCGAAATAAAGCGTTAAACTTGAAACCTCCTCTTGTATCCGTTGCTCAAGTTGGTTATTTTTAGTGAGTGTACTATTACCACAGGTTCTTAATGTCCCATTATATTTTGATGAACCAAACACTTCTTCTCTTAGTTTAGCCTCAACATATTGAGTTATTACGGGAGATATTGTAATTCCAGCTACAGTATATAATACAAGTGAAATTCCTGATACCAACCATGCTCGAATGTAAGGAAAATTCGATGGCAATTTTGAACTGCTTGGCGATAATTCTTCCTCTTGATTCTCCATTTTCAGAAGCTTTAGTTGTTAGGATCAATGATGCATTGTATTAATTTAAAACCAGTAGCATGGGGCGGACATAACATATGATATAACACGAGTTGTACAATCACCTGATGAATACAAAGATAAAATCACCCGATGATGGATGCCCTAAATGAACGTTTTAATACAGTTTAACCATTCATAATATTTGTAAATCACTTAGGCTTATAGCCAAAAGCGATAACATACATGTGTTTAACGATATGACCAAAAGATATTTATACAATCAGTATCCACCATAACTCAGTGAAAAAACGTAAAAAATTCCGGAAACAAAAATTACCAGGAAAATTTTATCCGTATTTGTTTTTCCTGTAATTTACAGAAATTCCTTCAATTAACATAAATTCCATTTTCAAATACAGAAAAACAAAATCCTGGTAATTTTTGTTTCCTGGGCATGAAAGTGATCAAAATTTCATTGAATTAACCATTGACTATATACGCGTGTGTGAAATAGCTTTATTTAACGTCGGCTTCCACGGAAGTGATATCACAGACAATCTTTATACGCAACCTCTTTCCGCTAATATATAAGTACGGAATATCCTGATCGAGAGACGAGCACAAGGTATCACAAACCACTACTCCTCAGTGATTGGAGCTTGCAGCTCTATCCATTTGCAGGTATGTAAACTCTGCTATAGAGACAAACCGGCTTACACTGGCCAATCGGTTATATACTATTCAAAAAAGTAGGGGATATTTGATTTTGGGGGCATAATACTAAAATATGCAAATGACTACGAAAAAAGTCACTATAGAACCTAACAGAAGAAACATTTCCAGTTACATGTGACGCCCAAACGCACCAATAGCTACCGCATGGAATGCAGGTGATGCTTGGGATCATCATGGGGGTCCAACCCAAGATTTGCACGACTCTGACTTTGAATGTTAGTCATTGTGGCATTGAATTCCAGGGTGGAAACATCAGTTTAATTGTTTTAGTGACCAGAAAACAAATTTTGATATGCGTCGGCTTACCCAAAATGAAAGGTTACGTGCCCTTGGCATGCTACAGATCGGCACAACACAGGCGGTTGTGGCGCGGACGATGAATGTTTCTCAGTCTGTCATAAGCAGGCTATGGTCCAGATACCGTGATACACAATCTGTACAGGACAGACCACGCTCAGGTCGACCAAGGGCGACAACTCAAGCCCAGGATCGATTTATCCGTACCTTGGCCTTGAGAAATCGTGTCATCACAGCAAATCAGATCAGCGCTCGTCTTCAAACAGACACTGGTGTGAGAGTGAGTGGCCAGACGATTCGGAATCGACTGCAAAGGGGTCACCTTCGCGCCCGACGTCCTCGCGTGATCCCTTGTTTGAGAGATCATCACATTCAGGCAAGACGTCGTTGGTGTAGGGATCGTCAACACTGGGATAATCGACGCTGGAGCAATGTGATGTTTTCAGATGAGTCAAGATTCACTGTTGATTTTTTGGACAGACGTAGGAGATGTGGCGTCGTCGAAACGAGCGCTTCCAAGACGTTAACGTCATCAGACATGATCGATTTGGGGGTGGTTCTGTTATGGTGTGGGGAGGCATCACTGTTGCTGGAAGAACGGCTTTACATGTTGTTGCAGGGCGTGTTACAGGCCAGTACTACCGGGACAACATCTTGGCAGTCCATGTTGTGCCGTTCGCACGACGTCATGGCCGCCGTTTCATCTTCCAGGATGACAACGCAAGTTGTCACAGGGCCAGGATCGTTACAGGTTACCTCCAACAACAGAACATCACCTTGGCCAGCACTGAGTCCCGACCTCTCCCTCATCGAGCATGTCTGGGACATGCTTGGACAGAGGTTACGTCAACGTCAACAACGTCCTGCCAATGTCCAAGAACTTGCTGCTGCGTTGCAACAGGAATGAGACAATCTGGACCAAAATGACCTTAGACGTCTCATTAGGAGTATGCCACGTCGGATCAATGCTTGTTTGGCAAACAGAGGAGGATTTACCCGTTACTGACTTGGTTGTGATGCTGTGGTAACTTTGCTGTTTGACCCCGGGTATCATTTTACCCTTATAATGGTCGGTCTGTGCCTTACTTAGTCTAACGATCATTTGGAATAAATCGATGAATGTGAACTTCATTTCATTTTGTCATTTGTTTCTTCGTCAGTTTCATAAGGTGACTTTAATAACACTTAAAAATCAAATATCCCCTACTTTTTTTGAATAGTATATACTATCCGGATTTAAGCGTGCGTGATACCAGATAATACAACCTAAACACACACAGCGATAAAAGATAAAACACATTTTTATACATTTATAAAAAAACACACAATCTGATTAACATATGATGAATAACAATTATACTTTATAGATCTTATGAATAATGGAAATTAGATATACAAAAATATACCAAAATGTACAAAATAATGATTCTTCATATTATGGTTAAAAAATTGAAATGAATACTATAACATGATAATTATAAGGAATGATTATATATGTATACGATTACTTATCGTTGCATTTGCAAACAGAAATAGTCCGTAAATTCCTGATCATTCCAACCTTTATCCCGTAAAATAACAGAATTAAGTCCATTATAGAATGGAATAAAACATGTTATACCTAAATTTCACGGAAATTCCTGGTCATTCCACCGTTTCTTCCGTAAAATAAGTCCATTATAGAAGGCAATAAAACAGTTTATCCCTAAATTTTACGGTAATTCCTTGTTTAATACTGAATATTCCATAGAAATACATGTACATAAAACACGTAATTTGAAGAAATAATTCACACTTTTAACACAATTCCTCCAAAAAAAGCCACCGATTAACAGGCCTAAAAGCAACTTTCTAGACAATCGGATGACCGTGATTTTAAACAATTTAAACAACTATGAGATTTAAAATTCTAAAGATAAAATGGATTTTCGAGACTTGGTCTAGGTTGTCATAACTTGAGACTTCAAACAGTCATAACTTCGTCCAGAATAAAGTAATTTGAATGAAATTTTCAATATATTGATTTTTCATTATCTATTTTTGAACTATTATGCTAGGTCATTATCTAAATCTTCGCAGTTTCCGTAGTTGTCGTCATTTATTGTAAGCTCTGCTTCATAACATGGGTAGATATTACCTTTGTTTGATGTCCATATAAATGTCCTGCAATACAACACGTCAGATACATTAATTGAATTTAGTAAGGCCAATAAATCGGGCTTAAATTCATTATTTCTATTGGAATTTCAAAAATAGGTTCTTAGTAATTCAAACTCCTCTGTTTGTGAATGTTGCCTCTGGTGACTATTTTTGACAGAAATGAAATGAAATGAAATAGGGTTTAACTTTCTACTGTTCTGCTCCTATACTGGGCTAATGAAGACGGGCATACGCCATAGTGTGCTATGAGGGAAATTTTGCCCGGACAGCGGCACTACGGCCTACTCTTATATCAAATTCCAACTGTCAAGGGGTCTTTTACGTGCACGCCAATGTGTACACGGGACCTCGGCTTTTCGTCCCATCCGAACGACTAGACAGCTGTTCTTGTCAGGCCCTCTTTCCTGCATCACTGACAACCACGCCGAAAAATCTGGATGAACTTTCTCGGCCAATGCAGGGATCGAACAACCGACCTCCGGGCTAGCGCGCCAGCGTCTTACCCACTTAGCCACCGTGAACCCCTATTTTTGACAGACATATAAGGATTTATTGTTGTGGACTTTCTTATCCTTAATATGTGCAGCGAATTTGGGGTTCATTTCACATCTCCGAAACAATAGCCCTTCATAAATTTGAATGACTTATATATTAAAGATGAAGAAACAAAATTAATCTGGACTAACATCATGCTTGCTCCACTAACAGTACATGTACTTGACAGCCGAGAAACAATAATTATATGTGTATGCGGGGGAGGGGGGTCCCTTCCAGTGCTGCCGGGTAATATAATATGAGCTGTGTGGAACATGCTAGAGTCGATTTGTATATCTGGCCCACGATATATGTTGGACACTGGTTAAGCATTAAGATTATGATTATAATGTTAAATGTTTTGCCGTATGCGAGGGGGCGCAAAAACTCAAAACCATGACGCAAAGCCGAGAATCAAGCTGCTGTTGTTAAATGGTTGATGTAGATGTCATCGTGTATAATAACTATTTACTTACAATAAGAACACAGCAGTTACCAAAGCTAGTCCAGCCATCACAAACCATACAATTCCTCTATAGTACTCAACAGTTGCATTATATACAGAATTATAAAGTGTATAAGAAGCACTATTACCTATAGCCTCTACTATAGCTATACTAGCAAATAATGCTCCTGAAAAACACACATAAAACGTAATAATAATTTTGTCTTATGTTGCTAAAGGCATGAACACGTGTTCTTTTTGATGGATTCATTTCAGTCAAATTTGCGAGGATTTTTCCATAGAAATGATTTTAAATCTTAAATGATAGTCACTTTGAATACAAGTGATAAACATTTTGACCATAAATAACATGTAAATTTCTACCACGCGCTGAATAATAACAACGCTAGAAAGTATACCCCATGGTTGTCCAATGATTATAGACAGATGACCAGTCCAGAGGCTCGTATCCAACCACTTCTCTGACAACTAGGCTTTGGTATCAATTTTGTTTGAATACCTATCACAGAGCGTAAAACGTCATTTATATTTTTAGTATTACCTTGCTGAGATGGTAATGTCATTTTAGACATGGTTGCCCTGGTTATTGGTATAACAGCGGTTGCAAATAATGACGCAACAGGAACTGAAATATAGATATCATCAAATTATTAATATATGCACAATGCGAAATAATAATTGTGTTATGTCTGTGTCATGGGCTTCCTTTTTGATTTTTGAGATCTAATTGATATGCCAATAATTCCAAGTCATTGTTATAGTTCAATATATAGCGGTCAGTTTTATAACGTCTAGCGGACGCGGGGAATTAAATGGAGTACTTTTTTTCCCTTTTCTATACCAATCGGGCTTATAAAGAGAATCAATCGATCTTTAACATGTTGTCAATGCTTTACGTGGTCTTTGGCTTTTCGTCTCACCCGAAAGACTAGACACTTTACTTGTCACACATGGCTGTCATCTGGAAACCAGATTGGAATATCCCGAGTAAATTTCTCAATCAACACCAGGATCGAACCTGGTCCTACCCGGGCCTCAAAAAGCCAATTTGGGTTGAATGCAAGCTATCAAAATAATATGTTGTCTTAGGGCCGATTCCTCCCCGTATGCCCCTGCCAAAAACATTTGCCGCCTACAGGCAAAGATTTTTATTGCTTTAACCAATCTCTTGCGATAAGAACAAAAAACATATCCATCGTGTGTTAGTACCGGCAAAAAAGATTGACGATAACGTTTGATCGAGATGACTTATCCTGTTATATATTATATCCATTTCGCAAAAACGGTATTGCCACAACGACTGCCTGATTCGGTTGTAATTTATGAGGTTTTTTTTAAAACACTATAATTGCCGCGTGTGCGAGCGGACTAACTTCATATTCCTCGGCAAGCATTTGTTAATATTTCAAATTCTGCTGTACCTCTTGCCAAGTCACAACTACGAGATTGAAACCAGTAGTACCAGCAACTTCCAGAAGAAACCAATTTAAAACATGCTACTTTACCTAAATACATCATTAAACTGGTGTCTGCAAATCCTTCTAACAAGAAACCGGAAACAGATGCTAAACAACTAATTATACCGATCACCTCCTCCCTCACAAAATATTGTAAAATCTTAAGCGCTATGATAGAAAAAATAAATGCGGCTGTCAATCTTATTGAACCGTAATATCCAATTTTGATGGAGTCCCAGCAAAAGGGTTCCCCAAGCTGATATATAGTTTCTAATGTAGATCGTCCCAAAATTGTAACGACACCGAAAAAAAATACACCCAATGCAATCAGGTAAGCGCATCTTTTAATAATGCTTGCTCCCGAAAAGTAAAATCCAAATACTTTCTTTATATTTTTCAGGGGTGATATGCTTGGTTTCGTTTTTACGGTAACAGTTTCAGGAAGTAAAAAGAACACAATCACCAAATTCAAACCACTAAGACTGACAAACATAACAGCAGGATAAAGAAATCCAACAAATTTGATAAGAAATCCGGTCGCGAGTTGTCCTGCTGATGACGCTACAGCTACGCACCCTTCTAAGATTGTTATGGCAATAGTTCTTGAATTTCCAGGAACTGTCACATCCGCACTATAAGAAAACATTGCTACAAAGATAGCGAAATACGATCCACTCAAACCATCGATTCCGTACGCCAAGTAAAAATAATTCAAATTTAGGTTATAGTAAACGATGAACGTAATGATTAAATCTTTAGCTAAGATGCCCAAGGCAGGAATAAGAAATATAGTCTTTCTACCTACTGCATCAGAGAGTGGTCCTATATAGATATTAGTTAAGACAGCAACAGACCCTCCAACAAGAGAATAATAAAGAGTTAGGCTTGAAGCTACTTTTTGTATTTCCTGCTCATGGCTGTCATCTTTTCCACACGAACTTGTAGTATTATCAATCGTCCTATTATCAATTCTATGGACCACGTATTGAGATATTACGGGTAATATTGCAAAGGCTGCCATTACATAAAAAACGACCAATGTCCCCGAAACAAGCCATGCTCGGACATAAGGAAAATCCACTGATAAACTGTTTTGTGATCTTCTTTTTAGCAATGGCGTCGCCGAATCTTCTTCGGGTTTCATTTTTTTAGTATCTTAGTTGTCAGTCCATGTCTCTTCAGCTATAACTAGCACCGAATCTATGCTGGTTTCATAGTTTTAGTATCTTAATTATCAGTAAACGCATTTCACTATATGGAGCGGTGAACACACAAGTTGAATAAATGTGATAAACTATCACATATCACCTGATTGTTTCTGTTTTAATGAAGCGGTTAAGAACATAAGACCGGTTACGCTAAAAATAGCAACGTCATTATCTAAATGCTTACTCTTATCTGATACATAACGTTATTGTTACTTAAAGTGACATTTAATTTTTTAAAACTACATTAATAAAGCCTTAAAAGAATTTTCATTATTAATCCCATAATACACCACTATTGTCATTAGACAAACTGGCAAATAATATGATTTTCAAATTGAAACATTGTCGTTGAGAGAGGTTTGCCAATGCATGATGGAGCGGTGTTATTTTTAGAACAATATGACGTTTGCCGGTTTTCTCGGTAAACTGTTTGACCACAGACCTTGACAATCGAGACAAACTTCGTATTTGCGACTGCCATTATGTAGACTGAGTTTAGTCAAAAGAAATTATACAATTTCTAAGTACGAATGTACCGTAGGCGAGTAGAGTGTGCATGTTTTTTAAATGCTAGAATGACGCCTATGATTATATAATAGTGATTTGACTATCTATCAAACAATAGATATAGAAAAATTTATGTTTTCAATTTCTTAGAAAATGTGCAACTAAAATTTTAACAAATGGCGGCTTGAATCGTCTGAAACCCGAACGCCAATTAAAGGACAATATTGGTGCCAGTCATTATCACATATGTATTAGAGCTGGTTAAATACATTCTGTGAGGGTCCGTCGTTACACGTTTCTTTCACGGCGTTTATGACGATACCGTTCGTACGCCAGACACTGTGTATAGTTAGCGGGTCACTTCAGGGGTCAAAGGTCAGTATGATAATACTGAATTGCAGCCTTAAAATAACTTGAACAAAACAACAGAGTTCTGTGTTGATTGAACGAATTAACGGTTTAATAATAAATCAGATTAATGTTAATGATATAAGTTAAAAAAGACAAAAGTTACATTCACACTTCACATATTCTGTTTTGACAGTTCTCAGTTCATGATATCACTTCACAGCTGACTCGGCAATTGAGTCGAATTTCACATAGAGTTCACAAGAATAAACAACGTTCACTGTTCACAATAGGTAGATAAAAAGTTCACTAACACATTACACTAAATTACATACAGTGTCTCGGTAAAAAACCGATATCACGACCGCCGTTTGAGAAGACGGCCTCACACGTATTGACATTCACATTCACGCCATTTTCACTGTGTTTCTAAGCACGCTTTTTCTATACCATAATAATTTAAAGTAGACACAATCACACCAGTTGCATAAATACTTCAATGCTACTAAAGAAGACTCTTTTATCCAGAAAAACTATGGTGGACCGTTTTGAACATTACACACCGGCCCCTATCGAAATGTAAATGAGATAATAACGCAATATGTTCAAAAACCCAAACTAAATATACAATATTCTTAACTTCAGAATTCAATAGACTGTTACACAAATAATCAGTGTCTTATAAAACTAAAATAGCTTTCATACCTCATCATATCCATACAGAATACAAACATTCACACCTTATTACAATGATGCAATAGAAAAATTAAGATAAATTCACATTTGACAATTGAAACCTTATTTCACAGATTCACATTTAAGCATACATGTACTTATAGTATTTAACTATTTTAGTTCTATAGTTACATAGTTCACAAAATTTACTTATGGTAACACAAACAATAAATCTAATATCATTTCAATACACATAAGCAATGTAAATATCAAAACTAAATAAATTCTGAAAAATTTAACTGTCACTTTCTAAGATTAAACATAATTTAGCTATAGGACGAGTCAAAATACTTGTTTTTGTCCTTAATTTTACACTACGTACAAGACCATGCTTGTCTGGATACACTTCTTCAACGATACCCATGGGCCACGACCCACCGGGCGCACTTGAATCGACTATAAGAGCAATGTCACCAACTTTTATATTTCTAGAAGGATTGAGCCACTTTTCACGACGTTGTAATGAATGCAAATATTCATCAGTCCAACGTTTCCAAAAGAGATCAGTCAAATACTGGATTTGACGCCACCGTCTCTTTGAATATACATCACGTTCATTGAATAATCCAGGGGGAAATAACACATTTTGGTGACACATAAGAAGTGAATTAGGAGTTATCACTTCCAAGTCATTGGAATCACTGGATACACAAGTCAGAGGTCTACTGTTTATTACAGCCTCTACTTCACAAAGGAAAGTGATTAGTTCTTCATCACTTTGTGCTGTTCGCAAAAATTGTTCACACAGAATCCCATATAGGATTTTTCTTATAGTCCTTATCTGCCTCTCCCACAATCCGCCAAAATGGGATGCTGTAGGGGGGTTGAAATGCCACTTAAATCCACCTTGAGTTGAAAAGTTCTCAATCTGTGTTTGATTCAGATCATATAATGATTGTTTCAGTTCTTTCTGAGCACCAATTAAGTTTGTTCCATTATCTGAATATATATCACTGGGCGTACCTCTACGGGCAATAAAACGTCTTAGGGCATTCACACACGAACTAGTGTCTAAGGAATTAGAAACTTCTATATGCGTGGCACAAGATATCATACATGTAAATACAACACCGTATCGCTTACGGATAGAACGTCCTGTTTTGATTTCAAAAGGACCAAAATAATCATCTCCTACTATACTAAAAGCAGGTAAATCAGGTTTAAGTCGAAAATATGGAATGTCACTCATTTTCTGTTCACTAACTCTAGACTGATATTTTCTACAAATCACACATTTACTTAAAATAGACTTAACTAATACACCACATTTAACTATCCAATATTTTTTTTCTAATATTACTAATAGTATGATTTCTACCCATATGGGCTACATTAACATGACAATATTTAGCAATGAGATTTGAAACATGACAACTTTTAGGCAGTATAATTTGATGCTTAAAATTAAAAGGCACGTTTGCATTGCGCAATCTTCCACCAACACGCAAGATTCCATCTTTAAGAAATGGATCCAAACTTGAAATTTCACTTTTGTTTTTGACGTTTTTCACATTATTGGGATTTTCACCGTTTTCACTAAGACACTTTATTTCATCAGAATATACTTGATTTTGAACAAACTTAATGATTTCCACTTCAGCACTATTAATTTCCTCAACAGATAATGACTTAGTACACAAACTATCAGGAATTAAACATTTTTGAGCTTTATACTTTAAAATTTGCTTTAATCTTAACCACCATGATATCGCACGCTTTAATCGATAAAAATCAGAGTACTTATCTATCAATGTATTTACTGCATTCACAGAATCATTGGTTCTCACAAAATTAGTAGGTACTTGTATATCTTCATCATTATTCAATGGAACTATGTTCTCCGGCCAATCATTAATTGATAATTTCAGAAATTCTGGTCCACATAACCACATGGAGTTATTTGCGATATTCTCCACACACGATCCACGAGATGCTAGGTCAGCTGGATTTAGCTTTCCAGGCACAAAACGCCACTGATTCACGTTAGAACCGTCATGAATTACTGCAAGTCTGTTTGCGACAAAAACTTGGTGACGTGCTTTTACATCATGTATGTACTTTAAAACTGTTTGGCTGTCGGACCAAAAATACACTTGATTAATAGGAATCGACAATTCACGTGATAACATGTTATGAATTCTCACAATCGATGTAGCTGCTGCGAGCTCTAATTTAACTATGGTGTGGGGCTTTATGGGTGCTACACGAGAACGCCCAAGTAAAAATGAAATGTGTATCTCATTTTTATCACTTTGAAATCTTAAATAAGTAACTGAACCATAACCCTCTTGCGATGCATCACTGAAATGATGTATTTGAGTGTTCACAATCTTTCCAAAGTTCTGGGGTTTCACACATCTCTGAATTGACAAATTATGTAAATTCGCAAGATCAGTAAGCCAGTTATTCCATTCTCTTTGTCAATCAACTGGGATCATTTCATCCCACGATAACTTATCTCGACATAAATGCTGGAGGATTATTTTACATTTTAGCACAAACGGAGATGCTAATCCGAAGGGATCATAAATGGAACTGAACACGGATAGTATATTACGTCGCGTTGCGGTTCTGTTAACTTCACCAATGTTAAACTCAATTAAATCTAATTCAATGTTCCACTGGACACCTAAGGCTCGTTGCACGGGTAAAGAATCTGAAGAAATGTCAAGATCCATCACTTGTTCAGCTAAATCATTTTCGGGAATAGTAGACAATACATTTCTGCTATTGCTCACCCACTTGGTAAGGCGAAATCCACCTTTGGATAAGAGATCACATATTTCACGAATCAGTTTTACACATTCCGTTTCTGTAGTCATAGACTTTAAGAAATCGTCTACGTAAAAATCATAATTTACAGCATTGATTATTTCATGGGAATAATCGTTGGTATTATCCAAAGCCGTTTGCTTCAGAGCAAAGTTTGCACAGCTAGGTGAGCTAACTGCACCAAAAATATGCACTCGCATTCTATATTCAGTAAGATGTCCATTAATGTCACCGTTGGGCCACCATAAATAGCGAAGCATGTCACAGTCTCTCTTCACAACTCTGACCTGATAGAACATTTGTTCTACATCAGCCATAACCGCGATATAATCTTGTCTCCATCGCAATAATACACCTAGCAATAAGTTAGTCAAATCTGGCCCTTGTAAAAGTTGCTCATTTAGTGAGGTCTGTTGAAAGATAAGCGGGCAATTAAAGACTACACGCAGTTTATCTGGCTTTTTAAGGTGTATCACGTGATGATACGGTACATACCACACACGGCCATCACTCCTATCAATTTCACTTGGTGGGACAATTTCAGAGTATTTCTTGGATTCTAAATTGTTCATGAATTTGCAATACTGTTCATTTAAAGAATGGTCTTTCACGAGTTTATTTTTAAGTCTGTAGGCAAATGCTTCAGCCTGAAGTTTGTTATTAGGCATAATAACTGATCTGTCACGAAACGGTAATTCAGTCTGATAATGACTGTCTTTTAATTCAATAGAGTTAGTTAAAATGCTCAAAAACTGTTTGTCTTCAATAGACAATGAGTGCTTGTCTTCACAAAGCTTTTCACTAAATTCTAAATTAAAATATTTCTTTACTTGTTGCTCGAGACTATCATCAATCCGGCATAAATTAATACTAATTGAAGCAGAAGAATTTTGTAGTTTACCCGGTAAACCATATAACAACCATCCTAATGGTGATTTAATCCCATAAGGCTCACCAATGTTACCAGTGCACACTTCTAATGGCGTTGTAGCAGCAGGCATGTTCACACCTACCATTAGACTAACTTTTGGAATAAAATTAGGAAATTCACAAATATTTGATACATTAATGTGACTTAAATGTTTCCAAGCATATAAATCATCTTTTCTGGGTATATCACACATGTCAACAGGCATATCATTCTTCACATAAGTAGGAGGTAAATCTAAAAACTGATCACCATCGAGACTGCTTATTTGTAAATTATCAAGAATTTCAGTTTTAAGAGTTTCTATAGAATTTAATGTTTTGAGAGTAACACACGTGGATCGTCCACTGACTTTTAAACGATGAGCAAGATCAGAATTTATGAAACTAGCAGCTGAGCCATTGTCAACAAATGCATATGTTGCTACATAGTCATCACTGTTTTTATGCTTAATAAGTATAGGCAAAATGGCCA